CCCCTGCTCCCCGTATGTAATTCTCTCGGTGACCACAAGATGGCAGCAAAGAGCAAAGGCTGCGGGAGTGGAGGGGAAGGAAGGAGAAAGGGGTGAGGGGGTGAGGGGGTGAGCCCGACAGACTCAGCTCCGTGCGGATGGCACCCCCGGAGTCGCACCCCCGGTAGGCCTGCGATACGGACCGGGAGTGTGAAACTGCCCGGTGCAAGTGGACTGACACGCTCCAAGTGAGATCACGCAGACAACTGGTAGAAAACCAGTGTCTTCCTTTTACATTGGGAATGGCGGGAGCGAGGAGAAATCAGGGAGAGCAAGGCGCTCTCCCTCCTCCTCCCTCTCTCTCCCCTCCCTGGTGTGGGAGCCCCCCACATCTGGCGTGGAGGGCAGAGGAGGAAACGGGAGGTGGCCCTCTCCCGCGTGACTTGCGGCATCTAGAGGCCGCCGGCGTTCCCTGACTCGGGACTCTGCATCTCCAAGCCAGCAACAGCCGCTCACGTCCTCCTGCGTCTTCTTCAGCTGAGTCTAACTTTGGGTGGGAAAGGCTGTGGGTTTTTAAGGGCTCATGTGATTCGACTGGGCTCACGTGAATACCCAGATTCCTCTCCCTCTCTCAAGACCCTTTACTTATTCCCATCTGCAGAGTCACTTTTGTCAGATCAGATAACACATCAACAGGCTCCAGGGATCAGGGCCTGGACATCTCTGAGGGGCTATTATTCTGTCCGCCACACCCCTTCCGGCTTCCCCAGGCCTCCTGTGGGTTTAGTGGCATTTCCTCTCCCGTTGTCCGCTGTCCGAGCTCACGGCGGCCCCTCGCTGGCTCCCTCATTTTCTCGCTATTCCCCCATCACTGTGGCCAAGCCTTGGGGAAGGATCCCTTTTCCTGCCCCCGTAACCCTCACCGCATATACACACTTATGGCAACTGAGCCTTTCCCCTTCTCCTGGTGATGACTTCCTGCTCCTTCAACTGGAGCCTTGTCCCTTAGAACACGAGAGCTTCTCCCTTGCAATTCCCAGCCTGGTCCCCCAACGAAGGGAGAGGGCAGAGAAAGGCCTTGGGTTCCACGCATCTCTGAGGAACTCCATCAGAGGTGCACGTGCCAGGCACGTGGGTGTTCAGATGGAATCCTCTCGGTCGGGTTGGGTTACTGAGTTCTCACATTCCGCTCCCTGTGCTTCCCTCCAGGTCTCTACCCTACTCTGGGCAGCCCCAGGCTAGCTCTCCCAGGTCTACACCCCACTCTGGGCAGCCCCAGGCTAGCTCTCCCGGGTCTACACCCCACCCTGGGCAGCCCCAGGCTAGCTCTCCCGGGTCTACACCCTATTCTGGGTAGCCCCAGGCTAGCTCTCCCGGGTCTACACCCTACTCTGGGCAGCCCCAGGCTAGCTCTCCCGGGTCTACACCCCACTCTGGGTAGCCCCAGGCTAGCTCTCCCGGGTCTACACCCCACTCTGGGCAGCCCCAGGCTAGCTCTCCCAGGTCTACACCCCACTCTGGGCAGGCCCAGGAAAGACAGAGAGTGAGTTTTCTTCATCTTTTCCTTGTGGGAGATTCGTCCCAGGCACTGATGTCAAGAAACAGAACCAGAGTGGTACCATTTTTACCTGCTCTGACTTAACCAAACTTAGCTGGAGAAGCCTCAGTTCAGAGCAGCTGAACCCCTCCAGCAGACAGGCTCCAGATAATCCTTTTATCTGAGAATTCTCCCCATTGGTGGCCTCATTTATGGTCTGCCGCTCAAACTCTCCCCAAACTCTTCCGGGGCCACTGGCCACTTGCCATGTGTAGCCCTGCTTCTAATCATTGCTTACTTCCTTTGGGGTAAGTGGGGGCCTTGTTGCCAGGGTAACTGAGAGTGGACAATGGGCCTGGGATCTTGATCTTTAGCTCTGCCTAACCGGACTCTTGCTGCATTCTTGGCTCATTTCCCTTTCACACACATTTCCTCTCCTTGCTTTTCACTCTGATGTTCTCCCCTGTGAAATGTGTCTGGCTTCCACATTTTCTCTGGGATTTGCTAACTCAATTCCTTTTGTTCATATGGTCATTTTTTTTTTTTTTTTTTGACTTGGCAAAAACACCTAAGGGATGGTGCTCCATACTGCTTCCCACCAGCAGGCACACCATGTCCTCCTGCTGATGCTCTGATCAGACCGCGGGTTTGGGAGGTGATGGTCTGCCCCCTTCTGTCACACAGCTCCCCCTCCCCACCTCCCGTACTGGTCCCATCCATCTGTAGTCTCTGCCTCATTCATTTCAGCAAAGGTTGCAAAATGGCGACATTTCTAATTTTCACCCTTTCAACAAATATTAAGTAGAATTCTTTTGTAAAAAAGATGTTTTTTCCTTATTAGTTATAGCTGTATGTTTATCCTGAAATAGTTTGTACAAGAAAGGCTGGGCTTAGTTATATCTTATTCATTGCTGGGACTTGCCGCTTTTCTGAAAAAAGCGTTGGTGTTCTTGTTCCTTCCAATGATGACCGGTGAGTGGCATGTTCCTTGATCACTGCGGATGCTCTTATCTTTGCTCTTAATGAACTTAAATGTCTGCCGAATGCTGAGAAGACATTGGCAGGAAAGGACCAGGGTGGTTCCTTCCTTCCTTTGGGACAACCTGAGTCGCTTACTGTATTTATTGTTGCAGGTCTTAATCCAGTACATCCATACCCCCATGTGGCTGTACACGGTTGTTCATTTTTATTTAAGGGGTTCAGGTGACGTACCTCTAAGTATGTCATTAACCCTGTGAGGATGGAGCAGTGTCTTATGGTCTTACGGTCTCCTGTCCATGTCTCTAGTGCAAGTTGGGGCACCTAGAAGGGTCTGGTATCCAGTTATAGACTGAGTCGATGTGAATGCAGAGTGGTCATTCTTTCTTCAAAGGCTCTTTCTTTTGCCCTTGCCCTGGACAAGAGTGGTGGGGCCTTCCAACACCAGCTCACTGGCACGACACCAGCTGGAGTCCTACTTGTCAATCCCGCTCTGACGTTACGTGGAGCCCGTGCAGGCCTCACAGTTAAATGGCAAGGTCCCAGCAAGGCTGCCTCCTCCTCAGATGCCAGCTAGCTGCGAGTGGGGTCCTCAGACTAGTTGGACCCCCGCCCCAACTTGGCTACAAATTCAGGGGTTTCCATGGCCCCACTTTAGATTCAATAACCTGCTGGAATGACTCACAGAACTCAGAAAAATGCCATTCTTACAATCACCATCTTATTATAAAGGATGTAAATGAACAGGCAGATGAAGAGATACACAGGAGGCGTGGGCTGGAAGAGTCTGGAGTGCAGAAGCCCCTTCCCCATGGAGTTCAGATGCGCCATCTTCACAACACACTGCTCTGTTCACCAACCAGGAAACTTTCCAAGCCTTGCTGTCCAGAGTCTTTACTGGGGTTTCATTACAAAGGCACGATTAATTAAATCACTGGCCATGGGCTTGAACTCAATCTGCGGCCTCCTCTGCTCTTGGGAGGTTGGGGGGATGGGGCTGAAAGTTTCAACCCTCTCATCACATGCCTGGCATCGACGGCATGGCCAATCCCTCCTTTGAAACTCTTACCAAAGGGCCCAAACCTCGTCAGCATAAACTCAGGGATGGTTGGAAGAGGCTCCTGGGGAATGCAAAAGACTCTCCTATTGGGGAAATTCCAAGGGGTTCTGAAGCTCTGTGCCAGGAGCTGGGGGCAAAGACTAGATATACTCTTTATTCTATGACAGTTGGTGTAGTGGTGTATGCGGTGGTAATAAAACTTTAAGTGGATATTTGAGGTTACAATTCTTAAGACTTTCAAGTATCTCTGAAGCTTAAACCACAGCATAAAGCCTTAAGATTTGGCAAGAAGACACTCATCATGGTGGGGCGGGGGGCGGCGGGGAGGGAGGCTCAGGAGGAAAAGACAGTAGGCTATTATGTATGTGAGGCAACAATTATAATGCAAGCCTTTGGAGAGTTTAAGGGCCTAAGAAGACGCAGGGGAGACCTTCAACTCAGCAGGTGCAGACTGGGTTTTGTGTGCGGAGGGAAAGAGACAGGAGGTGGCCAGGCGGAGGAGTGTGAGAGCCAGATCATGGAATTATAGGAACCCAGGGGCAGGTAGAGGGCTTCCCGTTGGGACTACGGAGAGATCCCTCTGCTAAGGCTTGAAGGAAAAGGAAGGAGCTAATGGGAAAACACGCAATGGTTGACAGAACGATGGCATCCGTGAAGCTGGATGAGAGCGGATGAGTCTGGTAAGGCGGGTCACTTGCCGAGCGAGAGTTCAGCAGCCTGATGCTATGAAGGACTTGGCATTCTTGATTTTGAGAGGAGTCAAAGTAGTGAGAGGAGGAGTGGAGGAGAGTGGATCTGGTGGTGACAGCAAACTGGATCTTTAAAAAGCAGCTGCCAGATGACTTCTAGAAGTCTCTTCTAGCGTTACCGTTCCAGGGTCCTACGACTTCTGAATGAGAACATCTCATTGACAATAGGATGCATCCCCATACCACAACTGCCCGGTGTCTGCACTGTCTGGAGAGAAAGAAATAGATGTGCCAGAATAAGACGTATCCCAGGCAGTTAAAACCACTGGTTAAAAGAGTCAGAGAAAAAGAAGAAGGAAGGGTATCTGAGAGGGTTCGTATTACCAGGGACAACTTTCGGGTACTGGTTATAGTGCAGACCTGGAGAACTAAAGCAAACTCTAGGGTTGGGCGGTTCTTCTGAAGCTGGGTTCTCACCTGGGGCGATTTTGCTCCCGACAGGACATGAGGCCATGTCTCGAGACTTTTTTAATGGTCCCAACTGGGACAACTAAAGAAGGTGCAGCCAGAAAGGGCCGGTAATGCCCCAGGGGACATTTGGCAATGTCTGCAGACATTTCTGGTGGCCACAGTGGTGGGACCAGGCATGCCGCTCAGCACCCGATGCTGCCCAGGACAACCCCCAGCCCAAAGAACTAGACAACCTATACGCCAACAGTTCCCCCAGTGGAGAAAACCCACTCATAGAGCTGTTGCGTGAGTCCTGGGTCACCTGCCTTAGGATTGCTTGTAACGGGAAGGAAAAAACAACAAAACAAAACAAACCAAAAAAACCCAAGCCTGTTTTGTTTTGTTCTCAGCTCCTGAGTTGGGCTATCTGTTATTTGTGGCAGAATGAATTCCAAGTTGCTACAACAGGAGAAGCTCTTTGATGTAAGCATGTCACAGGGGCATCTCCAGAGGACACTTCCTTTAGATTATTCTTACTGGCACTTTCCACGATTGTACAGGATATCCAGTCCCATCTTTGAAGCAGAAAGAGGACAACCACTCAGTAGCTTCTTTTGCTAGGAGATGCCAACACCATCGGTCTCCTCCACCCACATCACCGGTGGGGTCAGCTGGGTCCAAGATCACAGGCCTAAAGGAGAGTCAGAAGCATTACATGCTTTTTAAAACCAGTGGCCTCAGAATCAGGGGCCCATTCCACTCTTAGCGCCAAAACAACATGTCCTGTGTTTTAGATGCCGGTAATTCAAACGTACGGATAGAGCGCAAAGTTATTTCCTAGAATTCAATTATATTTGCCCAATAGTATTTTGAAAGCTGCTCGTTATTATACACGGGACGGCGTAAGATAAACATCTCCCTCCTGTTAGGTCGACTGAAATATGCTGCATAATTTAATCAACTGTGATGCCACGTCGGCCACGCCCATGGTAGCCAGCCAACCTGCGGTACTTTGTTCTCCCTTTCTTCTCCTCTGCTCTTTCTCAAAGCTTTTCTCTTTCCTCTCTTTCCTTTTCTTTTGTTTCCCTTGTTCTTCTGTTCTGCCGGGAGCACTGAATGGACACGCTAAGATTCCCTGCTGTTCTTGAAGGATAGCGGTTTTGCGGGATGCGGTCTGAAAGGGTAGATAAAATCTGATCTAATAAATCTAATTCTCCTGTAGGACGAATCGGCCATGAAGGAATGATGTTGTTATTTCTCAGGGACACACTTCCGACTTCCACGCCTCTGAGACCTGGTAACGAATTCACGCTTTTCCTCCCAACCTACGAGGATGGAAGCAACCCAGGGACCTGTACCTTGGTCCTTCCTTCTCTATTCCTCCTGGGTGACGTTCTTTCCTGCCCCCTACCCCCCAGGATTTCCTCCCCGGAGACTATGGGAGGGTCTGCTGGTTGGCACCTTTCCACCCCCACCCACCGCCGTCCTCAGTTTCTCGTGGGGAATAATGACTCGCGACCCCAGGGAGGAGAATCCAGGTCGCTGGAAGAGCATTGGAGGGACTCAGGTTAAGAAAAGGGGGTGGCAGGATTTGGGGCACCTGGTTCTCTGGATCTGGGTCAGTAGGAAGTTCCTCACAGTCTCATCCTCAAAGTTGTAATTGACCGTCCAGAAGACACAGAGCTGCTGATATTTTGTGATCAACTCCAGGACTGTCCGGAAACCTTCCGCGGTGTCGAAATTCTCTGCTCCACTCCCCTGCTCCCAGGAATAGATGGTGAGCAGCTCCAAGGCGTACTTTGGGGGCAGAGACCCCTTTTGCTTCAGTTTCCTTTCACACTGAGGGAAGAGGGGAACGTCAGACAGTACTAGCGAAGGCAGGGAGGTGCAGTGAGCTCAAAGAGTACAGCAGAGACCACACATCAATGGCCGCTGGGGCCACAGCGGGTAACTGAGGCACGAGACACAGTGCTGATGGGACTGGGCTGCTGGAGGTCTGAGCAGGGGCTCCCTTAGCAGCGTGCAGATTTCTGGGTTGGGCTACGGCCATATAGGACTCCCTAGAGTTATACTACAGCGACCACTTACAAAACACCCACTGTGTGCTGACTGTGGGGCCAGGCATTTTACGTGTCTTTCCTAATCCTCTGACAACCCCACCAGGCAGGCATAGATTGACATTTCTGATGAAGACATGAGGCTCGAGGAGGGGAAGTGACTCGCTCAAGGTCACACGGTAGCCCTGAGCTCTCTGAGCACCCTGGGGCTGCGGGTACGGCCATTTCTCTGAGTTTCTGGGTTGGAAACCGCAGAGCCCAGGGAACTGTAAACAGGAAGGAGACATCTCAGGAAAGAGCTGATGCTGTGCTGGATGTCTGCTGCATGGAGATACTCAGAAGGTCCCCTGTGTGCGAGACAGTGACGGAAGCAAAGGGAGGCTACCGGTTGCAGAAAATGCAGCCCCTGGTCCTGCCTGTAGCTGCAACCTGTCTTCCAAGGATGGCGTCTGTGTGTGCTAAGCATGGGCACTGAGCGGGGCGGGGGGGGTGCGGTGAGCCGTGCTGGTGACCTATAGGCATGTACATTCCCAATTTCACCTGTCCTTGGTAGGCAGAATAACTTGGATTCCTGCTGACTTCTCGGGGGGGTCAGAGCAAAGGCAAAATAAGCAGCTTTGACGGGAGGGGCTGCTCTATAGCTCACCCAACTTCACGGGTTTGGTGACGGGGACTCCACAGAGATATGCCGGATTAGTGGACAGAGTCCCGAAAGCGGCTCAGGCCCCAGCACGGCAGAGTGTGGGCACACGGAACACTTGATGGGAACCGGTTCCATGGGCACCGAGCATGATAAAAATAATTCCAGACAGCTGGAATGAGCACGGTCATACCTGTTTGTACCAGTGTTTCACCAGACGAATTAAATCCTTCAGTTTGGTGGGCCGCGAGACAACGAAGTTACACTGCAGTTCTGTGAAACAGGTGGAAAATTCTCCCCCCTCGGCGTCTGAGGATTTGTACAGATCAATGAGCTCAGCGTAGACCTTGGGGCTGGGTGGGGAGCCAGAATTCAGTTGACCTAGCATGGGGGAGATATTTAGTTTATGCTTTACTATGCATAAAAGTAACCGTTTTCAAATATTTTTGACCAATATAATTTAATTCTGGGAAATGATTTGGAATTCTATTGGTATATTTGAATGATTGATGTCTAAGATACTGGGAGTAATGAGATATTTGAAAAACTATATGGTCTCTATGAGTAAGGGTGCTATTATTAAAGTATTATCTAGATTTGCACTGTCTGATACGGTAGCCACCAAACAATGTGGTTATTTGCATTCAAATTAACTAAAGGGAAATAAAATAAAAAATTTAGTTCCTCAGTCCCACTAGCCACATTTCAAGCTCTTATTAGATATAGAACATTCCTATTATCACAAAAAGACCTTTTAGATAGCACTGATTGGGAGTTTGCTAACTATGGACGGTAGGCCAAATCTGGCCCACTTCTTGTTTTTGTAAATAAAGTTTTATTGGAACACTGCCATGCTCCTTCGTTAATGTATTGTCTATGGCTGCTTTCAGGTTACAATGGCAGAGTCGAGTAGTTGTGACAGAAACTGTATGGTCCTCAAAGCTGAAAATACTTGCTACCTTGCCTTAACAACAACAAAAAAAATTAGCTGACCTCCAATTTATACTGTTATTTCCTCTCTAGAGACACTAAGAACCATTTAGGGGGAAGGTATCAGAGTCTTCTTGATTCTGATTTGAAAAATGCCTGAAATAGTCTTGGTTTCTTTAAATATAACATTATGTATCTGTCATTCATGAACCGAATTTCCAAAGCAGATTGAAGGCACCCAGATTTCCTGTCTTTGCCTCAGAATTCTTCCCAGTCTGTTCTTTCATTTCCTTCACTAACACTTGTGGCATTTTATCTATAAATGTCTACAGAACTCCTGTGGACCCCATTCTTTGACAGGTATTGTGAGTGATACCACAGGAATATAAGAAGATAAGGAATATGGTCCTGGCCATCCTCGGGATCCTTAAGTGAGAAAGGAGAATGAACATGTCCACAGGTGTAAGGGATTGCTGCCATTACTCGTGCCACCTGCTGGAGTCACGAGACCCATGAGCCATTACTAGGTCACATGGCTTTCCCTCCACCCACCTTGCCCCAACGCCCCATCGCCCCAGAACCCGGCTTCCTCCTCTAGAAGTGAAGGTCTGGGGGGTGGGGGGGTCTCACCTAGCGCATTAAATGCAGGCAGCACATCAAAGTTCACACTTTCATTGAGCACTTTGGATTTCAGAGAGAAGCTCAGCACCCTGGGAGCCTTCCATTTTGAAATCTCAAACTTCACTGCAAACTCTTTCTCCTGCTGACAGGCTACTAGCTGTTTATGGATTTCCTTGATGATAGAGCATCTCTCGGCTTTTTGGGAGGTGTAGCTTTTAAGCGAGTCTGGGAACACGATGAGGTCAGCATCGGACCCAATCTTCAGAGCCGTGCCTTTGCCCGTTGACCCTCCCTAGTGAAGAAAGGCAAGCGGAGATACAGCATTTTCTAGATCCCGAGCCCCGAGCCCCCACGGGCTGGCGCCAGTGGGCTCATTAATGAGGTTGCCAAGGTTAGGGTTCCAGGTTAGGGTCCAGTTAGGGCTGAGTCCAAAGCAGAGCGTTCAATTTTTCAAACGAATAGTTTGGTTCGAAAGGTTTTCTCATGCCCTTTGATGTGCTTATTAACACACAAGCAACTGATGGCTCGTTTCCAATTACCCACTTCTCATGTCAACTTCCTCAAGATTTCTCCCAAAGAGGATTTAGCTTTGTGTGAATTCCTGTGACCTGAGAGAAATCAAACTGGATGGAATCATTGCGTTGAAAGGTCCTCATCTGTCCCCTGAGTCATCTGTTTCCTCTTACAAGCTGGGGATCGTGGGACGAATATTCATGATTTAGGTACAGGGCTCTGCAAACTTTCCGTAGGGGGTCGGGTGGTAAGTGTGGGCCATGCATGTCCCTGCCACACAGGCTTCTCCACACTCCTCCCTGCCCTCCTCCCTCTTGCTCCTTCCCTTTCTGCTCTACCAGCTCTATTAGGCGCAGCTCCTTAGCCGACGGGCTGCTTCGAGGGCAGGTGGGGGAGAAAACGGTCCCAGGGCACTGTGCTGGGGGCTTTGCTCTGGGCACCAACCTTCATACTTGCTGCCCCAGGTGCCCCCAAAAAGCTCACTCGATTTTTATAGAGAACACGTTTGTTTTACCCATGGGTAGTCAATGCCTGGCAGCGGCTCAGGGGCGAGGGGAGGGTGTTCTGTCCCCTGTAAACAGGTGCTCAAACCTGCTTCGTTCACGCGGCTGGTCTGTGAGTGTCGGCTTTCACCGGCCGCTCCATGCCCCCTCCTCACATTCAGGGGACACCTCCCCTGTCACCCAGCAGACAACCCTTTACAACTTCAGGAAGACAGAAAGCAACGTCCTATGCGCTGGTGGTTCTCTTCCTATTTTCTTCTGTGATATGCCACCATACCTTTTCTTATTTTTTTACTGTCGGGTTAATGGGGGTCTCAGGAGGGAAGGGAGAAAACAAGCTTTGGCAATTCTAACACTGACCATGAACTCAGCCTGTGACCATGAACTCACTCCAATGACCCTCAGTGAGACATTGTACTCTACTGGTACCGGTCCCCGGGTGTGTGACAGGGCAGCAGGCCCCCAGGTCTGCTGGCGCCGTATGGGCACTTCCCTGCTCCCTCCTCCGGACCACGGGCACCTGGTTATCTGGTCGCTGACCAACAGGTGGAGGGAAGCGGGTTAGCCCATGGCTTTGAGCCATGGACAAGAATGACCCAATCTGCCGAATCTTTAGCTCAGTTGGTGGGACTTATCGGGCTGTGGTCATTAAAACAAGAAAGAGGTCACTTTTTGGTTCAGTTCACACCAAGGTTGGAAGCTGCCGGGGTTTGAATGGTAGCCCCCCCGCCCCCAGTGGATATGTCTGCTGGGAATGTGAGAATGTGACCTGACTTGGACAAAGGGTCTTTGTGTAGATGTCATTGAGTGAGGGGTCTGTGGACCCTAAATCCAATGGCAGTTGTCCTTAGGAGACAAGAGAAAGAAGGAGACCCGCAGAGGAGAGGTGATGGGGAGACACAGGCAGATATTGGGGGGGTGCAGGTCCCAGGTCAAGGCCGCTAAGGGCCACGGCAGCCCCCGGAAGCTCATACAGAGCCAAAGCAATGCTGTTAAGGATGGTAGCAGTGTGCGGGCAACCCCGATGAGAGCCGGGGTCCTGGGTGCTCATCTCCCCCCGCTTCCCTCCCACCCCCCTTGCCCTCCGTCCACTGGCAGGCACTGCAGGGCTCTGGGAACCACGGAGGAGAAAGGCCAGCGCTCACCTTCACAGTCTTCTGAACCTTTTTCGCTGAAGGGCGAAAGCAATTTTTTTGAAGGAATTTACAGATGAAGTCAACAGCTACCGCGATCTGGTCTAGGAATTTTTTGTCGGGCTGGAGAAAGTCCTTGATAAACTTGTCTAGAAGATGGCCCGGGGTGGCGAACAGTGGTGCGGGCTGGGAAGGTAGACGAGCACTCAGCGCTTGCATCGACAGGCCACGAGAACATTCGGGAGAGTTCAAGGTGGTGCCCAAGACTCTCGTCCCCCCAACCCCCTCCCCCAGTCCCCTGCCCCAGAAACAAAAAATGTGAGTTGTTACTTCCTACCCCCAGGAGAGGTCTGACCCTTCCTGGGACTCGAAGCTGTTCTGGGTGTTGCCTTCTGTGGCTGGGAACCCTATAAACTTTGTGCCCCCCCGCCCCCCCCCCCGCCACCGCCACCAGTCTCCCATTACCTGCAGGGACTGCGGATTTCTGGAGAAATGATCACAAGCGAGCCTTTTCAGGCTTTATCAGCTTCTGTTGCACACATGTGCCCGTGGGGATTGGCTTCCCAGGGCTGCCCTAGCAACGTACCCCTGGGGGGCTTCCAGCGACAGAAATGTATTCTCTCACTGTTCCAGAAACTAAAGTCTGTGCTCAGTGTGTCAGCAGAGCTGGGCGCCCTCTGAAGGCTCTAGGGCAGGAGACTTTCTTGCCCCTTCCAGCCTCTGGAGGCTCGAGCAACTCCTAGCCTTCACTGGCTTGGGGACATACCACTCTGGCCACTGATGTGTCTGGGTCTCCATGTGCCTTCTTATAAGGACACCAGCCACTGGAGTCAGAGGCCATGCTAATCCTGAATGACCTCATCTCACTTATGACGCCTGCAAAGACCCTACTTCTAAAGAAGGTCCATTCTGAGGATCCAGGTGGACGTGAGTTTTGGGGGACACTATTCAACCCTCTATACTGTTCTCAGGGTGCTGAGGAGAGAGCCAGCCTGGGATCAGAGGGGCTGTGGGTTCAGTCTGAAGGGACACTTCTCTGCTCCAAAAGGCGTTGTGGAGGGTGGGACGTGCTACTTCCTTGCATCTGTGGTCACTTCCGGAAAGAAATCATATTCTGATCTCTAAATGGGGTCTGGCCTGCACAGAAGTGCAATTCTTTCCTCTTCAGTAGAAAAGCTCAGACTGCAGGGTCTGCTCCATGTCTCATGGGTCATGACGCCCCATGGGGGGCCCCTCCTCTCCCTGACCCACCTGCTCACTCAGTCTACCCTAGAGGTCCCAGTCCGCGGAGGTGGAGGGGAGGTGACGCCCCCATCTCCCCACATGTCCGCGTCTTAATCTCCAGAACCTGTGCATGTGTTTCCTTATATGGAACGTGGAACTTTCCAGATGTGGTTAAGCTAAGGATCTTGAGTTGGGGGAATTATCCTGGATTATCCAGGTGTGCCCAATGTCATCACAAGGGTCCTTATAAGAGGGAGCATCAGAGTTATATAGAGAGATTGAAGGCTAGAAGCTTTAAATTAAATTAAATTAAATTTGTGTTTTTTTCAGCTTTGAAATTTGTGGTTTTCTTTCCTCCTCCTTCCTTCCTCTCTTCCTTCCTTCCTCCCTTCTTTCCTTCCCTCCTTCCAACGGTAAGAGGAAGCAAACACACTGCTCTGTATAGGTACCACCCCTTTGCTGGCGAGCACGCACAAGGTGGGCCAGCTCTCCTTGGGGCCGGGGGTGGGCTGGTCAGCTTAAAAGTTGAAGGTCAACCTTGGTTGCCTCCAGATGTTCACAGTGGACCTCACCGGGTGCTTGAAGGCAAATTCATTGCCAGTACTGCCCTTCCCACAGGGCTAAGTATCATGGGGGGCACGCGTGCGTGTGTGCGCGTGCCCTCCAGTGCCCAGACGCCCTGATGCAGCAGGTCATGGGCCCGAGTCGCCTCCAACAGCTCTCATGAGAGGGATGGCCTCCTAGTTCTGGAAACAGAGGTTGATTGGGTAGAAAAGGGAGCAAAAGCAGGGATCAAAAGATGGCTTAGGGGCAGCACGAGAACTAAATGCAGCATGGGCTACTGGGCTGGGAAAAACTGGCTATCAGAAACATTCTTTGGATAATTGGCAAGATCTGGAAATGGACTGTAGCTGGAGGGTAATAATGTATGCATCTCGCTCTCTGGAACTCGATCATTGCGTGTGGTTAGCTAAGAGAATGTCCTTATCTGGCAGCCAACTCCAATAGCTCCATATAAACAGCACTCACAACACTGATGATGATGATGATGATGAGTATGTGTGCATACACGCAGACCGGAACACAGCTAAAGAGGTCAAAGGTAAAACATTTGGGTGTCTAGGTCGATGCAGCGGTTCACTGAACCATTTTTACAACTTTTCTCTACGTTTGAAAGTTTTCAGAATAAAGTTGGGGGGGCGGATATCTTTTAAAAGGCTATTTTAGGAAGCCAGGAAAATTGAGGTCAGGGAGAAGAGACCAGAGTCCATTGAAAGTCAGGACAAGGAATGGGCATATACCATGTTCCTTCTGGATCCAGGCAGGGAGCTCCCCGCCCACAGGGTCCTTCCCGTCCAGGGCCCCAGGCATTTGGGAAGCTCACTTATATCCCATCTTTGCTCAGTTGACCCTCAACTTTCTGTGCCAAATGGAATGTAGATCCACCCTTAGCATACTTCGGATGTAAATTAGTCCCGTGTCTGCGCAGTGTGGAATTTGGTTGTCCTCAAATGACACATTTGTCCCCCTGCCATCCCATGACCCCCAGAAAATGGAAAGGATTCAGTGGCCTAGACTGATAATGTTCTTGTTGAATCGTCCTTCTCCAATAAGCTCCGAGAGCGCAGGGGCATTCTGTGGGGGGTAGGTTGGCTTCTCCTTTGGGGGCTGGGAGGGGAAGCCGGCCTATCTGCCCCACAGCCGGCCCCTTGATCTGCGCTCCAGTTTGGGGACAGGGCAGCTGCCGTGCACTCGCCTGGGGCTCTGCTCCGTGTGGTCCGTCCCCAACTCTCCACCTGCTGTCTCTCCTGCAGCAATTAACTGAAATCTCTAGTCTGCAGGTGCCCTTCTCTCTTTGTTCACTTTTGCTCTTTACCATCATTTTAACAGAAAAGGGTGGCCCCTAACCGTGTGTTATGGATTGAACCGTGTCCCCCTAAAGGATATGTTGAAGTCCCAACCTCCAGTACCTGTGAATGTGACCTTATTTGGACATAGGGCCTTTGTATGAGGTAATCAAGTGAAGATGAGACCACTGGGGTAAGTGCTAATCCAACGGGCCTGGCATCCTTATAAGAAGAGGAGGGAGACACAGAGACAGACACGCAAGGAGGGGAGACATTGTGAAGAGACGCCACAGAAGGCCATGTGACAACAGAGGCGGAGGTGGGAGGGGCGTGGCCACATGCCAAGGAGCACACCAGCAACCACCAGAAGTAAGGAAATATCCTCCCCTGGAGCCTTCAGAGGGAGCCCAGCCCAGCCCACACCTTGACCTTGGACTTCTAGCCTCCAGATCTGTGAGAGAATACATTTCTGTTGCTGTAAGCCACCAGCATATGACACTTTGTTGCCACAGCCCTAGAAAATCCACACATGGTGCTCTTGGCTAAGACCGGGTCTGGGTGTCAGGACGCCCTCCCTGCAGCATGACATGAGCTGTATTTGCAAAGCTCTCTCACCAGAACGTTCCACGATGGTCCAGGTGACTCATTCTGGCTGAGAGAAGACAACCAGCTCTCAGCTTCTTGCTTTAGCTGTTGCCAACACGCCCTATCTTTGCTCACATTATTGGTTGGGTCAGCTGGATCCAAGATTACTGGCCTATGAATTACATTAGATTAAAAGAAATCAGTTGGGCTGCATGTGGAAGAAGAAATCCACGTTGGGGAAGGAGGACTGCACGGGGTCTGGTAACCCGGACTCCAGCACCCGCGCTTCCTCTCAGTTGCTCAGGTGCTTTGTCTGAGGTGGCTCCTGGCCTCTCTGTTTCACAAAGATGTTCCATTAATAACATAATAAAATAGCCCCTTCCTTCTATAAGGGGAAGCACCTCTCAAGTGTTTGGGGGACAAAATATGACGACGGTCTGAAATGTGAAAAGCATTGGTCAGGTTCCCCTATTTCAGGCAGACCACGCTCTGCCTCCTGCCGCGCCCCCCCCCCCCCCCCCCCCCCCCCCCCCCCCCCCCCCCCCGCTGCTGATGTTCTTTTGGTGCATCCTTGGCTGGGAGGGACGGGGCTGAGCCCTTATGCTAAGGCGCACAGCCTGGCTTGCAGGTGAATAGGTAAAGACAGAGGGTGGAGGGAATCTTGGTACCTCGATGACCGGAGCTGGCTCAGCAGAATGTTCCGGACTGTCTCGTTCTCAAAGTTGTAGTTGACCACCCAATAGACGCACAGCTGCTCCTGCTGTCTGATTAGCCCCAGGACAGTTCTGATGCCTTCTGCCATGTCAAAGTTTTCTGCTCTGCACCCCTGTTCCCAGGCATAGACTGTAAGCAGCTCCAGAGCATACACGGGCTGATGGGGTAAATCTTTCAGCTTTTCCCGGCACTGTGGGAGAAGAAAGGGGTAGTGTCTAATCTGGGGACCCAGTTCCCCCCACCCCCGTGCCAGGGGCCTGAAATCAAGGAATCAGAAGTCTATAGGAAGTCACCACTCCCAACCAGTGACTAAAAGGATGCCATGCCTAAAATCCGTTGGATTTTAGTATCAAGCATTGGCAAGGATGGGGAGCACCTGAAACCGTTGTACATTGCTGATGGGAGCGTCATTAGGTACAACCATTTGGGAAAACTACTGTCGGCAGTACTTCCTAAAGTTAAATATATATTATTACAGATATTTAATATATTATGTATATTTATGTAATGATATATATTTTATATACTATATAATAATATGGTATATAGTCTGCATATGTATTTATTATGTGCACACATATACATATATAAATATGTCACGTATATATGTATAAATATGTATACATACATATTCAGATACCTTATAACCCAGCACTTCCACTCCTGTATATTTACCCAAGAGAAATGAGTGCTTAAACTCACAAAAAGACATGTAGGGGAATATCCATAGTACCCTAATTCGTAATAGCCCCTATTTGGACATGACCCAAATGTCCATTAGCAGAATGGATAAAGGTGTGGCATACCAAGACAACAGAATCCTACAGAACGACGAAACACCACAACTACATGCAACAACAGAGACAGATCTCTCAGACATCACGTTGAGCAAAAGAGGGCAGACAGAGTATGTCCGGTACCATTCCATTGATTTCAAGCTCAAAAACGAGGAGAGCTGATTGGTGGTGACAGACGTTAGGACGGTGGTCGTTTGGGGGGAGTATTAACCGGGAAGGGGCTTGAGGCACCTGCTGGGATGCAGGAAAGGTGCCCTATTTTGATCTGGATGTTGCCAAAAAGGTTATAAAAATGCACTGAGCTGGGGGCACCTGGGTGGCTCAGTCGGTTAAGCATCTGACTCTTGACTCTTGATTTCGGCTCAGGTCATGATCTTGGGGTCCTGAGATGGAACTCTGTGCTCAGCGAGGAGTCTGCTTGAGAGTCTCTCTCTCCCTCTGCCTCCTCCCCCCTCACACTCTCCCTCTCTGTCTAAATAAATAAAGGAAACCCTTAAAAAAATTGCACTGAGCTCTATACTTAAGAGCGTTGTACTTTCCTGGCTGTGGATGATCTCGGTGAAGAGGAATTGGACGACAGCACTAGAAACGTAATTTGAAAATTACCTGTTGGTACCAGTACTTTACCAAGAGGATCAAATCCTTCAGCTTTCTGGGACGGTTGTGAAAAAACCTCTGCTGGAGTTCTGCGAAGCAGACAGAGAACTCGCCGGGGCGGGATTCTGTCATGTCCAAGGCTCTTCTGAGCTCTCGGTAGGTCTGGAAGCTGGGCTTCTCGCTTAGGCCTGGTGCAAAAGAGAAATGGAGAACCTGTGGTGTTTCGGCGGCCTGCCCCCGGGGAGCCAGCCGTGAAGGGCTGCTGGGGTTCAGCAGCGCACGTCGGTGGCTTCATCTGTAAGGGGACCGGTGTGTTCGCCTAAAAGGTGAGGGGCGGTGAGCCTCGCGCGATAATAAAATGACCACTGCGAAAAACACATGGTGCTGGCCTTAGGCAAGATCAGCAGGAACGGAAGGATGGAAAACACAATTATAAATGAGGAAGGGGGAGCTCCGAATTAGGAGGGAAAGGTGGCTTCTTGAACAAATGGGGTTGGCACGGCTGGCATATCCCTGGAAGAAAATAGGGTCCATAGATTGCATACGGTATATTCTGCTACGGAGCCCAGCTGGTGAACGTTCTGTTTCAGAGAGTCAAGGGTACAGGGACTCTGAGGAGGCAGGTAAGGTGAAGGCAGGGTACTGGAGGCTGGGGTTAGGAGGACAGGGGGTAGGCATACTACCCTCAGAACTGTACCCTGTGATGCCAGGTAGTGGTTCTCAAACTGGGTGCCAGTCGGAATCCTGCTGCACAGCTAATCTGGAGCATGGGCCCAGGAGGCTCTCAAGTCCAGATTAGCTTTGCAGGAGGTCTGACACCCAAGTGGAGAGAGCTCGGGCCTCTCTTTTTTTACTAAGTTTCTCAGGGGATTCTGATCCCCACGGAAGTTTGAGAACCACTGGTGTGGGGCTAAAGAAGCATATGCCACGGAGGGGAGGGATGTCAATAGGGTCGCAGAATTTCCTCAGGATTTCCACTCTTGCTAGCGGAGCTCTACTGTTTACAAGCACACTTTACAAACACACAAACAAGAGGAGCCAGTAGCCAGCTTGTTCCTTTCATTCACTCCGACAGATTATTTAAGAATTCCCCAGTAGGTTACTTTTCCCAGAAAGCAATCCTTAGAGGGTCCTTCCCCAGAGGGATTTCGGCTGGGAATGTGCAGTTCTAGCGCCACCTGGTGGCAGCGCCTGGATACCACATGCGAGGAAGAGCGTGTTTGTCGTTTTCACACCACCCTTGCATGTTAGGGTGAACCCGGCAGACGGCGCCCTGGCCCAGTCTCCAGTCACCATACTCCGAACAAGCGAGAACATAGGATTTCCTAAGAATTCTGAGTCACACGGGGTCTCTTCACCTTGACCCCAGACCTTGTTTGAGGTAGTCCTTATCAACCTAAAGGCCCCGTAAACTAGCCATTTCGAGTCTGATCTCAGAGTTGGCAAAAGTGGGTAAGCGGTGGGACCAGGATAGGATCCGAGGGCTGCCTACCTTCCAAACCAGTGCACTTTTCTCTATCTTGGTTGCCTTCCTGTGAATGCGAGTCACCGAGGTGTGTGTGTGTGTGTGTGTGTGTCTTCATCTTTTTTTAAAAAGATTTTATTTATTTATTTGAGAGAGAGAGAGAGAATGAGAGAGAGAGAGCACGAGAGGGAGGAGGGTCAGAGGGAGAAGCAGACTCCCCGCCGAGCAGGGAGCCCGACGCGGGACTCGATCCCGGGACTCCAGGATCATGACCTGAGCCGAAGGCAGTCGCCCAACCGACTGAGCCACCCAGGCGCCCTGTGTGTCTTCATCTTAAAGGCATCCCAGCCTCGGGTTTAGAAGATCTGGGCTTTTTATTCTAGTTCTATCAGTAACTGGCCGTGTGTCTCTGGGACATTCCTTTCCTTCAGTTTTCCTGTTTGCTTAATGAGGGGTTTAATTTCAGCTCTGGCATTTAAGTTTGTGATTACATGCACCTGTGCTTGAGACTACACTGTCACTAGGCTGAGCTTTATCCTTCCTTCCTACCTACCATCCATCCATCCATCCATCCATCTTTCCTCCCTCCCTTCCATCCGTCCAATCCATCATATCTACCCTTCCGTCCTTCCTTCCATCCAATCTGTCATACCATCCTTCCTTTCCTTCCTTTCCTTCCGTCCAACCATTCATCCATCCAATCTATCACCCATCCATCCATCCGTCCACCTGTCCATTTGTCCATTCAACTAACCATCCATTCCTCCAACCAGTTGCCCGTGGGAAGGGCAACCAGTTGCCTTGATGTTGACCTAGTCAGAGGGCAGACTCCAAATGCCTGCCCCAGCTGAACTTTTCGCAGATGCTTGCCCCATCCTCTTCTCACCAACAGTTATTCTAGTCTAAGTCCCCAGGGGGTGGTGTGTGGACCAGCAGCAGCAGAGTCCGTGGCCCTGCCCCAATCTCCTGAATCAGAACCTGCATTTTATCAAGGTTCCCTGGTGATTTGTATGCATGTCATAGTTTGAGAAACTCTGCTCTAGATTCTGGAATCTAGGACATTTTCTCCAAAGTCAGTTAGGAGGTGGGGGAAATGTTCTAGAGAAGAGAGTTAAGCCTAGGGCAGGAGGGACCTCCTCTCTTGAAGGTATGTGGTCCCTGGCTTTGGAACATACCAGTGGTGTCTATCCCATCCCCAGCCTCAAGGACCCCCATGGCTATCTGCCACCCCTTTCTTCGGCTTTGCTCTCTCAGCACACCTCTCCAGACCAGTGCTCTCCACACACCCAGGAGCAACTCACCCAGAGCGTTGTAGGCAGGCAGCACTTCAAAAGTGATACTCTGCCATTTTGTGGATAGCCGGAGGGTGAGCCCACCGTGGAACCTCTGGGTCTCCATTTTGGCCGGCAGCTTCTTTGTGAGCTGATAGTCTTTCAGACACTGCCAGATGTTGTTGAGGATTTTATCCTGGTTTTTTTTCTGATCCTGGAAATGTTCAAGGTCACTGACAAAGATGACAATCGTCCCATCGGAGTTGCCCCTCAACATGGTTTTCCTGCCATAGGAGCCGCCCTGCGAGTGACAGAGACGTAGATGTGAGACTCTGGACCCTTTGGGGTCCCCGGATGCCCCAGCAGGCCATAGTATTTCTCAAATCAAGCCAAAGCCTCAAATGGCGCCAGGCGTCCATTTGTCCACCCAGAGACCTGAATCAGGATGGCCGTAGCAGCCCCTCTCATACGAGCCTCTGACTGGAGGCAGCTCCAATGGCCATCAGCAGTAGAGTGGACAAATGTGGTGTCTTCGCACACTGGAGAACTATCCAGCGTTGAAAGGGTAAACAGATGCCTGCACACAACAATATCCATTTCATAAACAGGATGGGATCAAAGAAGCCATACAACAAAGCCGCACTGTGCATGATTTCATTTATATCCAGCCGCCAACCTGTCTGGTTTTCCCGGGACATTCCCAGTTTTAGCACAGAAAACCCCTCGGTCCCGGGCAGACCAGCATGGGGTTGGTCACCCTACAATTATGCCAAGGTAAAAAACAAAAAACAAAAAACAAAAAACGGCAAAACGAATCTATGCTGTCAGAAGTCTGGAGAGTGGTTAGGGGAGGGCTGGGGGTAGTGACTGGATCGTGGGTCCCGGGGCTCTTGGGGCCGGGAAGGTTTCCTTTCTCCATCTGGGTGTAGGTGACACAGGTGTGTTGTTTGTGAAAATCTATCGGGATGTACACTTAGATCAGTGCCCTTTTCCTATGTTTTATTTTAATTAGGAAAAAGTGAACCATATCGAGAGGCGGGATGGCCTAGTGGTTCGGGGCGTGTGCTCCTAAGCAGACTATCTGGGTTGAAAGCCCAGCTCTGCCTCCAGCTAAGTCACTTCCTTGTGCCTCAGTTTCCTCATCTGGGCCAAGGCCAAGGGATACCAAGTATCCAGGTGTCTTTACTTCCAGGGCTGCTGGGCATGCATGAGGTGGCAGCCAGGAGGCACAGTGCGTGCAGAGAAGGAGGGCTCCGGGGCTGGCGGACCTCGAACTCTCTCCCACCTGGCACCTTCCCAGCTCCTTTTCCTCCCTCCAGAGGCCCGGAATCTTCAGCCTCAGCCCTGGGATTTGTACCCCTAGCATCAAACATTTCTACCTGATGAGAGCCACCCCCTCCTGCCATTGAGAAACCACAGAGTGACCTTTGGGTAGTTTTACTGAATCACCCAGCCTCAGTTTACTCCTCTGTGATATGGGGAGGATAGAAACAATGACGGTGAGGAATCACCGCTCATTTATTGAGCACTAACTATGGCCCCATACCAAGAACATTATATACTTAAGCCTCATTACAGTCTGGGATTATTCTTCCTCTCTCGTCTTACAGATTCAGAGACTGAAGCACAGAGAGATTAAGCAACCTGCCCCGGGGTGCACAGTAGTCAAGGCAGAGCTGCTCCTAAACCCGTGCTCCATCACTTCCCTCGAGGGTGGGGAGGGCAAGAGGATGTCTTGTGCACCCAAAGCCTGTCACCCGGAAGGCACTCAGCACCATGTCACTCCTCCTTCCAGTGGCCGTGGAACCTCCAGGCTCCCAGAAGCCCTGACCCCCAGCCGTCCACTCACTTTCACCACACTCATCGTGTGGGGGATCTGGTCCGTTTCCTGCAGGACGGCACAGATGGCGTTCACCGTGTCATCGATCTGCATCTGACACTCTCCATAGGGCCTCAGGGAGTTCTCGATCAGCTCATCCAGCTTCTCGGGCTGCACGGAGTACAGATGTGATGCCCAGCTCCCCATTGCTCCTGGCGGCCGTGGTGACGGCTAACTGGACACGGAAGGGAAAGGAGAAGGAACCACTCCCTTGCCTGGAGCCAGGAAACTAAAACTCACATTCAAGAACCAGGAAACTGCAAATCACCAGGCGAGAGCCTAGAAACCGAAACTCACAGAATGCTCCCAGCTGACTTCCTCGTAGAGAATTCTGCCCACCCCTGCAGGGTGGGCAGCCGGCCAGTCAGCTCCTCCCTGGGCGTCCTTTTTTTTTTTTTTTTTTAAAGATTTTATTTATTTATTTGAGAGAGAGAGAGCACAAGCAGGGGGAGTGGGAAAGGGAGAAGCAGGCTTCCTGCCGAGCAGGGAGCCCGATGCGGGACTCGATCCCAGGACCCTGGGATCATGACCTGAGCCGAAGGCAGACGCTTAACGACCGAGCCACCCAGGCGCCCCCTCCCTGAGTGTCCTTGTATTTAGACTCTGGAGCCTCCTTAGGACGGCTTGATCCATGCTAGTGTGTCCTTGAACACATCACCTGCTCTCTTTGTGCTTCAACTTCCCCGTCTGTGAAATGGCATAACAATGGTACCTCTTTCATAGGGTTCACGTTAGAACAGGGAGGGGGCACTTGGCAAACGCTATTTAAGAAGTTGTTAGGCAAATCATCTTTTTACAGGGGATTGAGGTCATCTTTCGAGGCTCTCTCCCTTTTCCCCTTGTCAAAAAAACAAAATTCAATGGCATAAATTTGAAGATCTAATTGGCTTCATTAAGTGCTTCATAAGTTGGGCAGCATCCCACCTAGAAAGTAGAAGGAGCTCCAGAAGTTGTTACACAATGGAAGGCTTTTATAGGAAGGAGGGTGGAGCAAGAAGCTGTTAACGGGAAAAGAAAGGACTGTTTCAGGCCAGGACATGTTTTTGGAGCCAAGGGACTGGGCTGGCAGAGTGTTTATCCAGCAGATGACATCACTACTGCTGATGGGGAAATCTCAGGCTGACTCTTCAAAGGTCACGTTCCAGGCATAGGTCAAAACTGTAATTAAGTCTCGGTTTGCTGTCATGGGGGGCATTTGGGGCTTGGTTTTTCCTTTTTAACACCCTTGTCTCCAGGGCCTGGGAAGTCAGAGTCGATGAGAGCAGCGAGGAGAAAAGGACCCAGAGAGGGGACTGATTTGCTCAGGGACACACAGAAAGGCAAAATCTGAGCCAGACTCAGGTTCTAGTTCTGCCGGTGCGTGATGTGGGACACAAAGGCAGAAGGAAATGTAGATAAAATTAAATTCCTTCTAACCTGAAGCCTGACAAATACTTGAGGCAGGTGGAATATAACGTTCCTCCAGGAAACTCCTGTCTTAACGTTAATGCTTCGCTAGAGGGAAAAACTACCTTAGCTTGACAATGGCAAGGCCTCCAGGATGCTGTGAGTCTTCTTCAGCATTGGAAAATCCTTTTGGAACTTCCCTTAGCTTTACTTTCCCCAACCCCAAAGTATATAATCAGTTGCCCTTCACAATCCCGGGGCAGCAGCTCTATCCGCCCAGGGGTTCTGTCCCCGTGCTTTAATAAAACCACCGTTTTTGCACCAAAGACCTCTCAAGAATTCTTTCTTGGCCGTCGGCTCCGGACCCCACCAAACACACCAACATTTCACAACACGTCACTGGGCACATACAAGTCCCAGAGTGTCAGAAGGCTGGAGCTTCTTTGTGCCCAGTTCCTCAGCATGCTTGTCGGTACTTGTGAGGCCTCAGCAGGCACCTACCCAGCCCAGCAAGGGTGGGACATGGGCCCAGGAGTGCACAGGCCAGAGGGGATATGCAAGTCCATCCAGAGCTCTATGAAAATGAAACCCCCAGAGGGCTCCCACCAGCTGCCTCTGTGTAGCAATAAAAAATAATACAGAAGGCAAAAAAAATCCCTGAGATGTGGGAAGAACAGGGCCCTTCTCTGCCTGCCCTTCTCTGTGATGATTAATTTTGTATGTCAACTTGGCTGAGCCAAGGTACCCAGATATTTGGTCAAACATTATTCTAGATCTTTCTGTGAAGGCTTCCCCCCCACCCAGGTGAGATTAACATTTCAATCAGTAGACTTTGAATAAAGCAGAATACTCTTTATAACACAGGTGGGCCTTGTCCAATCAGTTGAAGGCCTTAATAGAAAAAACACTGTCCTCTCCTGAGGAAGAAGGAAATCCACCAGCAGATGCCCCCTCCCCCAACTGAATTTGGACTTGCTAGCCTTAAAAACAGCACAAGCCAATTCCTGAATTGGATCTATACATCCCATTGTTTCTGTTTCTCCGGAGAATCTTAACTACCACATCCACCCAGTAAGGGTCTTTCCTTGTCCTTAGGCCTGTTCCTGCCACATCTAGAGGTAGGCTGGTCAGGGGCCAGCAGTCTCCTTTTCTGGAGGAGAACAGGAACGCAGGCAGAGAGAGGTGGGAAGTCACATAGCTTGTAGGTTGTCTGGCTAGGTTCTAACTCCTCATGACCTGATCCCAAAGTCCAAGCCTTATCATTATTTTTAAAACATTTTATTTTGAAATAATTTGAAACCCTGAGAAAATGTGCAAGATGAGTATAAAGAAATCTCTTACGCCCTTCCCCCAGAATATTTTACCACATTGGTTCCTCATTCTCTCCACGTGGGAGAGAGGTCTCCCAGGACCCCGGGATCACAACCTGAGCCAAAGGCAGACACTTAACCAACTGAGCTACCCAGGTGCCCCATCTCTCTCTCTCTCTTTTTAAAAAATAGACTTTGTGTTTTAAAGTAAAATTAAGCAGAAGGCCTAGAGATTTCCCAGAGACCCCCTGCCCGCCTATGCACAGCCTCCCCCACTATCAACATCCCCTTCCCCCAGACTGGAACGTTTGTTAGAACTGATGAACCCATATGGACATGTCAAAATCGCCCAGACCCTTTTCCTCCTAAATACTTCAATATGTATCCCCTAAGCACATGGGTATCTTGTTACAGAAACACAGAGCAGTGATGTTATTTAGAACTTTAACCTTGATACAATGCTATCATTTCTTATAGCACATATAAAGAATAGATCCTTATATTCAATTTTTTAATAGTTATTCTAATGCTGATCTTTATAGCCTCCTCCCCCCACCCCACCCCCACCCCGCTCTAGGATCATATGTTTTCTGGAGTTGTCGTGGGTCACAGGCAGGATCCCTGGGAAGCACTGGGGAAGGGATGGTGTCATTTTGGGGGAAAGTTCCCTGTGTCCTAATGATCTGTCTTCTAAGTGTTTTGATGGTGCAAATTGAGTAGTTCCCTGGTTTGCGGCCCATTTAGTCTGCTCCTAGGGACGCCCTATTTTATGACCAGCTCTTTAATTCTCTGGGGCTCAGGGGCTCAGGGCCTCCCGGCTGCCCCCTTGACCCTACCCCTCACAGGAAATTGTGTCCACCTGATGGGTCAGTGTTGTCTCATGGCTGATATTATTTCAAGGTCCCACCAACCCCAGTGCTATTCAGGGGACCATGATGTCTTCTATGGAGGGGGCCACTCGAGCTTCTTAGTGATGCTGGGTCTGCTCACTAGCCTATTCCTCATAGTCTGGGTAAAGGTGTCTTCTCTGCTTTTCCATGGGAGATAATTTGGTGGCTCTTCTGGCCTTATGTGGCATATCCACCCCCTCAAGCCCACCTCTCTGACCTTTGAGCCCCATCTTCCCCCATCCTTCAGGCAATATTGTCATTCGGATCTCACTCAGCACAGCTCTTAACCTTTTCCATTTTTCTAGAAGCCCTGCTAGCAGCAAGCTTGTACCTTCTGGGCTCCTGGACTGCGTATGAAGTCCTGAATTCCAGGAGAGACTTCCAAATCAATAAACTCTTCCTCATCCGGTCTTACACAGCAGCCCCTTGATCAAGCACCCTTGGGTCCACTCCCACTCATACCCACCTGACTTTTGTTGGTACACGCTGGCTGGGTTGTCCGGCCATTTGGGGTACAGGTCCATCTTTCCCTTATTCGGCCCAGCATCCCTGGCTGGGTTATTCTGGGACTTAACCCTAGTCCTACTCACCGGGCAGGAGGGGAAGTGGGTGCAGGTCATGGGGGCGGGGGATGATTTATAGATGAGAGGCCTCTGCAGGGTCTCTTTGTAAAGGGGGGGGTGCTAGTTTTTAATGGGAGGGGTGCAGCTCAGAGGGTTCAGAGGAATCTGGGGGCTCAAGATCTTCGGAGCCTCCACCCCTTATGTCCCCCGGCTGTGCGTCAGAGTCCCATTCTTTCCCACGCAGGGTCCTGACCCTAGCCCGCAGACCTGATTACCCACTGGGGGGGTGGTGGCTATCATCAAAATGACAGGTAATGGCAAGTGTTGGGGAGGATGTGGAGAACCCCCACTCATTGCTGGAGGTGGTGTGAGTGGTATAGTGCTACGGAGCACAGTAGGGTGGGTCGTCATGGTTAAATACAGACTTATCATATAAGTCAGCAATTCCACTCCTGGGTATATACACCCAAGAGAAATGAAAATATGTTTGCATAAAATCATATACCAACGTTCATAGCATACTTTCATAATGGCCAAAAAGTGGAAACAGTCCAAACACCCACCAATGGATGACTGGATAAACACAATGTGGTCTCTCCATACAGTGGAATATTGTCCAGTAATAAGGGTTGAAGCACGGAGGTAGAAGCCGCAACATGGATGCACCTTGAACACGTGATGCTGAGTGAAAGAAGCCGGACACAAAAGGACAAATATGGTGTGATCCCATTTGTATGAATTGTCGATAACAGAGACAGAAGCAGATCAGTGGTGGCCAGGGATTAGGGGGGAAGGTGTGGTGGGAATGCAGAGTGACTGCTAATGGGATTCAGGTTTCTTTTGGGGCTGATGAAAACGATCTGGAATTAGGATAATGGATGCCCCTTGTGACATGGCTCACCTGGTGAATATCCTAAATATGAACTTTGTGACTATCCCCACACCGCTGAGTTGTACACTTTAAAAAAGTCGAAATTCACAGTGTGTGAATTACATCTCAACTGCAGTTTTTTTTTAATTAAAAATTAAATTGACAAATTAAAAAAAAAAAACATTGTGCACATGCTGCATTTCTGGACTGGGTCCTCATTCCCCTCTGCCTCTGGCTGCAGGAGATGGAGCCTCTTTGTGTGCTCTGGCACACAAGAAGGCCCCCTGGCTCTCTGCTTAGCTTGCAATTGCTGATTGATCACATTTAGATTTTCGTTATTTTTTAGCCCCTAAGGCTCTGGCTTCCTGGTAAGTTTTTTTTTTTTTTTTTTTAAAGATTTTATTTGTTTATTTGAGAGAGGGAAACAGAGACGGAGAGCATGAGCAGGAGGACCAGCAGAGGCAGAGGGAGAAGCAGACTCTTGGCTGAGCAGGGAGCCCGACATGGGGCTTGATCCCAGGACCCCGAGATCATGACCTGAGCTGAAGGCAGACACTTAACCAACTGAACCACCCAGGCGCCCCCTCCCCCAGTAAGTTTTAATACTGGCTGGGGTTACTCCCTCCTTGGAGCTCTTTTTTTTTTTTTAATTTTCTGAACTTTCCTTGGCACGTGTATGTTTCCATAAGACCTTTAGTATCAGTTTGTCTAGTTCCGGGGAAAGTGCTTGTGGGCATTTTTGTGAGGATCTTTAGGATCATTAAATGTATAAATCAAGTTGGAACTGACATCTATCTAAGGGTGTGACTATATCAGGAAGCCCTCAAAAGTGACAGTGGGGTACTATGTCCATGCAAGGGTAGCCATTGTCAGAGACCAAGGAGCTAGAGTAAAATAAATCCCCACTGGGATCAGCCCCGCCCAGGTGACATGTCCTCCTTACTCCTACCTACTGGGGCTACCCCATTTCCCACCATCTCACAATTCCCCTCATTCGAGTCACTTTAGGGGGGAGGCCTAGAGTCCATGTCATGAAGTTAGGAGTTACTGAATTGAGACCCACCACCAGCTCCTCCCAGGACGAGCAAGGCCAAGGCCAGGCCCCCACCTGCTGCTGGGTGGTTGGCGGGGCAGGTCTCTGCTGCCCGCAAGTGTCTGCCCTGAGCTCTTGGAACTGGCCAACCCCAAAGGTGTAACTTGGGGTCCTGAGAGTCCCACACCCGGATACGCAGGCAGTCAGGGAAGTGAGTCTAAGGAGACTTTATTAGCACCGTGTGCCCTTAGCATCAGATGGGGCGGGGGGGGCACACAGGAGGTGCGAGCCGGCTCGGCCTCTAAGCCTCCGCCACCGTAGTCCCAGGGGAAGCAGAGGAACTGCTCTCCGGCATGGTCTCCCTCCCAGAGAGCAGCGCTAGAGAGGGGAGGGCTCCTCCTCACCCCCCCATCCAGCATCCCTGCCCTGGGCTGTGTCCCCCAGTGCCTATGTGGAAACCCTCTTCCTGGTGTGAGGGTACGAGGAGGTGTGGTCTTTGGGAGGCGATGAGGTCTTGAGGGTGGCTTTCTTGTGAATGGGATTCACGCCCGCATAAGAAGAGGCCAGAGGGATGCAAGAGGTGTGCAGCCTGGAAGGGGCTCTCAGAAGAACCTGACGGTGCTGACTTCTGGCCTCCAGAGCTGCCAGAAATACATTGTGGTTGATAAGCCCCCGGGTCTGAGGCACTGTGTTATAGCACCCTGGCGGCGCCCAGCCATGGGCCATGGAGAGTCAGGCTCGCTGAGACACGCGGGGGCTGGGGGGCGGGGGGTGGGAGTGCGTCCTGGCTCCCTCCCTTCTGTCTCCTCCGGCTCCTCCCTCGGGGCTGGACTGCCCACTCACCCACCCAACAGACGTTCACTGTGAATCCGCAGGGGTGCTGTCCCCAAGGCCCGCTGTGGGTGCCGGGCATCTGCTCCTCCCCGTGGCTGCCCTGTTGCCCAAGTTCCAGCTGTGATCTAGGTCGTGCTGAAGGCGGGGGACATAAGGCATCTTCCCGCCGTGCTGATGGCTAGCAAGCCCTGAGCCTCGCCTGTGGCCACTGGAGCCCACATTCTGGGTCTGGCCCCCCGCTTTGTGGGTGTGAGTGCCATTGGCTGCAGTCGCCTCCCGACCTCTGATTCGGCCGCAGTGCTCTAATCTTCAAACCCACAGTCCAGTTGCGGCCCCTGCCTTCCGCTCCTCCAGACCATCCAGGGATTTAGATGGAATCCCTTTCTGCTTACGATTCTTAGACTATTTTGTTTTCCATGCTGAGTCTTGACTGCGGGGGACACTGTTGTTGGTCCAGAGGTCAGGAGTGCCTCTTGCAAGGACCCGGTGCATTTGCCCTGGAGGGCAGAGAGAAGCAGGCTGAGCACTGTTGTTTGGGCACTGGCTCACGTTCAGCCTCTGGGGATGGAGAATCCCACTGGCGATGTTCCATCAGGTCAGGAGAGAAGACAAGAGCCTAGTAAAAATTCAGGAAGGCAAACAGGGCATGGCCTCGAGATGCGCACATGGGGAGTGAGCACAACAGGAAGGGGGAAGAAAATCAGGCTCTAGTGAACAGGCATTCAGTCAGGCGTCCCACGAGAGGGACTGCATGGTACGCGTGGCCCCACTCCCTCTGTGACAGACAACACCAGCCAATCTGGGCAGGCTCTCCTGCCAGTGGCTGAACTCAGAGAGCTCCTCAGCAGGAGACGTGAGCTGGTGCGGCAGGGCAGAGAAGTCAGGAAGGAGGACATTCTCAGCAGGGGCAGGATGCAGTGTGGGATGTACCCGTCTCTGTCTGAGAGCAGAGTCATGGCGGGGAGGCTGGAAAAGCAGGCTGCTGCCAGCCCATGGACCCTGGACTCTGATGCGTGGCCACAGGAGGGAGGCGAGTCTGCGAGGTGGCCAGTGCCCACCTGATACAAGGGGGTATCAGCCAGGCTGGCTACACAGAGCAGGAGGAGAGCACGGAGTGGGGAGGCAGGGATATCAGATGGGAGGCTGGACGGAGTGGTTGGATCAATCTCTCACGCGTGCACGTGCACACACGCGCGCGCGCACACACACACACACACACACACACACATCTGGCAGGTGACCCTGAGTCTTCTCATGCCGAGGGCTGGTGTCCTTCTGTCCAGCTGGTACAAACGTGGACTCTCTGGCCTTCACACACCAGGCTGGGGGAAGGTTAGAGAAGAAGTGGGTTAGCCCTAACCTTCCTGGCGAAGCTGAGACCACAGGGACAGCCAGCACATGGAGCAGGGGGCACACGTGGGGCCATGGCGGGGCCTGCCCCTTTGGCTGGAGTCACGGCCCTCCCCTGAGCCCACTGCCCCCAACGAAGCGTGCCCTGCTGCACCATAGTTCTCTTACCTTCACTGGCCATGGCTGGATGGGGCTGCCGTCCCTGCTCATGCAGCACGGAGCAGACATGTAGGCGGCAGCTTCCTTGGCCAGCAGGTCCCAGCGGGCATTGTGGCCGAGGTTGCCTGTCGGGTCAGCTGGATCCAGGATGATGGGCCTGCAATTGCCACTGGAGTCAGGCTTATTCCTGGTAATATCGGGGTGTCCTCCTGAGCGACTGGTTGAACTAGTCTCCTCCCTCACCCAACACTCTGCCCCGGCCACTTCTCCCTTCTACATCCAGGGCAGACGTCACTAATCAATCACTGTGTTCCTTTGGGCCACACCCCTTCAGCAGGTAGCTGGCATTGGTAACAAATCACGGTACCGGTCCTACCACTCTCCCTTCCTACATCTGTGGCAGATGGGACCACCTCAGAGTCTTTTTCAACATACCATGCTAAGTGGCCATTACCCACGGACTGGGGATGCATCACGAATTTGTGAAAGCTTCTCTGCTTTCTCTGCACCATTTGAGAGGGAGGCAAAATCCCAAAGAATAAGACATGCTTACGTTACCTGGTGGGTTCACAGGTAGGGCTGCCAGATTTAACAAATACAAATAGAGGATGCCCAGTTAAATTTGAGTTTTGGATAAACATAAGTATATCCCCAATGCTGCATGGGACATACTTATCCTAAAAAGCGATTCATTGTTTATCTGAAATTCAAACTTGACTTGGAGCCTTGCACTTCATCTGGCAACCCTGTTTATGGGGGACAAGGACACGGATCGCCTGTCCCTCAGGTGCTAAGGAGGTCCCTGTTAGAAAGGAGCTCAGTCTTAGGAAGAGGATTTTGCTGTCCCTGGTCTGTGCCCTCCGGATGTGGGAGAGCGAGCAACCCCATCTTTGAGACTCTGTGACGGTGAGGGTGGGCCAGAACCTGGGCTGGAGAAGCTTCCGGTTCAGGAAGTCTCTGACAGTCTTCTCCTTGTTGCTGTAGTTGACGGTCCAGTAGACACAGAGCTGGCGGTACTGGCTGACCAGCTCTAGGACGGTGCGGAAGCCCTGGGCCATGTTAAATTGGGCGTCCCGGCTGCCCTGCTCCCAAGCATACACTGTCAGGAGTTCCAGCCCGTGCTGGGGGGGCAGGGAGCCTCTCCCCTTGGGCATCTTGTTGCACTGGGGAATAACGGGAAAGAGGATGTGTCGGTTCACACTGGCAATGAAGAGGTGCAGGAGGGGCCCCTTCCAGAGCTGGCAAGCCCACCCCCAAATTTTACTGAGCACCTCCATGTGTCAGATGCCTGGCCGTGCATTATCCCCTCAAATCCTGTGACCTAGCCCAATTTTCCAGAGAAGCCAACTAAGGTCCCATGGGCTAGGAAGTACCTCTCCTTCTGCTCCACCAACCCAGGGTTCTGGCCAGGGCTGGGCCCTGCCCCCACCCAGGACCTCAGTGGGGCGGCCCTGTCCTCACACCGCACCTGCCGGTACCAGTGTTTCACCAGTCGGATCAGACTCTTCAGCTTGGTGGGCCGAGAGATGATGAAGTCCCGCTGCAGCTCCGTGAAGCAGGTGGAGTACTCGCCTGCGTGGTTGTAGCTGTGGATGAGGTCGACGTAGACTTGAGACGGGGGCCTGTAGCCGGGGACCACCTGGCCTGGAGAAAGGGAGGAGGCCACCATCAGTTCATTCCCCAGAGTCCCGCTGCGGCCAACTGAGCAAGGACTTCCAGGATCTCCTACTTGGGCATTTCCCTAATGGCTGGGCTGGGACCCACTGGGGAAGTGGGGAGCCACAGGGTGATTTTAGTTGAAGCACAGACATGGCATGACCCAGAGTTAAAATATCTTATGTTCCTTCCTGCCCCCTTTCAACCCTTCCATTTGCCTGTCATGAAGAAAGTCTCAGCTGGGAGCTAACTCATCTTTAACGGCTCTTGGCTGCTTGCTCATCTCTCTCTAACAAAGGGAGAGCTTTGGTCTCAGAGCCTCCGGTAGGGAATAGGACCGTATGTGGTGAGCTGACGTCACCCTCTGGTTTCATTGCCCTTAAAGGCATTCCTTGATATTTAAACTCTTGCTTTCTGAAGAACGATGTAGATTCAGATACATTTCTGGATGAATCCCTTCCTTGTCACTTGTTTTCCCAACCTTGGGAACCACATACATTCAGATACAGGGGACGTCCTCGCTCTGCAAACTCCCCTATGCAAACTCAGAACTGAATAGATACAAAGAGATCTGTGTCTGTTTTGTTTAGGGATTTATCCTCAGTGCCTGGAGAACACTGGGCACATGCTCGGTGAATTTACTGAACTCATGGATCCTACGGATCTGTGGCAGGTGGAGGAGAACCACGCACAAATACTCAAAGCTGGGGATGCACGGCGACACCCCAATACCCACATCGTCAGGGGATGACACTGGCGCTCGAGGCAGCAAAGTCCCTCACCCAAGGTCATCCATCATGTTGGTGCAACTGCTGAGACTAGGGCCCAGCCCAGAGCCACCATGAGACCACGTAGCACTGTTGTGTGAATTAGACAAAGGTATCCTTTTCTCCACTTTGCAGGAGAATGGTGATAAACATACACGTGTACAAGGCCTACGCGGTGAACAGGTGTGCTCTGGTTGTGCACCGCACAACCTCAAAAACTGTCCCTGGCAGCCCGGCCCCCGCTTTTCCCCCTCTCAGGACTATGCCTGGGTACCTCACCTAAGGCGTTAAAGGCTGGCAGCACGTCAAAGTCCACACTCTGGTCCAGCATCGTCTGGGACGTCAGGGAGAAACTCAGTACGCGGGAATTCTCCCACTTGGGGATCTCGAACTTCACCTCGAACTGCATCTCCTGCTGACATGCCTCCAGCTGGGCTCGGATCTCTGAGATGATCTCAGCCCGCCTGTTCCCTTGCTCCGTGAACTGGCTGAAGCAGCTGAGGAACACCACTAGATCCGCATCCGAGCAGCCTTGCAGAGCTGTGCCTTTGGCTAAAGAGCCGCCCTGGGGAGGACACAGAGGTGGCTTAACCCCTGAAGGACTCCTGCTAGAGTCTGTGGGTTAGGAACTTGCTGTCTGACCTTGGCAAGTCACCTAACCTCTCTGTTTTACCTCTTCAATATGGGGTTAATACATAGTATGATTATGAGAAAAAGAAACGTGCAAGACATAAGTTTAAACCCTTCAACAAATGTAAACTTTCTCATTCCGTCAAGTTTGGGGGTTTGGGGGCTGGGAGAGATTTGAGAGATTTTTGTTGTTGTTGTTCTTTTTGACCTGGTGGTTCTCAAGCCTGTCTGCCTCAGGAGAGTTTTAAAAAATGACTGATGTCTGGCTCCTATGCCCCTGAGACTGTGATTTAATTGGCCTGGGAGGGGGACTGGGTATCAGTATAATTTTTTAAATGAGTCTAAGTGAGGCCATGGTTGACAACCAGTGAACCAGGTTATCATCTTCAAGTGTTATGGATGAGGAAGCTAAGGATCAGAGAGGGGAAAGTATTTGCCTGAGGTCACACAACAAATCACCAGGCCTGGGAATTTTCATTGGCTGACTCTATGCTGATAATCTTCTGGAGCTGACCTGGGTCTCACTTGTGACTTCAATTGTGGACTGAGGTTGTATCTGATATAGTGGATAATGTGACTTTTTATACACCACCAGCATCCCTCTACCTTCTGGGATCAGCATCCTGGTTTTCTTTGGGGGAATCACTCCTCCCCCACACTCAGGTCCACGTGCAGCTGACTCCATCATATGAGCCAGGCTTGGCCAGTCAGAGCATGATGTCTCCCTAGCCCCACGGATTAGTTTGGGGATGGGTATAAACCCGAGTCAGGCCAATGAAACTCAATCCCAAGACTTCTATTTGAACTTTACGAAAACAGAATGCCTCTTTCTGGAAGTTTAGAGATGCCAAAGACCCTCATGTGGAAAGGTCCTGTCCAAAACAGAAGATGGCAGAGCCAAGAGCTGGGATGAAAAGCTGAGTCCTGATGACCCTGCATGGGCTCCTAGATCTAGCTGTACCCGATGGTAGATCTACTCCAGGGCTTTCCATTTGCATCAGCCAATATATTTCTTTTGTTCCACCTTTTAAGTTGGTTGTCATAAGCAACCAAAAGAGATGTGTTGGACACATCTGGGCCCTCTCTCTGCCATCCACTCACAACCACATTTTGGTTTCTCTTCTACACCTGGCCTTGTGCTGACTGTCATAAGGATGGCAGAAGTGGGTCAGGCCTGGCCCTGGTCTGGGAAAGATCACCAGCCTGCAGGACCCTCCTTGCCCATACATAGCTCTCTGGGGACTTACCTTGACCACCTTGAGCACTTTGATAGCAGAATTCCGGAAGCAGTTTTCCCTCAGGAATGAGCAAATGGTATCAATGGCCTTGTTCACCTGAGCCAAGAACTGGCGGTTGGGCTGGAGAAATTCACTGATGAACTTGTCGAGGTCCCCAGCTGGGGTTTGGTAAAGGAGAGCAGGCTATGGAAAGAATCCGGGTAGGGCCAGCTTGAGACAGGATTCCCTATGAATGCCCCGGCCCTGACTCCTGATATCCTAAGCGGATGAGACTCTCACTGTCTCCATAACCTTTTTCTTTCTCAGCTGGTTGGTAGGTCTCTGTGGTAGCATCAGCAGGACCTGATTTCCAGTTCTGGTTCTACCACCAACACACAGCCTTGGTCTCCCCACTTTAAATGGGGGCAAGAACAAGGCCCATGCCTCACCAGATTGTATTATTAAGCACTGGTTATGAGATCCTGCTGAAAAATAGCAAATGCAGTAAAATCATGCCCTTTGGGGGCTGGCTATCATCTTAAGTGGGGTCCCCTAGAAGCAGAGCCCGTGATGGGGATTCCTGTGCATGGATTAACTGGGGGCAGTGCCTGCAGGAGAAGGGGGGTGATGGAAGTAGGGAGGGCCGGGGAAGGAGCTAAGTAAGGCTCCAGCTGGAAAAAGCTTTTTCCTGATCCCACAGGGAACGCTGGACTAAGAACTCCATCACAGAGCTGGTCTCGCCTTCAAACAAGGGTGGGCCTTTTGTACCCCATGTCACTCAAGCATTGGCTGGGGCGGAACAACCTGTGTCTCAGCTGTAAGCCATGAGCAGCGAACACTCCTAGCAGCTGAGGATGTGTGCACCAGCAGGGAAAGGCAATCTGGAAGGGGGCCCCAACAGCATCTGCCACCCCAGGGACTCCTCACTTACTATCACATCCCAGGGCTGCACAGACGGCCCTTCTCCACTCTTAAAGCAGGCCTGCGTCCCCAGAATTGCTGCTTCCTGGGCCAACAGCTCCCAGCTGCCCTGGCCCACATTCCAGGTGGGGTCGGCAGGATCCAGGACCAGGGGCCTGGGGGCAGAGTGGATGGGCAGGCAGGTGAGGAAGGTGGGAATCAGTGAAGGAGCAGAGAGGTGGGAGGGACTAGGAAAGGGTGTGGGAGCTGGGGAGGAGAAGAGTGTCAGCACCTTAGGGTTGGCCCAATCTCTCCCAAGCACAGTAGGGTTCCTGTCTGGCCGCCTCAGGCAGGAAGGTACTGGGTGGCCCCTTAATTTCAGAAATGATATTTTATTGTGTTAATGAGACTGGCCCTGGCTTATTTGGGGGCTCCACGTGTCCATGCTTCCTCAGTAAAGAGTCCAGAAGGAAGCAGAGTGAGGAGTGGGGTTGGGGCACCCAGAGCCCACCCTGCACCCCTCCTGGACACAATGATGACTCTAGGGTGACAGTGGGGGAGGAGAGGGATGATGCAGGGAAGGCAATGGGCAAGTGGGTCTGCACCTCTCTTTCTGAAGTTGGCCAAGAAGCTGTGTTCTGATATCAGGGTCCTCAAAGCCATAGTTGACCGTCCAGTAGACACAGAGCTGCTGGTGCCGCTGGACAAGCTCTAGGACGGTCTTTAGGCCTTCGGCCATTTTGAAAGAATCTTTCCCACAGCCTTGCTCCCAGGCGAATATGGTCAGCAGCTCCAGGGCGTAGACGGGGGGCAGAGAGGCACAGGCTGGTTGCTGTCCTTTGTTCTGAGCTGCAACCTATGTCACCCAAAGCCAATCAAAGAATGAGTGGATGTGAGCACCTACTATGTGCTAAGCATGGCCCTATGTACTCGGAGAGGGAGGGGAATAGAAAAACAAAACCACAGAAAAAATAGAACCCTTCTCATTTTACAGGTGGATAAACTGAGGTCCGGGGTGGGGTAGTGACTTGTCCAAAGTCACACAATGACCTGAGACTAAGAATCTCAGACTTGATCTCCGCCTGAAGTCTCTCCTCAAAGGTGTACAGGATTGGGGGCTGCAATATATTCAAGCTTGGTATGCCGACATCTGTCGCAATAGTGACGTTAGCAGCAGTGGGTGCTCAGTAGATGTTTGTTGAATGAGTACATGATAGCGAGTGCATTCAGATTAGTGTTTAGTGGGGGCGCTCTGGAGGATGTTCAGGGTTTACTTAGTACAACTTACGCAGAGGACAGTGATGGCGGAACAGCAATAAGCTAGGGCTGCGGGTGGCCAAGCACAGGGAAAGCATTAGCAGTGTGAGGATGGAGGAGAAACTGAGGAGCTAGAGAGGGATGGTGAACCCCAGCCACAGGCAATGAACACTTGGGGCCTGATGGAGGAGGTGGTCCTTCTACGTGGGATGGCCAATAAGAAGCGAAGGAAGGGAGAGGTCTGCCTAGGAGAGGAGCTGATTGGTTGAGGCACTTGCCATGACAGCAGCTGCTTCCTGGGACGAGCTAGGGGGTATGGCAGCCTCACCTGACCGTACCAGTGCTTCACTAGCAGGATCAGGTTTTTCAGCTTGGTTGGGCGATTGTTCACGAAGTTCCTCCGCAGCTCTGAGAAGCAGGCCGCGTGCTCGCCCCTCTGGCAGCCGCTGTTGAGGAGGGTCGAGTAGACCTGGGGCGCAGGTTTGGCGCCAGGGCAGAGCGGCCCTGTGGAAATTTGAAATACTCTGAGCGCAGAGCTCTAACGAAGACATCTGCATGTCCCAGCCCAGCCACTCACCAGCCTTTATTAATATTTGAACGTTAATTATATAGCACTGCAATCAATAATACACCAATCTACAACGTAGAGTAGCAATCGGAACTTTTTTTTTAAGCACCAAATATGTGCTGGGTGCTTTTCAGTAATTTTCACTCATCCACCCAATAACTCTTCAAGGTGGGTGATCTTGACCCCAGACAAGCTATGTAGCATAGCGGTTAAGGGAATTAGTCTCCAAGGCACAGGCTGGAGGTAGCCCTCACCCACGGCATCAAAGACGGGCAGGAGGGTCACATCCATCCAGCTTTCTAGGGCCGTGGACACCAGCTGGAACTGCAAAGCCCCGGGCACGGTCCGCTCAGGAAACTTGAGGCTCAGGCCGGGGACCGGGTCCTGCCACCGGGATTCCAGCTGTGCCTGCATCTCATTAAGGATCTCCGGGCGGTGGGCCCTTTGGTCCTTGTAGTCTTTGAAGCAGTTGAGGAAAATGATGAGTTCGGCATCAGAGCCGCCCCTCAGGTCTGTGCCCCGGCCAAACGAGCCCCCCTGCAGAGGAAGGACCATCTCAGACCCGCGAGTGTCCCTGAGCTCAGGCGTCAGACTCTGACCCCAGCGGCTGCCCCTCCCCCCCCCATCTGCAGCCCAGACACTACTGGGCATCTCACTGATGCTGGGTCCTGGGGTACCACAACAGAGGCAGTGACCTCTGACTCTTAGAAGCCTGGCAGAGTCTGACTATATCTGTCTGCACCTGCCCTCTGACCCCTGGGGCCCTGCACAAAGTCAGACCAGCGTGCAGCAACAGAGAACGGGGGATGCAGTGAACGGGGGTCAGAGATTAAAGATTTTAGCCAAACATCAGCAGCACCTACTGATTGCACATCTGGACCACAGGGTGCAAATTGAGGTCCCAGGGCCAGATGGGGCCTGCAGATGTGCTCTGTTGGCCTGTTTCAATCAACCAACCAACCAACCAATCCATCCATCCATCCATCCATCCATCCATCCATCCATTCATTCATTCATTCATTCATTCAACACATTTATGAGCACTCACATGTACCAAGATATGGGAGTACATAAAAGGTACCTGCTCTCCTGGAACTTATATTCTAGCAAGGGGAGAGGAGTGAGGGACAGTCAGCAGACAAAAGCCCTCGGAAAGTGCTAAGTGCTGCGTGGAGGCACATCAATCAGGAAGGGGACCAGGGATGGAAGGGAGGTTGCAGTTGTAAATTGAGCAGTCAGGCCTCCGTGAGAAGGGGACTTGGGTCCCAGACTTAAAGGAGGGGAGGGAGCCAAGTGGATGGGGGAAGAGCCTTCCAGAAAGAGACACCAGCCAGTGCAGACTGTGCCTGGTGAGTTCAAGAAGCAGCCAGGAGGCCAGTATGGAGTAAGTGAAGGTCAGAGCAAGACCAGGAGCAGATCCTACGGGCCTTGAGGCCATTGTACTCGGTGAAACCACAGAGGATTTTGAGCAGAGGATGGAAGTGGTCTGATGATGGTAATAGCGGCTTAGAAAACTATTATTAAATTTTTTTAAAAGCTGGCACTCAGATATATACCTCAGAGGGCAGCACACTCCCCTTCCATGGATGTCCACTTGCCTTGCTGGCCCCCCGCTCCTTCCCCTCCTCACTGTGGTGCCCCAGGAAGTGCCCATCAGTGTCTCCATGCACCGACTCACCTTGCTGACTCTGGAGGCCTTGTAGACACAGTTCTCACGAAGGCAACCCAAGATGACATCGATGGCCTTGCCGATCTGCTTCTGGAACTGGGGGTTTGGTTTCAGGTGGTTCTGGATGAAGCGGTCCAGGTCCTTGGCGGCGATCTGAGACAGAGCCAAGGCCGTCCCCAGTGTGGAAGGGGTGATGCAGGCAGCCCCCGAGGGGCCGGGAGCTGGGCCTGAGGGCTGCCTGCTCCCTGCCCGTGGGGGCACAGCATGGAGACTGCTGCTGTCCTCAGGGGTCCTCTGGGCAGAGTCTCGCTGGATGGGGTGGCCTAAACCTGAGGTCCCGGCATGTGGAAGGCCCTGGAAGTGTGTAGGAAGGAGTTGTCTTACAGGCATAGGAGTTTCTCCATCCCTTCTCTCGCCAGCCCCCTCCCAATGGACAGTCAGGTTGACTGAGACTAGGAGCGGGGAAGTGGGAAGGCCACCGTAGCCCATATGGTGCCTTTGTGCAGATTAGAAAAGGGTGCCATCAATTCTAGAAAGGGCCCCTGTGCTGGGCGGACACGGTGTGGTAAGCGGACAGTAACCCCGTGAGCACAGAGGTGTTCCTCCAAGCAGGCTCAGCTTGGTGAACAGGTTGTTTGCATGCCTGCAGCCCCCACTCCGCAACTCTGTCCCACACCCCATGGCCCCAGCGCCCGCTAGGCGCTCAGCAAACACTGAGCATGTGAATTAGGCGCGGCTCTACACCTAACAAGGATCCCCGAAGCCCCTCACTCACGGGCCCCTCCCAGGGCTGCACAGCGCTCCCTGCCGCCTGCAGAAAGCATGGGTGCTCATAGCAGGACTGTGCCTCCCGGGCCAGTAGATCCCAGCACCACACTGCTCCGTCCCCCACATCCCACGTGGGGTCAGCCGGGTCCAGGATCACAGGCCTGCAAATCCAGAGGGACAGGAAGGTTCCGGTTGGTACGGTGGTCAAGATCAGGGGCTCTGAGGTCAAGCAGACCTGGTTCCAATCCCCGTTCTTCTACTTTCTAGCTGTGTGACCTGGGGTAGATAACTTACCTCCTCTGAGCCTGTTTCCTTTTGTGCAAAATGGGGATGACAACAGTGCCTGCTTTCGTGGGCTGTTGTGGAGATTAAATTGGATCAATGGTCCTCAGCTCTGGCTGCACATTAGAATCATAGGGTACGAGGATCTAGCCCCAGGGGCTCAAGAGTTATGGCCATGGCTTAGCTGTCTTATTGCTACGTGTGTATCCAACGGTGCACGCCCACAGAGGTACACGTACAAGATGGTTCCTAACAGCCTTCTTGTAACAGCCCCGGGGCAGAAACAACCAAATGTCCATCATCAGCACAATGGGAAGCATACTGTGATAAATTCACACAATGGAACACTATTCAGCCACACAAAAAAATAAGCAACAATAACCAAGTACACACAACGATCCAGAAGGATCTCAAACATTTAACGTTGAGAAAGAGATGTCAAACACAAAAGTACATGCCGTGTGATTCCCTTTCAGTAAGATTTTAAAACAGACAGGATTGGAAGGGTAAGAGTTGGAAGGGGTCACCTCTGGGATGTCCCTGATCGGGAGAGAGAAAGGGGAAGCTCCTGAGGTGCTGGAAATATTCTCCCTTGATCTGGTGGTGGTTTCTTTTCTTTCTTTTTTTTTTTTAAGATTTTATTTATTTGACAGAGACAGCGAGAGAGAGAACACAAGCAGGCTCTCCGCTGAGCAGGGAGCCCGATGCGGGGCTCGATCCCAGGACCCTGAGATCATGACCTGAGCTGAAGGCAGACACTTAACCCACTGAGTCACCCAGGTGCCCCTGGTGGTGGTTTCACAGGGACGTTCACTTTATAGAACGTCATCAAAATGTGCCTTTTGGATAGGTATGCTGTGTGTCACTAAAATGTTCACACGTACAATATGTTCACAGAAGAAAAATCTTTTTAAAAACTGCCCCAAGAGGGGTGCCTGGGTGGCTCAGTGGGTTAAGCGTCTGCCTTCAGCTCAGGTCATGATCTCGGGGTCCTGGGATGGAGCCCCACATCAGGCTCCCTGCTCAGCAGGGAGTCTGCTTCTCCCTCTCCCTCTGCCCCCGCACCCCACTTGTGCTCTCTCTCAAATAAAAACAAAAACTGCCCCAAGTGATTGTAATTTCCCTCTGGGGCTGAATCCACGGAATGAGGAAGCCACGTGCGGTGCCTGGCTTTGGCCCCCACGCAGGCCCACCCAGTTTTATCGTTGTTAATTATCTCCCGAGGCCCAAGCCCAGGAGAGTGGGTAGGGGGTGTGGGGAGGTACCTGGGTCTCTCAAGCTGCTGCCTCAAGAACTGGCTGACCGTAGCCTCCTCGAAGCCATAGTTGAGGGTCCAGAAAACACACAGGTGCTGATACTGCTGGATCAGGCCCAGGACGGTCCGGAGGCCTTGGGCCAGGCTGAAGGCATCCTTCCCACAGCCCTGCTCCCAGGCGAATATCGTCAGCAGCTCCAGGGCATAGGCCGGAGGCAGCATCTCCCTCCTCCCCTCCTTCTGGCACACCTGTAAGAGGGTAAAGGGGAGGGGAAGGAGAGAGCTCTCCGCAGAACTTTGCTGGATCTCTCAGTCCCTGGGGCGTGGACCCCACAGGCTGAAGCCTGGGATGAGATGCTGTGTTCTAGAAGCAACCTGATCTTTCTCATCTGCCCTCACTCCTGGAGCTTCAGCAAAGTCGTGGGCTCATATGAGATCCAAGCTCCTGGGAATGGGGAGCAGTCAGAGAGAGGCCAGTGGGTACTGTGAACCTGTTACTGATCCCCCAAATGAAAGCATGGCAGAACTTGCCCAGGGTCAGAGGGCAAGTCAGTGGCTGAGCAAGAACAGGAATCCAGGACCTCTTCATCCTAGACTTGCTTTATGATGAGTGGTCCAACAGAAGGACCAAGCCATGTGCCCTGAGGTTTTGCGGGGCCTGATCCCTCATCTCTAGGCACAGGCTGGGCACCCCTTCCTCAATACCCAAGAGCCTATCCACAAACATGAATATTTCGGAGGGAGGGTGTTATTCCTGAGGCTGGGAGGGGAGGTGTACAAACTCCACATTACTTCATACCATACATAAAATATTCCAAGTAGTTTCAAAGCCCTAACACCACAGGAAAAGAAAAATCTTAAAACCTTTTGAAAGGAAACACAGAAGAATAATTTTTAGAAAGTCAGGATAGGCAAAGCCTTCTTACACAAGAAGCACAAAGCACAAATCACTTAAGAAAAAGATGAATGCACCTGATTACATTAAAATTCAAACATTATCTGTGACAAAAGACCTATGAACAAAGTGAAAGTACAAGCCTCGGACTAGGAGAATAGATTTGCATTATATCAACTCCCTAAGAATTAGCACCCAGACTATATAAAGAGCTCCAACAAACCAACAACAAGAAGACAGCTAATGCAGTAGAAAATAATAAGCAAATGATATGAACAGGCAATTCCCATAAAGAGACACATGAATGTCTGCGAAGCCTAAGAAAATATTCTCGCTGTCATGAAATCACAAATTCCATCACGAGTGCCTGGAACAAGGACCCTTGGTGGTGGCCTCACCTGACTGTACCAATGCTTCACCAGCAGGATCAGGTTCTTCACCTTTGCCGAGCGAACATTCACAAAGTTCCTCCGCAGCTCTGAGAAGCAGGCCGAGTGCTCGCCGCCGTGGCAGCCACTTTTGAGAAGCGTCGAGTAGACCCGGGGCGCAGGTTTGACGTTGGAACTGAGCTGCCCTGGGGGTGTGAAGTGCTATGAGTCAGGAAGGGTTCTGAGGCACAGGATGGAGAAACTGGGGGGAATTTGGTGGCAGGGGGAGGAATCCACTAGCATGGGGGGTTTGGAGGATGAGAAAAAGAGCCTGGAGCTTCTCAGGAGGCAGAGAGGAAAGCTCGAGACCAGAAGGAAGGGTCCCTCCCTTCCAAACCCAGGGCCAGGCTGAAGAGGAGCAGCCGTATTCCAAGATGGCTAAACAGGAATGATGCTTCGAGCTGAGTCAGGAGTACGTAGAATCTGGCAGTTCTCCCCTCCCCGAGGCTCCCTCAGGCGGCACCAGAATACCACCATACATACCTTTAATTAATCGGTGCCATAGGGAAAGGAAACGAAGCTGGAGAAGTAAAAGGCAAAAGGTCCTGATGCCTTAGCAGTGATGGCTAATATTGTTTGAGTGCTCACGATACTCCAGGCAGGCACTGGGCTGAAAGTTTCACGTGACTCCCCCATAGCCCCACCAAAACCTGATCAGGCAAATATTCCTCACCTCATTTCACAGCTGAGGACCTCGAGGCACAGAGAAGAAACTCAGTACTCTTTCTAAGGTTACATAGCTGACAAGTGATGGAGACAGGATGGGAACCTAAAGCTGGCTGACTTTACGGTATGTGCCTTTCCCTCCACCACTTCCCGTGGGCCCAGCCTGGGAAAAGCAAGCCCTCTCCGTAATTTCCCAGGTTCCTGACACCGCTTACTTGCTGTGTGACTTTGGGCAAGTTACTGTCTGTCTCTGTGCCTCAGCGTCCCTCTTGGTAAAAAGGAAGATACGACAGTGCAGGTCTCACAGGTTTGTTTGGAGGAATTAATGAGATAAAATATGTCAGGAGCTTGGAACAGTGAAGCATTTAATAAGGAGTAGCTATTATGATTAATGTTTGCATACCCAGAGGGTGGGTGTACCAGACGGGGAGAGCGTGGCCGTCTTCCAGGACCTCATAACTGGATAAACTCAAGAGACCTATCTCCCAGGGCATCATGGTTAATAATAATAATAATAATAATAATAATAATAATAGTGGAGAAGGAGAAGAAGAAGAGCAAGCACTCATATAGCCCCATCATGTGCCAGGCACCGTTCAAAATTCATCACATACCTTAACGCATACAGCCTTTCCAAAAACTCCATAAGATGGATTAACTAGGGTCCCAATATTATTAACCTTATTTTACAAATGTGGGCACAGGGGCACCTTATTATATTAAATCAAGGATGGATATATTATGAAGAGGAATGCAAAGATCACATTAATGGTTTTAAGATAAAAGACAAGACTTTGCAGAATTCTGGCCTTGTCCCCAGCCCCCTACTGCTGGGTGCATGCCCCTTTGCTTTCTCCTTTGGGGTATTTATGGAAGGGCTGAGCAGCACTGTTCTAGGCAGTGGCTGAAGGAAACTCCCCAGTTGCTTGAGCGAGGGCGGAGCATCTGGACACCAAGACCACAGATCCAGGAAGAATTGGGCTTTCTTGGCCCAGACTCAGTATGTTCACTGAGGAAACTGGAGCCCAGAGAGAGTTGCCCAGGCCACACAGAATGTCAGGGCAGGAAGCTCTGTCTGACTCCTAATGCTCTTGCCCCCAAGTCTGGAATGGGCCAGGCACCCCTCACCCAGAGCATCAAAGGCCGGCACCAAGCTAACATCCATCCAGTTTTCATGGTCCGTGGATACCAGGCGGAACTGTAGGACCCCAGGCCTGTCCTGCTGAGGAAACACAAAGCTCAGACCGTGGATGGGTTTCTGACACCAGGGTTGTAGCAGGGTCCACAGCTCGTTGAGGGTCTCTGCCCGGTGAACACTCTCGTCCTGGTAGCTCTTGAAGCAGTCAAGGAAGATGACAAGTTCAGAATCACAGCCACCCCTCAGCGCGGTGCCCCGGCCGGCGGAGCCTCCCTGCAGAGAAAGGGGAGACCATGTGCACACAGCAACTGGTATTTGGCGCCATGCAGAAATGCAGGTCGAGCACAGCCAGCTATGTTTTCGAGAAAAGCCATTTTCATTTGTAAATCCGTGATTTCTAAATGTTGGCAACCAACTTTGAACATTTTTGTGAGTTTAAAATTTTTTAATTTTTTTTTTTTAACTGTGGGTGAAACAAATTCTGGTTTGCAGAACATGTTTGTGACCTTTGCCTGGGATTCAGTCCAGAGCTACGATATGACTTGCTGAATTTTCAGGACTTTTCTGACAGGTGTTTCTTTCTGAAAAGCTGTTGGCTGAGGACTTGGGAAGGAAACTCACACGATCAGTCTCTCTGTGCCTGCAGCTCTGTCAAATGTCTGCCAACCTGTAAAATCTCACTTCCAGGCAATACCCCTGATGTGGTTACTTGTGGTTACACGAGGCAGTGAGGCTCAGGGCGGTGAAGTGAGTAACACAGCCAGGAAAAGACAAGAACCAGGGTTAGCCCTCCAGGGGCACCTCCCCCACCAAGCTGGGATTGCTAATTACCCCAGTGGTATCCCAGTTCCTTTGCGGCCAGCTCCTCACATCAGGGGCTGCCAACCAAGGGGGAACGGGGCAGAGCAAAGAGGAATATTGTAGACTGAGCACTTTTGCACACGATCATCTCACTGAAGCTCCCAACAAGCCTGGGAGAAAGGTGACTTGTCATTTTCTCTCACTTTACAAAGGAGGAAATGGGGAAACGAAAGTGCAGGGAAGTTTGCTTACCAAAGCCCTGCCCAGAGAGGCGGCATCAAGGGCTTTGAATTCAGGAAGTCAATTCGGGAGGTTGGGCTCCAAGCCTACATTCTTCCTGCACCCCCTCCCCCATAGATTAATTCACTAAAAAATATAAACATATTTTTTAGTGTCTAAACCTACCACAAAAGAAGAGAAGGTTGTAAAGAGGACTTTTGCCACATTTGCTCTATTTATTCAACCTCTGTTTTCCTCCTTATGTGATTTGAAAAGAAACTCCAGCCACTGTGTCATTTCATCTGCATACGCTTTCATGGGCATCTCGAACATGGTGATCCCCAGTGAGGGGCGGTGACATTTGTCCCAGGGGACATTTGGCAATGCCAAGAGACAATTTTTGGTGGTCCTAGCTGGAACAGGGGAGCCCCTTTATGTTGGCCCCGGGGGTGGGGGTTCTTCTGGCAGGACTGCAGAGGCCTGCCCCCCTTCCTTGCTTTCTGGTCCACCTAGAAGCCCCAGGCTCATCTCGCACATCTTATTCCAGCCCTGGAATGAGCCATTCTTCCAAGGAGCCCTTTCCACAGGGAGCAGCATCTCAAGACTGGAAAGGTAGCCCCTAGCCCTACCCACTTCACCACTGCCTCCTTCAAAGCCTGGAATGATCAGAAGGCCATAAGCTACATTCAACCACGAGAGCTGTTTCCAGGTTTTCCAGGGAAGCAAAGGATGCCAGAGCTTTAGAGATTCTTAAACTCTTGCTCCAAAGAAATTCTTCCTGTCCACCTCCAAGGCAGAAATCTGCCTCCACATTTCATAGGCTGCAAGTCTCTCCTTCTCCTTCCCCTTTCCTACCTCCCAAGCTAAGACTCAGCCCTAGGACACCACTAGCTGCTCTGGGGTCATCCCCTGCTCATCCCTTCCCTGGCAAGCTCCAAGTCCCCCCTACCCCAGCCACCTTCCCTCGCGTCATCCCTGGAGCCCCGGAGTTTGCGCTGAGGATATAGTAGGTGACGCCCGTCTCCTCCAAGTCTGTGGGCATCCTGAGGTCGCAAGGGCAGCGAAGCATTTAAGTGACAAAATGGGGCAGGGCTCACCCACACCCAGTCCCAGTTTCCCAAGTCATGAAACAGGGACAATAATCCCTAACCTCACTGAATGTGAGGATTAAGAGGGATGACTCATTTAATGAGACAATGTTTATTGTTATTGGGTAGTTTCTCAGTAAATTAGGCTATTATGGCTACTGTTTCTGCACCCTTAGGGTCAGGCATGGTGTGAGGACTGGAGTCTGTTTGGACCGGGTAAAGGACTGAGTGAGTCAATGAAAGAACCAGTGAGAGGCAGCCCACAGGAGCACAGATGCAAGAAATCAGACCACCTGGCTTTGAATCTTGGCTGGATTTCTTACAAGCTTGGGCACATTATTTCGTCTCTGTGCCTCAGTTTCCCATGTGTCAGGTGGGGTTAGTTGTCCCTACCCGGCCGGGCTGTGGTGTGCAGTCTATTTTCAGGGCACTTCGAACAGCACTGGCGCATAGCAAGAGGGCTGAATGAAAAGAGCTGATAGAAACCGTCCTGGTGGGCACCTGGGTGGCTCAGATGGTTAAGCGTCTGCCTTTGGCTCAGGTCATGATCCCAGGGTCCTGGAATCGAGCCCCACATCAGGCTCCCTGCTCCTTGGGAGCCTGCTTCTCCCTCTGCCTCTCTCTCTCTCTCTGTGTGTCTCTCATGAATAAATAAAATCTTTAAATAAAATAGGTTTAAAAAAAAAAAGAAGAAAGAAACCGTCGTGGTCCGCAAAGCCCGTGGTAATGCGCCGGCATCCTCCGAGGATTGTCCCTATTTCTAGGTGTCCCCCATCTTCCCGCGGCGCCTACCTTGGCGATTTTCAGCACCCTCCAAGGCTGGGCAGCTGCGCGACCCCCGGGCTCACGCAGGGAGGCTGCCAGGGCGCCCAGGGCGCGCCGCGCAGCCGCCAGGAACTCAGGGGACGGCTGCAGGCTGCGGGCCACCAGGTTGTCGAGCGCGGCGGCGGGGGTGAGGTACAGGTCCATGGCCGGCTCCGGGACCCTAGCGCGCCCCGGCTTCCCTCTCGCGCCCTGCGCGCTCCCCGGTGCCTGCAAAGCCTAGGCCTTGGCTCTGCGCCCGGAGGCCGGGGGCGGCGCAGCTGCGCCAGCCTCCCTCCCCACCCCACCCCACCCCACCCCCCGCGTCCCTCCTTCCCAACTTCGCAGGCCTTCCACTCCCCTCCCGCTTTCAGTTTCATTTCTTTTCAGCAGTTCTGGGCTCTTGCAGCCACTTTCCCTTTCCCCGTCCCCGGCCTGGTTTCTTTTCCTCCGCCTCCGGGTTTCCAGTACTGGGCCCGCCTCCCCTGGACCCGCCCCGCGCCGCCAGCTCCAATGAACTGCACGCGCCTGAACAAAACGCCTCGGCCTCAGCAGGTGCACAGAGCACAAGCACTGGCACCGAACCACGTGCCCCAAGCATTTAAGAAACGTGCAGGATTTACGGGAGGACTGGCTACACCAACTGAGCAGCCTGGAGGAAGTTCCCCCAGAGAACCCCTGGCTGGCTCTCTGGCTGAAGGAGACATTCTAAACACCAGTAACAAAGAACACTTGCAGGACACATGTCCCTCCTGCTTTCCGTCCATCATCGCATTCAGTCCTCCCAACAACCAGGATGTAAGTGCTATTCTTATCATACCCATTTGATAGATGAGGAGGTTAAGGTACAGAGAATGGAGGCCCCTCGGCCTAGGTCACATACACAGCCAGAAAGTTGTCAGACTGGGTTCAAACCCAGCGCAAGCTCTCAGTACTAGTGCTGTGTTCCTAGAGGAGACAACTCCTCCTAAATAATGTATACATTTAATGCAATTCCAAAATGTTTAGAATACCATTTGTTAAAACTTTAAACATATCGTTCTGGAGTCCGTCTGTAAGAATTAAGAATTATTTTAAAGAGGAGAAACGAGGAAGGAAGGTCAGTGTAGAATGACACCTCACACAGTATTACATCTTAAGACGTTATAAAGCTGCAAGGAGAGTTAAGTCCCTTTGGGACTGGCACAAAACTAGCCGAGGAGTGGAGACCTGAATCTACCAGGTAGCTCACTGCTGTTTCTGACTTCATGCCTGTCTTCTCCCTTTCTGGCGGCTTCACGATTGCTCCTCCACCCAGTGGACCAGAACCTGAACTCTTTCACAGTCCATCCCCTCCGGTAGCAATGAATGTTAACGAGGACTTCCTGAAGTCTGCCTTAACCTAAAGGACATAGATGGGGTCAGAGGGTGAACTTCAGAGTTCCTAGTGAACCAGAAGAAAAGGTGGCAGACTACCAGTCAGTAGTGAGTGCCACATCACTGGGAGGTATTCAAGTGTAGGAAGAAGACTGGTAGGTTCTATGTTTTGGTGGGGGAAGGATTCAAGCCAGGTGCCCTCAGCCATAAAGCCATGGTTTCATGCTCTCCCATCCATCAGTCATCTTCTTGATTCACGGGTCACTTTAGAAATCCTCCTTGTGAGATGGTGTGCTGAACACACCCTCGAGATCCTACCGAAATGACAGCAAAGATGTGTTAAAAGTATCGTGCAACTCACTCAATGGGTTGGAAATCAAGAAAGATCGCCGTCAAGGACCAGAACATTTGAGGAATGTGGAGAAGGGAGAAAGCAGAGGGTCAAGACTGGACAAAGATGGTGTGCTGATCGCATACACAAGCCTTCAGCTACCACCCTAGACTCTAGAAGTCACGGGGAAGAGATGAAAAAATGTACTAAGGCTGCTGGATCCTAAATCGAGGCACCACTGGTGAGCTGGAGACACAGGTGCAGGATGAGATGGAGCAGGAAAATCTCGGCCTGAAACACGGAATGAGGAAAGTACTCCTGTGGGGTGGGAAGGGTTCTGAGGAGCTCAAGGGAGGGACTCAAAGGGGCGTGCAGGGAGGGCTTTGTGTGAGGGGGTGGCGGGCATCTGGGAGTGCTCACTCCGGGCTTCAAAGGTGGTATTACTTTAAAATTCCCCTTCTCTTGAGCGGGGCAGGGACCTCAGCATCAATCCTGGACCTCCAGCTTCAAATCACACGGTTCCTCTCTTTGCTGTGCCCTCATCTCTGTGGGCTAAAAGTTACCCTTCTCAGTTTCTTTTCCTCACCAGAAAGTTGCCCAGAATGAGGCAAGACATCTGAGGATGCAGAAATGTGTGACTCAGGTGCTGTGGTTTTCATCCGATCATTTCCTTCCTCCCTTACCCACTTGCACCCCTGTTTCCAAATCTCATGAATTTGTGCTGGAACCAGCAGCTCCACATACTGGCACCTAGAGCTTTCTGTAACCCTGGGTCTGCTGGCTAGGCATAAGCTACCAGAGCTTAGCCGGAGAGAAATGCTTATCCAAAACACTTTTTTTGGGGGGGAGGGCAAGACAAATTGCTTTATTGTTTCTTGTGGTCATACAAGTAATACAAGTTTACTGCACAAAATTGATAAAGTCAGGGGCGCCTGGGTGGCTCAGTTGGTTTACTGTCTGCCTTCGGCTCAGGTCCTGATCTCAGGGTCCTGGGATTTCTCCCTGCTCAGCAGGGAGTCTGCTTCTCCTTCTTTCTCTGCCCCTCCCCCTACTTGTGCTCTCTTGCACTCTCTCTCTCTCAAATAAATAAAAAATAAAAATCTTTAAGAAGACATTTAGGTCTTCCAGGAACCAAATGCTACAAAATACAGTTAAAGAAAACATACTGGGTACAGTAACACAGAAGCAAGCATGACAGAGGACATGAGAGACGTATGCAGTGAAAAATTGTAATAGTTACAGCGTCATTAAAGAAAATTAAAACTAGTGAAGAGAAACTCCAAGTTCATGGATGGTGTTCTCACTAGAACACTGATGTCATTCTTCCTAAACTAATTTATGTAATTCCAATCCAGTGCCTCCCCATATTTTGGGTGGAATTTCATACATTGAGTGACAATTAACATAGGAATAGAGAGGGCCAAGAGAAGCCAGGGCTTTTTACCCCCGAATATAAGATTTATTTGTTATTACTTTTTAATAGTAACCATGATTTCCAGGAGACTCTCTGGTGGATTTACAAAAAAAATTTTTTTTTAAAGATTTTCTGTATTTATTTGACAGAGAGAGACACAGCGAGAGAAGGAACACAAGCAGGGGGAGTGGGAGAGGGGGAGAAGCAGGCTTCCCGCGGAGCAGGGAGCCCGATGCGGGGCTCGATCCCAGGACCCTGGGATCATGACCTGAGCCGAAGGCAGACGCTTAACGACTGAGCCACCCAGGTGCCCCAGATTTACAAAAATTAATCGCTTTCACTGTTGGAAGCAGAATAATTGGGATAAGTTGTATCTGACTAAAAAAAAAAAGGAAAAATGTATTGAGTTTAGATTCCAACTACTGATTCCAATTTGGATTATTTTTAAAAATTATTATTTTTTTAATTTCAGTGTATTTAACATACAGTGTTATATTAGTTTCAGGGGTACCAGATAGTGATTCAATAATTCTGTACCTTACTCAGTGCTCATCAAAATAAGCATGCTCTTAATCTCCTCAGTCTATTTCACCCAACCCCCCACCCACCTCCCCTCTGGCAACCGCCTGTTTGCTCTTTATAGTTACCAGTCTGGTTTTTTGGTTTGTCTCTTTTTTCCTTTGTTTGCTTTGCTTCTTAAATTACACATAGGAGTGAAATCATATGGTATTTGTCTTTCTGTGACTGGCTTATTTCACTTAGTATTATACCCTCTAGATCCGTCCATGTTGTGGCAAATGGCAAGATTTCATTTTTGTATAGCTAATATTCCATTTTGTGTGTAGACCACACCTTCTTTATCCATTCATCAATCAATGGACACTTGGGCTGCTTCCGAAATTTGGCTATTGTAAATAGTGCTGCAATACACGTAGGAATGCATGTATCTTTTCAAATTAGTGTTTTTGTATCCTTTGGGTAAATACCTAGTAGTGGAATTGCTGGGTTATATGGTTCTTATTTTTAATTTTTTGAGGAACCTCCATACTGTTTTCCACAGTGAGAAGGCAGGGGTTTTGATAAAAAGAGACCAGAGTTTTCTACAAGATACTAAGAATTCTTACAAGGCTATAGTAATTAATACAAGGTAGCAGTATCTCAAGGATACAAAACAGACCAGTGGAACAGAACAGAGACTCACACATAGATGGGCTCAGGGTGTATGTTGGAGGTGGCCTTGCAGGGCCATGGGGAAAGTGTTGTCTCCCCAACAAAAGCTGCTGGGATAATTGGGCATCCAGATAGAAGGACTAGAACTGAGTCCTACCTCACACCATGTAAAAACAAATGCCTTTTGTTGCTTGTGTTTTGGTATCATATCTATGAAATCATTGCCAAATCCAATGTCAAGAAGCTTTTCCCCTATGCTTTCTTCCAGGGTTTTTACGGTTTGGGGTTTTTTAAGTCTTTAATCCATTTTGAGTTGCTTTTTGTGTAAGGTGTAAGATAAGGGTCCAATGTCATTCCTTTGCATGTGGGTGTCCAGTTTTCCCATTGCCATTTGTTGAAGAGCTGTCCCTTCTCCACTGGGTACTCTTGGCAACTCGCTGAAGATGAATTGGCTGTATACCTGAAGCAAAGGCAGCAGAAGCAAAAATTTAGTCAAGCGGGACTGCATCAAAATGAAATGCTTCCAAACAGCAAATGAAGCAATCAATGGAGTAATAAGGCAACCTATGGAAAAGGAGAAAATATTTGCAAACCATAAATCTGGTAAGGGGTCAACCTGCAAAATAATAAGGTGCTCCTACCACTCAATGGCAAAAACACTAATGTAACCTAATTTAAAAACGGGCCAGGGACTCGAATGGACATTTCTCCAAAGAAGACACACAAATAGCCAACAGGTGTATGAAAAGATGCTCTCCATCACTAATCATCAGGGAATTGCAAATCAAAACCATAAGCTATCACTTCACACCTATTAGAATGGCTATTACCAAAAAAACAAAAGACCCAGGTGTTGGTGAGGATGTGGAGAAATTGGAACCTGTGTGCACCGTGGGGGGCGGGGATGGGAGTTGCCCCCAAAATTAAAATAGTACTACTGTATGATTTTTTTTTTAAGATTTCATTTATTTATTCATGAGAGACAGAGACAGGCAGAGGGAGAAGCAGGCTCCCAAGGAGCAGGGAGCCCGATGCGGGACCCGATCCCAGGACCCTGGGATCATGACCTGAGCCGAAGGCAGACGCTTAACCATCTGGGCCACCCAGGCGCCCAATACTACCGTATGATTGACGTGACTTTTCAATTAAACGACTGATGACTGTAACATTGTTTATAATCATGAAACACTCTCAGAAGACAGCCCAAGTGGATTACCCACTTTATTTATTATGATGTAATGCCATACAGTCATTATATGTGATGCCAAAATTCCCACTCATCCTAGAGTGGTAACTACATAAATGTGACAAAGCAGGTAACAAAACCGGGTAGGGAGACGAATCCCATTTTTATAAAAATGCCACATAACACAGGGAGATGGGGGAGTCAGAGAAAAAGGCTGAAGAGACAGGCCCCAAATTTTAACAGGTTGGAGGGAGGGACTATGGAGTGTTTGTTTGTTTTTTTTTTAATGATGTCTTTATTTTGCTAATGTTAAAGACAATAACCGAATAATGTCCTGAAGGAAGAAGTTTATACCACCAGAACCCCGGACAGTCTACCACACACGGAAACACTAGGGTTGTTCATGAGGCAGAGGGAAGGAAGGGAGAAGATGGAAAGAGCCTCTGTCATAGTTTCTGCAGGCAAGGCAAGACAGGGTTAGCAGACTTCGGGTCAGCTACTTTGAAAGATTTCCGTGGGCTCTGCAGTGTACGGGCTGTCCCGAGTTGTCTGGTACCTGGCCCTGGGGTGAGTCGGGCAGGTGGATTGTGGCCAGGGTGTGAGAATCCTGGGAAGCCTAATAAAGGAGGTGGTTGAGAGTCTGGGCTCGGGATTGGGTAGTTTGCATATGAAAGGTGAGCTCTGCTATCTCTCGGAATTAGCTACCCTGGGAGGGGCCGTGTCTCCAGGATCAGCAAGGCCCCAGAAGTCAAAATATCAGAAAATACAGAAAAAGAAAGGCGTGATTAGTCCAGAAGCACCAGTAGGAATGAGGTTGGGGCAGGGAGGGGGGAGACATGGTGAGATGGTAGCTTCTTGCAGGTGCCCACCTTGTAGGCAGGCATGGTGGCTGAGAAGAGTTCACAAGTTTAGGACCCCTAGCATTGGGTGTCAGTTCTTTATCACAGCTAGGAATTGCTGAGCGGTGCAAACCTCCCTGAAGGCGGTGGGGGGGGAGGTGGGTAGGGGTGGTGATGCTGGTCTGGGTAACTCCATGAAGCAGATGCTGATATAGGATTAAATGTGCAAGAGAAACTGGGGGGGAAGCTGGGAGCCTCCGGGAAAGCGGGTAGACCCTGATTGATTGAGTCTGACTCTGAACGAAGGCAAGAAGGAAGAAAAGCTGGCTTTGCAGTCTAGAGAAGGTCAGCAAAGACCAGTGGGGAGTCCTTTAGCCCTGTGACTTGTCAGAGGACCCCATGTCTCCCAGGAACGGGGCTACCTTAGTGTCCCTGTCTCACTCAGCAGCCCGTGGGCAGGGTGACTTCACTGTCAACGTGCGGATGGATTTGGAAGTGCAGCAGCTGGGACCCCCTCTCCTGGGAGCTCGCTTGGCTAGGTACCTTCTCGGGGTCATCAGAGTGGGGAATGAAGATGCATTAAGACCATCCCGCAGGGGCGCCTGGGTGGCTCAGTTGTTAAGCATCTGCCTTCGGCTCAGGTCATGATCCCAGGGTCCTGGGATCGAGCCCCGCATTGGGCTCCTTGCTCAGCGGGAAGCCTGCTTCTCCCTCTCCCATTCCCCTTGCTTGTGTTCCTGCTCTTGCTGTCTCTCTCTCTGTGTGTCAAATAAATAAATAAATAAAATCTTTAAGAAAAAAAAAAAAAAAAGACCATCCCGCTGTGATGAAGAGCATGAGATTCAGAGCAAGGACTAGGGTTCAAGTTCAGGCTATGTCTCTCGCTTGCCAGGTGACCCTGAGCAAGTGCCCTGACCTCAGTGTATTATTATGGCAACTAGAATAAAACCCGTCTCACAAGGATGCTGGAGACTTAAAAGGAGGAATAGGGAGATGGACAAGCCCAAGACTTTGTCAGCCACTCAAGGTGACCAGCAACTCAGGTGACACAAGCACGCTTGGTCCTTTTGTGAGCACTTCTGGGGGGTTTTTATATTTCAGAGCCTTGTAAATGAAATGCTATTTCTTGGTACCAAGGACGAGACAGTGTGACAACGTGTATCGGTCTAGTGTGTTCTTTAATCCAGTGATTTGCCTTCTGGGGCAGAGCTGTGGAATATATAGAAATCAAATGTCTGCCACAGGTGTAATGTTAACATTTTTTAGGAGCCATAGGAAAAAGCAAAAAGAAACAGAGAAGTCCATTTTGATTTAATTGAACATCTCAGAAAGTTTTGTCATTTCAACATGCAATCAATATAAAAAATGATCAGTTGTCAAGAATGTGACATTCTTGGAGCACCTGGGTGGCTCAGTGGGTTAAGCATCTGCTTTCGGCTCAGGTCATGATCTCAGGGTCCTGGGATCGAGCCCCGCACCAGGCTCCCTGCTCAGGGAGTCTGCTTCTCCCTCTGCCTGCTGCTCCCCCCGCAAAGATGCTGGTCTTAGATCCTTCTGAAAGTTAGAAGGATCCCAAATGATCCAATATTAAAAGTCAGTGCATGCAAATGTCAGACCAGGAGGCGGGGATTTCGGTCTGTTTCATTCACTGCTGTGCTCCCAGCGTCCAGAACAATGCTTGGAACACAGTAGGTACTCAATACATATTTCTAGTTGAATAGATTCATATATACACACATATAACACGCAGATATATATACCTCTTGGCTCTAGGACTTGCAGTTAATAAACACCCAACACATGGTATTTGCTATTCTTTTTATTGTTATCGATGATATATTGGACTATAAGCCTCCCGCCAGGAACACTGAAGAAAGTTAAGGCTCTCTGGTTGCCTCTCAGAGATGACTGTCAGAGAACAGGCTGGGCCAGGGTGGGGCCGGAGGGAAATGGTAGCTACGAGAGGGGAAAGAGCATAGAACAGGGGAAGGGTGGGGGTCAGGAGACCTGGATTCCAGTCTGAGGTCTGACACCAACTCACTGTTGGGATTGGGGCCGTCTTCTGCCCTCTGGATCAAGGGACCTCCCCCAACCCCTGAACTGAGGGGGCTGGCCTGGATGATTCTGGAGCCCTTCCCCCTAAGGCTCCCTGGCATTCATAGGATGGCACACACCCAGTCATCTTCCTTCTGGGCAGTGGGTGGTGTCATGCCTGTGCTGAGGCTCCCAGCAGATAAAGGGCACCATCCATAATCCTGGGACTGATACATTCTGTGTTCACAAGTTACCCAATTGTCTTCATTGCCTTCTGCAAGCTGAAAGGGAAAAGCACATCAGAGGATGGATCCTTCCACCTTGGCACTGGGTCTCTGTGAGCATTTATGGTGGATACTGTGTGGCATGCCCCCTGGGTCCCCCTTGAGGAAAGACAAAGAAGTCTCAGCTGCTGGGGAGGGGGTCAGCAGACAGATGACAGCAGTCAGCCTTTTAGGCTTGCCTCGACTACAGAGAGCCCCACGTTCAAGGCTATGCCCCTTCCTGAGTTGCCCACATTCAGTGACGGATATGTGTGGGTGTCTAAAGGCCTGACCACCCCAGACTGGGGCAGGGCAACTCTGAAGGCCACTGGAGCTCCAGAGGGGTGGGCTGAGATTTTCACTGGGCTCCTCCCCAGCTGGACTTCTCCCTGTGCCCACATAGCAAATGTGGGGCCCAGGGAGGGCTGAGCACTGGCATTGGAGTCCCCGACTTCGGATCCCAGCTCTACCACTCCCTAGATAAAAGTCGTTGAGCAGGTGACTTCACCTCTCTGAGCCTCCTTTTCTCATATGTCAGACTAGGAGTAGCAAACACACCTCAAAAGGTGTTGTGATGATTTAATGAAATAATGGAGCATTTAGGACAGAACCTGAGCCCAAAGCAAATATTTAGTAAGAGGTGGCTATTATTATTTATTATTATTCACAGAGGAATGAGCCCACTGGGGCTGTGGAAAGAGTTGCCTCTGGCCAGGGTCATGTTAACTGAAGAATGAAGTCTGGAAAAGGGATGTGCAAATCCCAGGAACCCGCTGAATGGGCCCAAGATGACTGAAAATATGGAGCCTAGCCTGAGACTCTGTGAATATGTGACTTCTAGCAAGGAGCAATTTCTTTGGAGAGAATGTTTCTTTGGAGAGGACGGAGGTCACTTGACCTCTCTAGGCCTGCTTCCTCGCCCGTGACATGTGGAGAGTAGGGCAGGCCTGTCTCAAAGGGTGTGATGGGAGGTTGGAGACGAGACAGAATATGTGAAATGCTCCGCACCAGACTTGGAACATAATAAGCGGTTAGTACATGTCAGATAATGACCATAATTATTTACTAGTATGTTAGAAAGCATTAGTCTTACATGCCCCACGCTATGCTATGCAGAGGGTATGTGGGGAAGGACGACAGGGTGGAAGCAGAAGGTCTTACTGGCATGTCCCAAGAGCCCACTGGAGATCCATCCCCTTTCTTAAAGCATGGGTAACTCAGCCAGGCCCTGGCCTCATCTGCCAGTCTCCACCAGCCGTGTAGGTCTCCAGCAGCCACGTTTCCCGTCGGGTCAGCTGGGTCCAGAATCACAGGCCTGGAGGGTAACAGTGAGAGAGGGACAGGTGAGGAACCAGGGCTGTGTCTGGCGGATCCAGACGCTCCCGGCAGGGCAAAACACCAGCCTGGCACAGGCTGGGACTCAGGGCAGGAGTGGGGCGCTGTTCTTACAGCCAGCTCTTAATCCCCGGGAGCGATTATGATTCTTGCTCTAGCTGTTGTTATTTTAGTTCAAATTTTGGCTCTTCCACTCATTTTCTGTTAAGGGTAACACAAGCTCCTTACCCCTCAGAACCTCAGTTTACCCATCTGTACAGTGGCTACGGAGGGCCTGCCTCAGACGGTTGGAGGTTTAAATCAGCAGGAAAAGGCTCAGCACAATGGCTGGCCAGCAAATGAAGGGCCATCATTGTCAAGATGCCACATCCGTATCTAGGGGCTCATTTACGTGGGGAGCTAACCCATGTGGAGAGAGAGTACCTGGATTTTGCAAGCTGCCTCTCTAGGTATCGTCCAATAATTGGGTTTTCAAAGTCGTAATACTTTGTCCAGTAGATGCAAAGCTGCTGGTAGTTCAGGACTAATTTCAAGACGGTCTGAAATCCCTGAGCTGTGCTGAACTCCGTTTGCTTGCTGCCCTTCTCCCAGGCATAGACTGTCAGGAGCTCCAAGGCATACTGCTGTGGCAGGGGCTTCCCAAGCTTATTCTTACACTGAGAGGAGGAAAAAGAATCAGAAACGTGCACTTGTCCAGCTGGGGCATAAAGCACATTTCCCAAAGGCCAAATCCAGCCTGCCATTTGCTTTTGTAAATAACATTTCCATGGAGCAAATCCACGCCCATTCAATCCAAACCCACACTCCATTCATGTGGAGTCTAATGGCTGCTTTCATGCTACAGAGTTGAGTAGTTGTGACAGAGACCATGTGGCCCACAAGGTCTAAAATACTTACTACCTAGGGCACTATGGAAAAAAGTTTACTGACTCCTGGGTCAAGAGCTTGGGCTCTGGATTCTGAGTGATGTGGGTTTGAGTCCTGGCTCCACTGGTGTCCAATTCCTGGAAGACAACTTAGACTCTTGGAGCCTCATTTTTCTCCCCTGCCAAGTGAGTGGTCATAGTAGCACCAAACAAATAAGGATACTGTGAAAATTAACTGAGAGGAAGAACTTGTAGTATCCCTAAGAGCCAAACAAAATTCCCTTTGGAGTAAGAAATAAAACCCAAAGCCTCAAGTGATTTCACAAGTAAATTTCAAGTACCATGACCAGCACATAAATAACCAGGCACACAAGGAAACAAGATACCAAGAGTAATAACCAGCAAAAAAAAGGGGAGAGGGACAATGGTAATAAGTCCACAAAACTTTAAATATTGAAGGATCATATAGAGACTTTAAAATAACTAGAAATATTTTGTTTACAGAAATAAAAGAAGAGCTTGAACTAGAGGAAATTAGAAGCCATAAGAAGTAACTTAGCATATTTGAAAAAGAATAAAATAGAAAATGTTGAACAAAAATTTACAATAACTGTAATTAATAACTCAATTGCAAATTAGACACAGTTAAAGGAGAAATTAGTGAATTAGAGAGTATGTTAGAACAAACTATTCAGAATAAAACATTGAGAGACAGAAAGATGGAAAATGTGGAAGAGAGTGTAAAGATAATGGAAGATAGAGTGAGGTCTAACATACATTTAATTGGAGTTCCAGGAGGTGAGGAAGAGAGAGAGACAATGTTTTAGGAGAATGGCTGAGAGTTTCTGAAACTGGTGAAAGATACCCATTCACAGATTCAGGAATCCCAGTGAAGGACCCAGTGAGCTCCAAGCAGGACAAGTGAAAAAGGAATCATCATTAAGACACCTCAGATTGAGGGGCACCTGGGTGGCTCAGTTGGTTGAGCATCTGCCTTCAGATTGCGTCATGGTCCTGGGGTCATGGGATCTTGCCCCACATCGGCCTCCCTGCTCAGCGGGGACCCTGTTTCTTCCTCCCCCTCTGCCATTCCCCACCCCCAGCTTGTGCTCTCTGGCGCTAGCTCTCTGTCAAATAAATAAATAAAACCTTTAAAAAAAAAGACACCTCAGATTGAAATGGAATAAAATCAAAGACAAAGAGAAAAATATAAATGCAGCCAGAGGAATAAGAGAGATTACCTACAAAGGAGCCACAGTTAGACTGACAACTGACTTCTCACTAGTGACCCCAGAAGATGGAGTGATATATTTCCGTGTACTGAAATGGCCACCAACCCAGCAAAAATACCCTTCAACAATGAAGGTAAAATCAAGACATTTTCAGGCAAACAAAAACTAAGAGTTCATTATCAGAAGACCGTCAGCAAAAAAATCTTCCAGGACATACTTCAGGAAGAAGGAACATGATCCCAGGAGGAAGGTTAGAGATGTAGGAAAGAGCTGATGGTGAAGAACATGGTAAACACGTGGATAGATAAAATGAGCTCTAACTATGGAAAATAATAGTAATGCTTTGCGGCCTTTGAAAATATAGAGACTTGAAACACACAACAAAGTGGCATGTAAGTTGCAGGTAGTGATGGTGGTGGTGAGTGGAGTTAAAGTGTGGTGAGATTCCTGTACTGTTTTACGGGAAAGAAGAGAGAGGGAGGAGGGGCAGGGAGGGAGGGAAAGAGACAATTCCTTGTCATGCAGGGCTATCTTGCTCATTGTAAAACAACTACTGTTCCTGGCTTCTTTCTTTGTCAGTAGCATCCTTGCCCCCCTATCACCATGGTTACCAAAAATGTCCTCATGAATTTTCAATATCCTTGGGGGCAGTGTTACACTTGTCAAGAACCACTTTGGTAAGTTCTAAGATGTTCAGGCTTCATGATCAAATTTCCTTCAACAGCAAACTAAGATGCAAATAAAGGATTGTCTTGCTTTGCCTTAAAGGTAATTCTTATTTTTTAAGATTTTATTTATTTATTTATTTGAGAGAGAGGGAGAGATAGTGAGCATGAGAGAGAGCAGGAGTCGGGGAGAGAGACAGAAGGAGAGGGAGAGAAGCAGACTCCCTGCTGAGCAGGGAGCCTGACGTGGGGCTCGATCCCAGGACCCCAGGATCATGACCTGAGCCGAAGGCAGATGCTTACCTGACTGAGCTACCCAGGTGTCCCTTAAAGATTATTTTTAAAGTAGGAAGGTTTATCCTTAATTACTTTCTTCTACTCATTCATCCAAAAACATACATGTATATTATAAAATGAATATTATATATTAGGCAAAGTCTTAAGTCGAAAGGCCCAAATTTCAAGTTTTTGTTCTGCTACTTATTAGCTGGAAGAGCGTTCTGACTCTTATTCTCTTTCTGTAATACAGGTTTGAGAGTAACACTTACCCTTACTCAGTGAACAGACTCACCATAAAGATTAAGTAAGATATAGGCTATTTGAGAGTAAGCAGAAATGCATATCACATCCGCAAAAGATGAACTATGATGAGCCTGGCACAAGCAAAGCACATGATACATGTGAACTTTTATTCTGTGTGCTCCCGGCACGGCTCCAAGAAACCACATTTATTAGGACCAGCTGTGCCAGGCACCACGTTCTGTGTTTACTCTTGCTATGCCATGTTCCTCTTTGCAAATGAGAAAACAAGAAGCCAGAGGGAGTTAAGTCAGACCTGTTCAAGGTCAGACAGCCAGGAAGTGCACAGAAGGGGGTGTGTGTGTGTGCGTGTGTGTGTGTGTGTGTGTGTGTGTGTGGTTATAGCGTTCATTCATTTATTCAACAATTCCTTACTGAGCACCTATTATGTGCCAGCGGTGAATAAAACATGCAAATCCCTTCCCTCATGCACATTTTTAGTGGGGAGACAGACTATCCCCCAGGCTGGAGCAGAGTTTCCCCCTTGGAGGAAATAAAAGGAAGACAGCATGGCCTGAAGGGTGGGCGGGGGGGGGCGGTGGGTTCGGCGAAGTCCAGGGCAGATCCTGGGAGCCTCATGAGATGACTGGGACCAGGGTGAGAGTGATGGAGGGGTGACAACGGGTTATATTTTCAGTACAGGACCAACATCCTTTGTAGGCTGGTGGGGTAGAGGAGAGCATGTGAAACAGTCCAGGAACACCCACGGTTTAGGCCGGCATGGCTGGAAGCCCATATGGGGTTGTCATTTCCTAAGATGGGAAGGACCAGGAGGAAGGAGGCACCCTGGGTCCACGGGCACCTGTCCTAGGCCCTGCGCCTCCCCTTCTCATCCCCCCCTCCTCTCCGCACCCCTTCTCTCCTTCCCCCACATCCCCTCCCCTCCCCCCTTTCCTCTCCCCTTCCTGCCATCTTGCCTTCCCTCCCTCCCCTCCTGCTCCTCCCCCCTCCACACCTCTCCTCCTTCCCTCCCTCTATTCTGTAACCATCCCCCTTCCTTCTCTACCCACCCCCCTCCGCTCCCCAAGCAGGAGGAACAGACCTTTTGGTACCAGTGCTTGACCAGGCGGATGAGGCTCTTCACCTTGGTGGGACGCTGCCTCAGGAAGTCCCGCTGCAGCTCCGTGAAGCAGGTGGAGAACTCCCCCTCTTTGCCCAGATCCTGGCACTCTTGGATTAGCTTGAGGTAGACTTGAGAGTTAGGCCTGCCGTTATTGGTCCACTGACCTGTTAGGGACAAATCCATCACTTTAAGATGTCAGCGCTTTTCTGAGGTTCTTTCAGTTGCTCTGAGGAGACAAGCTTGCTGGCCGTGGGGTGCAGCGGAAGCGGCAGCAGGCCCAGAGCCGGGGGGCCTGGAGTCCATCCCCAGCCTTTCCTTCTCCCAGCTCTCCAGCTCTCACCCTGTCCAGGCAGCCATCACCCGTCTCTCCCACCAGGGCTTTGGGCGGCAGCCTCCTCGCTGGGGCCTCCACAGCCCATTCCCGACCCAGCACCCAGACAGGCCTTTCAACACCTGGTCACACAGCTTCTTGCTTCCCACAACATCGGGAATAAAGTCCAGAGTCCCCATAATGGCCTATAAAATTGGATGTGCTCTATCTCCTGCCGCCTCTCCCATCTCGCCTCCTACCTTGCTCCCTTGCCTCGGACGCCATGGTGGCCTTTTTTCTCTTCCCCAAATATGCCAAGCTCGTTCCTGTCTCAGGGTCTTTGCACTTGCGGTTTCCTCTTCCTGGAACCCCCAGATCTTCCCATGGTGGGCTCCTTCTCATCCCTTGGGCCTTAGCTCAGAGGTCACCTCCTCAGGGGACCCTCCGTCATCGCTCTGTCCGAAAAAGCCCTCCAACCTCCATCGCTCTCCATTGTAGCAATCCTGTTAGGTTTTTTGTCACAGCAGGTATCCTTCCATTTATCTTATTCCTGTACTCATTGTCCGGCTCCAGGAGAGAGGTTCCTTGTTGGGCTCATTCATGGCCATAGAGCAGTGCCTGGTCCACAGCAGGTGCTCCATGGATAATCTGTGCTTCTTTTTTTTTTTTTTTTTTTAAGATTTTTTTTATTTATTTGAGAGAGAGAGAGAATGAGAGATAGAAAGCACGAGAGGGAAGAGGGTCAGAGGGAGACGCCGAGCAGGGAGCCCGATGCGGGACTCGATCCCGGGACTCCAGGATCACGACCTGAGCCGAAGGCAGTCGCTTAACCAACTGAGCCACCCAGGCGCCCTCATCTGTGCTTCTCATTGTTGATTGGATGTCTCCATCCTCTGGTGTTACCTCTCTTCCGATCTGTTTTCCACACTACAGTCGGGCTGTCTTTCCAAAACAGAAATCTGACCCTGCTCGAAACCCTTCCACAGCTCTCCATTGTGCTCAGGAGAAATGCATGGCCAAGGTTGCAGGCTGCTGCAGGGTCAGCTCACTCCCTCCTTGCCCTCCACCCTCTGTTCATCCTCAGCATCTTGCAGTCCTCCAGCACATCCTGATCTTCCCTCTTCTCCAGGCCTTTGCTTGCACTGTTCCCTCTCCTGGTACGTCCTTCCTCCCCTTCTTATTTCTTTTGTAGCCAACGGAATGCCAGCACCCAACACTGGACATGGAACAAGGAAAGATTCCCAAACTTTCTCATTTCCTGGTGGTTTTAGAGTTTCGGTATTATTCTCACGGGTCCCCTATGCCAAACAACAACAAAAAAACCCAAACAAACAAACAAACAAACAAACAAAAAACCCGACCAAACCAAAAAAACCCAAACAACAACAACAAAACCCACCCCAGTTCCATGTACGTAGTTGAGTACGAGAGAACAGTAGTAGTTTCTGTGGTGTTTCCCTCCAAAATTTAAAATCTAACCTATTCCATGTGCCCCGGTGAGATATTTCACTGTGGCACCCTGGGGCGCCTCGGGGCACAGTCGGGGAACTCGCATTTTTTAACACGTCCTATGTGCCAGGCCCTATGTAAGAGCTTAATGTAGATGATCATTTAATACTTAAAGTAAGAGCAGGACCTAGGTGGCCTGGTTTAACCCGTTTTCCTAAGCAGGCGATGCTTCCTGTCCAAATGTTTCTGCAGAATTATCTAGAGGTTCCAACCCTCGGCCTAAGTTTAGCGGGGTCTCCTCGTGTTTGGGGTAAAAGATGCAATTCACATGTTGACTCTATGCCGGATCTATGCTGCCTCATTTTCAGCAAGAGAAGTCTCACGTAGAAGCAGCCAGCCTGACAGGAGTTCCCTGAGAAATGTCTTGCCCCCCAAATGGTGCCAATTTGCCGTTTCATGTCGCTCCTGTGGCGGGTTATGACCTCATTCATTCTAAGATCTCCTCCCCACTTTGATGGGATGCCCCGTCATGGTAAGACCCTCCAACTGTGGGAAGTTTCTGTTCAGAAATGTGAAAAGAGAAAGAAGCCTTGACGCAGGACAAAGGCAGAAAGCCGGTGTGTGTGAGAGTGTGTGTGTGCGTGTGTGAGAGTGCGTGTGTGAGTGTGCGCGTGTGTGAGAGTGCGTGTGTGTGCGCGCGCTTACCCAGGACGTCAAAGGCGGGCAGTACATCAAACTCTACCCCTTCGCCCAGAGAGCGGTTCTGGAGCAGAAAGCTGAGGGCTCGGGGCTTCTCAGGCTGCAGACTCCCGAGCTCAAACTGCACTTCAAAGGTTTCTTCTATTTGACAGGCTTCCAGCTGCCTCTTAATTTCCCAGATGAACTGTCCTCGTTTGTGAAGCTGCTCCTCAAAACTCCTGAGGTTGCTGAGAAAGACCACGAGGTCAGCATCGGATCGGCCTCTGAGGGACGTGCCTTTGCCCGAAGAGCCACCCTAAAACAGATGAGGAAAATGAGAACTAATAGTTATGGAGGAGAGCCTCCCTATATAAAGTGATGAGGACAATCACTAACATTCTTGAGCCTTAGCCTCTGCGCTGAGGGCATCAGCAGTCTTAGCTCCCATGATGCTCACAGGACTCTATGACTCCCATACTCTTGTTATCAGCCCCCTATTTCCAGGTGGGGCAACAAGAGCTCAGAGAAGGGATACAGAAGCCCAGCCTCCCGGTAAGAGGCGGCAAGACTGCAATTCAAACCCTGGCTGTCTCGTTCTAGCGTCTGTGTTCTTTACTCCCTAACCTTTACTATCTTATATAGGATTATATACTGTAGGCTGGCCCGTGCTGGGGGGTTTACATACATCATAGAATCTGTACAGCCCTATCAGGCACTGGGAATTATGGAAGAGGAAAGTGAAGCACAGAGATGTGAAGTGACTTGCTCAAAATTTCACAGCCAGCAGGTGCTATCTATATGATCACTTCTTAACCAGCCCATGATACCATAGAAATGGTGGGTCCCCATTGTGGATGGAGGAAAATGGGAACCCTCATACACTGCTGGTGGGAATGGAAATTGGTGCAGCCACTGTGGAAGGCAGTATGGATGTTCCTCAAAAAATTAAAAATAGAGCTGCCTTATGATCCAGGAATCCCACCTTTGGGTATTTACCCAAAGAAAATGAAAACACTAATTTGAGAAGATACATGCACTCTTGTTTATTGCAGCATTATTTACAATAGCCAAGATATGGAAGCAGCCCAAGTGTCCGTCCATAGATGAATGGATAAAGAAGATGTGGTACACACACACACACACACACACACACACAGACACACACCACACAATGGAATATTCTCCAGCCATAAAAAGAATGACACCTTGCCATTCGCAACAACATGGATGGATCTAGAAGGTATAATGCTAAGTGAAATAAGTCAGACAGAGAAAGACAAATACCATATGATTTCACTCATATGTGGAATCTAAAAAATAAAACAAACAAAACAATAGGCTCAAATATAGAGAGCAAACTGGTGGTTGCCAGAGGGGAGGTGGGTGGGGGATGAGTGACATAAATAGAGGGGATTAAGAAGTTCAAACTTCCAGTTATCAAATAAGTCACAGAGATGAAAAGTACAGCCTAGGGAATATAGTCAATGATATTGTAATAACACTGTGTGGGGACAGGTGGTGACTACATTTATCATAAAGAGCACTGAGTAATGTATAGAATTGTCGAATCAATATATCATATACCTGAAACTAATATCACATAGTATGTTCATTATACTTCAATAAGAAAAAAGAATCCTAGTTCATCAGGGAAGTTGAAAAGCTGAGCTTTCAGCAACGCCTGGCTCTGTTTTTGTGGAGTATTTACTTTACGGGAGGCAACACCTACAACTTTGTAGCCACACAAAATCAGAATAACAGCTAGTTGCTGTTGGCTGGAGAGGAGCTCTGGAAGCCATTTTGTCAGGAAAAGAACAGAAACAAGCCCCCGGGACGTAGTCTTAAACAGCTCATGATTCTGCAGAAATTGTGTGTCCCCAGCCTGGCCGTTCATTAGCAAATTATTTACTAGAGCCGGGCCTGTTTTCCTGTCTCTGAAATGGATGTGGCTGAGGATGGTGGTTCATAAACTTCAGCCAGGACATTTATTTAAAAGTTACAGGTGTAGGGCCTCACCCCAGAATCTATTCTAACAAGTTATGGTTAGATTTTTTTTTTTTTTTTGGTATGGATATGTCAGAAACCACCAGCCCCAAAGACCTTTACCCTTTTGCTCTCCCTGTCTGTCTCCGCGGGACCTGTCGCCCATCCAGGCACCCCTCCCCCAGGCAGGGAGGCTTGGGCTCACCTTGACAACTTTGGACACCCGCACAGGGTGGGCCGCACCTTGGAAACACCTCTCCTTCAGGAAAGTGGAGATGATGTGGACGGCTTCCTTGATCTGCCTGCGGAAATGCGTGTCTGGCAGGAGATAGTTTTCAATGAACTTGTCCAGAAACCTGGCGGGGGTCTCTTCCAGCTCCCACATGATTCTCAGGGCAGGGACAGGAGTGCCTGTGGCTGAGGAGCTGGCTGCAGGGAACTCTAGCCTTAGTGAGTTTCAATTCCTAAGAAGGGAGGAGCTTAGCATGACAAACACCCTGAACGGCTTCCACCCTACCAGCTCCGCCCTCATCCTTTATGCGGCAGCCCAGAATATCAGGCTGGACTCTGAAACTGTTGCTTTTTTTTTTTTTTTTAAGATTTTATTTATTTATCTGAGTGAGAGGGAGAGTGAGCGTGTGAGCCTGGGGGAAGGGCAGTGGGAGAGGGAGACTCCCCACTGAGCAGGGAGCACCAAAGGGTCCAAGGGTCCATCCCAGGACTCTGGGATCATGACTGGAGCTGAAGGCAGACACTTACCTCCACTGAGCCACCCAGGTGCCCCTGAAACTGTTGCTTTTTAACCCGCATTAGTACCTCACCCAGGAGAAATTGTCATTAAAAACCAATTTGTGGTTTTCTGCTTTACCCCGGAGAAATTGTCACTAAAAAAGGGATTTGCAGGGGCGCCTGGGTGGCTCAGATGGTTAAGCGTCTGCCTTTGGCTCAGGTCATGATCCCAGGGTCCTGGGATCGAGCCCCACATTGGGCTCCTGGCTCAGCAGGGAGCCTACTTCTCCTTCTCCCTCTGTCTCTCCCCCTGCTCATGCTCTCTCTCTCTGTATCTCTGTGTCTCAAATGAATAAATAAAATCTTAAAAAAAAAAAAAAAAGGGATTTGCAGTTTCCTGCTTTGTCTTTTTTTTATTGCTGACAAAATTGTTTTATCGTTTCCTACGATCTTTACAGCGATATATGCACATCGTAAAGTGGAAAAGAAGTCAGAAAAGCAGGAAGCCTAAAGACCATCCGTGATCCTAAAACTCAAAAACCACTATAAACACTTCGGTATAGATGTTTTCAGATATTTTTCTAGGTTAACACACACACACACACACAAGCACACACACACTCAAACACAGTTTTTTTTTAAGCATCATGCTATATATATTTTCCCTTTCGACTAATAGGCTTTATTTCTTACAGCAGTTTTAGGTTTAGAGAAAAATTGAAGAGAAAGAACAGAGCTCCTGTAACAGCACTCCGAGCGGTCTGAAGGGGTAACTTGCTTCAGGCTTCTGCACTCTGCTTGCTGACCTAAGTCCCTTGGTCTATAGCAGAAGGGATCGTCCCTGAGATTTGCAGACCCCTGGTCTCCAGGAGAGAAGGACCAAACTATCCCAGAGCATAAGGCTTGACCACATTCAAGAAAACAGCTGCCGTGATCTCAGCCAGCCTGTTCTGGGTCCTGTCCACGGATGACTATCCACCTGCTTCTCCTGCCTGTAGCCCCCTCCCTCTCCCCGTGCCTTCCCCTTTAAAGCCCCCCAGCTCCTCCTGGACAGGGAAGATGGTCTTTGAGACATCAGTCCATCATCTTCCCAGGTTGCCGGCTCCCCGAATAAAGCAACCCTTCCTTTCCCACCATCATGTGTCCCTTGAGCGTTGATTTTCGAGTGGTGAGCAGCGGAACCTGAGTTCAGGACTGGTTCTGGGTCTGGTAACAGATTGTGGCCAGCAGCTAAAAGCTGTGCTTCTGACTTGTCCAGTCCTGCCCCCCTCCCCGGGGCCTCCCCGAGACAGAGCAGGTGGCTGCCGTAGGGCCCAGGGCCCACCCGTACGTTGCCCGAGCTGGTGGCTGTGACAGATGGAACCAGCTGCTGGTGGCTGGGGGAGACAGCGGGGCCAAGTCTTAGAGGAAGTTTTCCCAAGCAGCTGCCCAAACCCTTTTGGGTTTTGGAGATGCTCTCTGTCTTCTCCGGACTGGGCATGGACTGCCTATTTTCACTTTTTGTTGGTGGAAAGAAAACATGCCTCTGTTCCATCTGTTTGAGCTGATGGGCTCTGGGACCGGGTAAGTCCGCTGGCCTGCACACGGGGAGTCTTCTTCCTGTGCCTTCTGGGCTTTTAGCCTTCTGGACCCTTCTGGGTCAATCTATAGGACCACTGGTAAGGGACAGGACTTGGAAGTGGCTCCGTACCTGTCTCTCCTCAAAGGAGGGGAAATCTGTCTAAGAGGGATCTCATCTGTCTGTTTCTGGAATCTGCACAAGAACAATCACTATTCTTGCTGTGCTTCTGTAAATAATTAAGCCAAGTTTGTTAAAACTGAACTTATTTTACAAATATATTAGTCTGGGGGGGCCTGGGTGGCTCAGTCTGTTAAGCATCTGCCTTTGGCTCATGTCATGATCTCAGGGACCTGGGATCGAGTCCCGGGTCGGGCTCCCTGCTCAGCGGGGACCTGCTTCTCCCTCTCCCTCTGCCCCTCTCCCCCAGCTCGTTCTCTCTCTCAAATAAATAAGTAAAATCTTTAAAAACAAACAAACATATTAGTCTTCATTTGGCTATCTTTAACAGGACAGCGACTTTAGAGAAAAAGATTATGTTTCAGTAACACTGTGGATGTTTGTCAGATTCTGGTTCTGGTTAATTATCTTTGAGTGTTTGCGTTTACCTATAAAACTGGGCTGGATCTTGAATACTTCTGGTTTCCTCGAATGTTTGGCAATGACTCTCCGAACTCAGGTTCCTGATCTTCTCCCACTCTCTTGTCTTGGAGTCCTTGCTCCTTCTGCTGAAGCTTTGCAAACGGAAGCTAGACACCTTGAGATAAACTTTGGAGAAATTGTCTCAACAGCTCCTATATTGACAGGAGTGCCCGTTGCCCTGCAGGCCCCTCAAAAGGATGGCTGGAGACGTTTGAACTACAAACCAGAAACACCCACCAGATTGTTGCTGAGTTGAAGGAACTCAGGCTGCCTGCCCCCACTCCATCTGAAGGTGCCTCCAGCCTGACATCTAGAAATCTCACTGGCCGCACTCAGGACTCTCACACTGGGTTTGTAATTTGCTCCAACCATTAACCTGTGTTTTTCTTTCTTCTTTTTTTTTTCTTAAGATTTTATTTATTTTTTTGAGAGAGAGAGCACAAGTGGGGGAGGAGCAGAGGGAAAGAGAGAAGCAGATTCCCCGCTGAGCAGGGAGCCGGTTGGAAGGTGGGTCTCCAGGAGCCCCTAACCTGTGTTTTGTTTACATTTCCACAGAAATGCCTCTTATTCATGACCTGATTGCCTGCTGAACAAGGCAGAGTCTCTATGATGGCTAACCCCACCACTTGCCGCACCTATCTTATCTCCTCCTGGGAAGTAAGAATACATATAGATAAAATCAGGCAGCAAGCCGCTTGGCTACAAGAAGCCCTTGAACGCCACAACCCCCTTTTCCAAGGTGGCTGGGACTGGTTTACTGATCTATTCTCTAGGATACCCACAAATATCAAATCAATTTTATTTTATTTATTTATTTTTATTTATTTTTTTAAGTAGGCTCCACACCCAGCATGGAGCCCATTGCGAGGCTTGAACTCACGACCCTGAGATCAAGACCTGAGCTGAGATCAAGAGTCGGACCTTTAATGGACTGAGACACCCAGGCGCCCCTTAGAGGAAATGGTAACATTAGGCCTGGCTATACTGTCCCTGTTCCTTGGGGATATACTTGGGAATAAGGTTAATGATGTCATGCAGAGCCAACCTATGCAGAAGAATATCCACATTCTCAGATAAGGAATGACATTTGACATATCTCCTCCATTAGAACAAGGGAGTTGTGTCCTGCATTATGTCAAGTTCTTCCATTCCGAAGTCCCTACTTGGCCCTAATTCAGCTTGAAGCAGGTACATTAGCCAAGTCAGGCATACCCATATTTATGAAAACTCTCCTCATGTATATTCATCTTGGCTTCTCTGGCATGTCCACATACCTGAGGAAGGAGATCAACCATTTTAGAGATGGAAATTAGCTTTCTTTTCAACTGCCCACGACTGACTGCTGGTGGCTGCCTAGAATGCTGTGTTGAGCAGGATTCAGAGGCTGCTAGCAGGCTCTGTGGGGAAGATGCCATATTGATTAGCAATGTCTGCTATGAGTGCAGGGAGAGATTAGTGATGTCTGCCATGAGCACAGGGCAACCAGGGTCTCCTGCCGCTCCTGGAGAGGGCTGCATGGCCCTAACTGATACCTCTTTCCACCTGCTGGCAACTGGCTAAATTGTAGGAAAAACAGATGGACTATAGGGCAGTTGGAAAAGTCAAGAGGGAAGTGGGAAGCTCAAGGCATCAACTAAGAAATATGTTCAAATATACACCTTGTCCCCAGGGCACATTTAGGGTCTGGGGGCGGAGTGGCAGGGAGAGCATGGGTAGTTTGAAAAGAAAATCTCCCCAGGTGACCCTAATATGCCTATATCCTCCCCAGGATTGAGAACCACTCTTTTGGGGATAAGGAAAAGATCTTGTCTCTAACTTGGCTATCCGGTGGATGGAACTGATGGTTCCTTCTGGGAAGTAACCGACATTCCTGATAAATTACTTAAACACTTTCGGGATAGATCTTGGTGAGATTAAGAATCCCCGTGGGAAGTTAGTTACCTCCTCAGCTCATGTTCAGGACTGTTGGGGGCCATCTGTGAAGACTCCTTGCAGGATGGAAGGTGCTAGAACATAAAGGAGGCATTGATGATCTGTGATATTATTAATCAGCGTGTTAAGGACATTGCACCAGGAGTCCAGTGAAACAGCTCCTTTCCTGGCATTGCTGCCGTGAGCCATTGGCCGTGTCAGTCCCTTCCCTGGGCTTTGGCTTATTCCTCTGTCAGGTAAGTGAGTTGATTGAACTAGGCCCTGGCTCAACTCTTTGTCTCTTTGAGCCTTGACATTGTCTAATTCCACACCGGAGGCTGGCCCCCTGTTGGGTGGGCACCAGCAAAAAGTATTCTTCTAAGAGGGTGTGGAGTCGGCCAACATGGCCAGAGACCACATCTGCCTTGTCCACTGCAGTAACCCCAAGGTTTGGACATAGCTGCAGATGCTCATTAAACACTGACTCTCCAAATAGCATCATGTATCCTGATGGGAAGGAAGCACTTCCAAAAACCAGAAAGGAAAAACCCAGGCCACCAGTTTTTTCCTGGATATTCCTACTTTATTTTTGGCTACATCATCACAGAGAAAGGCAGTGGGCGGTTCTGCATGCACTGGAGGGCGTGTGTGTATTCTAGGCAGAGAGGTGGTTACATTTGTCAGGGGCAGCGTGCGCCCGGACCGGGGACACCGTGAGCTTGCTGCATGCTGATTCCAGCGCCAATACCAATGTCAGGCTTGAGCCGTGCAGCCAGCATGCTTTCTCCTGGGGGCAAACCGTGGGAAGGAGGTGGGCTGAGAGTGGGCGCCACGGGGACTGACGGAGGGCCAGGGCCAGGAGGCAAGATGGCAGCCTGGAAGTCACTGGCCATCTTGGGGAAGGCAACGAGTTTGATGTTTAGAAGATGGTTATTCAAGGCAAGAAATCAGAGTCTTCCGATGAATTGCGCAGGGAGCCGAGGGTGGAGGCATTGATTGGGAAAGGTTAAAAGGTGCGTTTGGAGAAAGTGAGAGTTGGAGTGTCCATCTGATGACATCTATAGACGACAGGCTGTCACACAGAAGGAGAGGATTTTTCACGGGGGAAGACACTGGAAACCGGGAGAAAACAAGCCTTTCTCATGGGGCAGTGACGATGCCCTGACCCCAGCCTCGCATTTATAATGTTCATTCTCATCGCCTTTTCCTCCTTTTTATTATTATTTTTTTAATTTTTTAGGAAGAAAGACCGGACGACTCATGATGGAACAACGGTCTTTGGCGTCAGGATCTGTCACTCTCTGAAGTTTCACATTCATGATGGTATTTTATTCTCCCGACAAATTTGGTGAAGAGGGTGCAAGAGATAGAGCCACGGACAGAGAGATTCAAGGTGGTTCTGAGTGAGAGACGGGACTCCAGAGATCAGAGAAGCAGAAAGTCAAAGAGTGCCGGGGATGGAGCAGTGTGTTTACTTAAGAGCAGACGGAGGGGGAAGGCTGGGGGCTTTGGAGAGCCCTCCCGCCCCAGACCTGGAGCTCTGGTTTCTAAATGCCTTTTGCACCTATATGGGCAGCCCAGGGGCCGAGGAAGCCCTCTAGGGGCGTCTATGCAGCTGACGGGAGGCCGCCACGCACCGGGGGCAGCGCCAGTAGCTGGCCCAGCCAGGGACCCCGGGCTCTGCCACCAGGAGGCATGGGCGGTGCTGAGAAGCGTGGGCCTAACTGGAACTGGGGAGGGGCCAGTTTGAGTTTGCTGGCCAAGCTGGGGAACGGGTGAGGCTGGCTTAAGGTATTTTTTTGCTGTTGCTAATTTACCTTCTTAGAAAGAGGGAGAGGAGAGAGAGATGGACAGGAACAGAGGAGTGTGAGGAGCTGAGAAAGAGTTTGATGGGGTGTAAGGTGAGGGAGAGGGAGCGGGAAGGATGGGGGATGGGGGTGCTAGAGAAAGGGTGTTGGGTTTTGCTAGGAAGCAAACAGATGGCATCCTGAAAGAGGGGGCTGCCAAGCCCCTTTATGTGTTCTGCGTGTCTATTTCTGGATGCATTTGGGGCCAGGAGGGTGCCTTCCTGGTCACCAGGGAGTTTAAACATGGTGGTCTGTTTTCCTGGCAACCAGGGGGTATGGTGTGGAGGGGCAGTGAGGGCCTGGATGCTCTATTTCTGCCCCAGTGCTGGTCCTCACAGACTTGTTCCGGTCAGCTGACAGCTGAGGGCATACACAGACACGACACTGGAAACACAAGGGGTGTGTGTGTGTGTGTGTGTGTGTGTGTGTGTGTGTGTTCAAGGCCAGGAGGGTCTAAAAACAGTCCTAAATGATGAAGAACCTTTGCAGTTTTCCCAGACAGAGAGCTTGTTAAATTCTCGCCTCCTTGTAAAAATCTCCGCATCCCCCTCCCTCCCGCTCCATCCTAGAGGGACCAGAGAGGGGCTGCAGTCAGGGCCTGCACCATAGCATCGCAGATGGAGGAGAAAGGTCTTTGGCAGCAGTGCCCAAGGTCAGGGGGGCACCTCAAAGGCAGGCGCAAGGAGGGAGAGGGTGGGGGAGGCAGAGAGAAGAGAGACCAGAGTGTGAAGGGCAGCTGGGTCAGGCTGGCGGGTGACCTGGCATGGGGTAGGGCATGGAGCCGGGACCTGGGGGCCCACCCTAATCACTCGACACGTGGTTCTCGTTCTGTAGCTGGTGCCAGCGCTCAATCTTCTTGTCCTTGTTTTTCAGACACTCGTACCAGTGTTTTAAGCGTTCTCCTTTGGCCGAGATCCCCAGCTGGCAGCCTCCTGGAAGACAAGATGGGGAGAGAGAGGGAGGTGGTCAGAGTGGAGAGAGGCACGGGAATCTCCTTCTGGATCCAAATGTTTAGTTGGGGCGAAACTGCCACCAAGCAGGGACCCTTCCAGCAACCTGGGGTCCTTCTTTATGGAGGGCTATTGTTATGATGTTGTTATTACTCCTGGCCTTCTCTGTGTGCACACTAGCTACTCAAGAACCTGCCATGGCTCCCTACTGGAGCATTAAGTTGTAGCTTCACGGTCTCATTTTTGTAAGACCTTTTGTAAGTCACCACCGCACTCACCGAAACTTGTCTCCCACTACGTCCGGGTACCCCTCGTCTATTTCAAAAGGGCCAGCTTGGCCACCCTGTCCAGTCCTGCCTCCACACCTTTGCTTATGCTGTGTCCCTTGCCTGGAGTGCCCTCCCTGCTCTATGTTTAACAACCACTCTTCCTCATCATTTGAAGGGGAGCTGGGAAAACTAGAATCTTCTTCCAGGACTCGCAAATTGATTAAGGGGACTTCCTTTGCACCCTACTTTCTGAGGCCACAGACCCCACTCTCCTCCGTGATTTGATTATCCACTGGAGGTGATCTGTTCAGCAAATAACTAATCATGACCCAATCACCCAGCTTTGTAAGCCCTTTCCTATAAAAGCATCCCCAAATTGGACCCAGATCAGTACGTGTTTGGACAATGCGGCCACCAAAACACACGGAGTGCCCTGAACCCTCCAAGAGAAGCCCGAATCCTTAGGGCTCTTCTCTCCTGGGAGGATGGGCTTTTCTCTGGGAGCCAGGTGCACTCACCGATATAATCGTTGGACTTGCCGATGTCATAGTCCCAGACCGAGATGTCCAGGGACTTCTTTGCCAGGTCACCATGTTTGATGTCATAGAAAAACTCCTGGATGCAGCAGAGAAAGACAGGTGATTGGGAGGGTTCTGAGCCTTCAGCATCAGAAACTAAGAGGCTGAGCCGGACCAAGGGGAGGCCCTTGAACTGGGCATCTGGGAGCAAGGGGGCCCTCCTGCTGGAGCTTTTACGCCAGGACTAACAATCCCCTTTCAACAAACACTCTGTATAACAAAGTCTCTCAAGCCCTGTAATTCACGTTTCCGTGACTCTCTAAAATCAGGAAGGCTGATGGGGTTTTTCTAAGAGAGCTGCTCCTGGTCAGGTTTCCTTGAAGGCAAATGGCTGTGAATTCAGTCCTTCCATTCTGGTAGCTTCCGAAGTGGGTTTTCCCCTCTCCATCATTTAGAGATTAAGGGTAGTTGAGGGCACGGAGACTGACATGAAGGATAGGTGCTTAGGTTTCCAGACAATCTGACTTTTTACATAACTTTTCTGCCTAACTGTAAAATTCATTCATGTTCATTGTTAAAACAAATGAGGAAGCTAAAATAAAATCAAATAAAACCCAACCCCCAAAGCCTGTCATCTATCTAACTAACCCCCAGAATAGCCACTGTCAACATTCCCCATGTGTGACCACATTAATATATGTTTTCAAAAGTTAATATGAATATTAATTTGAATATTAAACATCTGAATATTATATAAAGTATAATATAAATATGCTGCATTGTGACAATCTTCTTTTCCCATTTTAGAACATATGGTAAAAAACCAACTTAGTGTGTTAGCCAGTATCTTTCTGGTTTCATTTAATGCTTGTGTAGCTGTCCCTTAACCTAATGCCCAACAATTGAGTATTTAGGTTGTTTCCAACCTTCCAGTACCATTAATGATATGATAAAAGGCACCCTTGCAACTCAGTCATTGTGTAAATCCATGATAATTTATTTAGGATAAATTCTGGAGACGTGTATCTCTGAGTTTGTGAAGTTTTTTTGTTTTTTTAAAGATTTTATTTATTTGACAGAGAGAGACAAAGCGAGAGAGGGAGCACAAGCAGGGACAGAGGGAGAGGGAGAAGCAGACACCCCGCTGAGCAAGGAGCCCGATGCGGGGCTCGATCCCAGGAGCCTGGGATCATGACCTGAGCCAAAGGCAGACGCTTAATGATTGAGCCACCCAGGCGCCCCTGAGTTTGTACAGTTTTAAGATAGAGAGCAGTGGATGTACACCATGATGCCATTTGTGACCAGTAAGAAAGCTGGCTACATACATATTTGTCTTGTATATTTATAAATCCTGAAAGTTGCTTCAGAAGAAGAGAAGTAGGTGACAGAGGCTGGGAAGGGAGGAGAATTTTTGACTGGATACCCTTTGGTACTTTTGGAATTTTCAGGTATGTGACTCTATTACCTGTTCCTCAAATAAATGGCATTTAAATTTTAAGACGTTAAGGCTTTTGGAACAGTTTGACAAACATCCTTTAGGAAGTTGGACCGGTTTGTTCTCTTACCCATGGTGTGTACATTTCCCCACAGGCTCACCAGCACCAGGTACCAACATTTTACAATATTTTTGTGCCAGTTTGTGATGAGATCCAGTGTCTGGCCTTGTTTCATATCTTCTCTATTGCTAATGAGGCTTATTGGCTATTTGGATTTCTTCTTCAGTGACAGCAGTCGTTGGCTCCTTACTCAAAATTCAGGAGTCAGAGTTGGGACATTAGGGGTCCAGCTGAAGGAGGGACCTGGGAATAGGATGCATTGAACTACTGGCCAGTGATGCTCTGAGCTCTGTTTACAAAGAACTTTCTCCATGCATGCTCATATGGGCACATGCATTTCAAAAGCAAAACAACACAAAACACACTGTATTGTAGTTTTCTTGGTCCACTTTCCAACATTTGGTAAAAACCAGTGCTAGCTGATTCTGATCTGACATCAGATCACTACATTCAGTGGATATTTCTGGACCCTAGTATATGACAGCTTGTCAACAAATAACTGAAATCCAGGGGGACAACATGAGATGCAGGGAGACATAAAGCCTGCAGGGGTTATAACACACTGACCCTTGAGGGATGACTAGGAGTCTGCCAGAGAGGAAGAGAGAAAGATGGAGGTCCAGGAAAAGGGAGCAGCAAGCGCAAAGGCTAAGAGTTGTACCAAGGACCCGTGTCAAGTTAGAGTGACTTGAGGAGGGGAGTGTGAGATGGGGCAGGGGTGGGACATGAGTTTGAAAGGGCCTGACTGTCACACTAAGAAGTTACGGAGCCATTGCTGGGTTAAGCCACGGGGATGAAAAATTCAGATTTGTTCTTTAGAAAGCTCATGCTTATGTGAGGATGGGCCGAACACAAGGAAGTGAGTCAGGAAGTCTACTGCAATAGTCCAGACATGAAATGCTCAAGTAACAGTGAGACAACGGGAAGGGGCACATTCAGTGGGTATGTAGATAGTGGACTTGATGCCCAGGACAGACATGGGGAGTGAGGGAGAGAGGGCAGTGTCAACTGGGTGACTGGTAAAAGGCATCACTACCCCTATTTATTTCTTCAAATTTCAGGACCACAGACTACTAGACATCGGAAATGATTTCATTCAATCTGTCTCCAAATGCAGCTTCTTCCTATGACACTGCTCATCTAGAGGCTTTTGTCTTGGGCTTGATTCCCTCTGGTGACAAGGAACTCATTACCTATCCTTTAGATAATTCAAGTGGATCTATGAGAGAAAACTTAAAAAAAAAAAAAAAAGATTTTATTTATTCATTTGAGAGAGAGAGAGCATGACCAGGGAGCGACAGAGTGGGGAGGGAGAGGGAGAAAGAATCTGAAGCAGACTCCGCACTGAGCAGGGAGCCGACGTGGGGCTCAATCCCATGACCGCGAGATCATGACCTGAGCTGAAGCTAAGAGTCAGACGCTCAACTGACTAAGCCACCCAGGAGCCCCAAGAGAAAACTTTTTTGATGTGCTTTGTAACATTCTAGTAGGGAGCCTGTTCCTCTCTCACAGGAAATATCTCAGAGCATGACAAAAGTGGGGAAGCCTTACCTCATTAAACTCAGGATTCAAGGTTTTCTTCTTTATTTGAGTCTTGTGTTTGGCTTTCTTTCCCATGTCTGGTTTCAGCCAGCTGAAAGGAGACAGAGATGCTATTGTGGAGGAAGTTTAATGAATAAGATCAGCCTCTTGACCCCAAAGTCTCCCTCCCATGTCAGGAGAATAATTGAACAAATCAGAAAATAAGTCAACATTAACAATGGCCAAGGTGCATGAGAGCAGCAACAGGCACTGGTCTAAGCATGTGCGGGGTATTTCATTCTCAACAACCCCTCGGTGGTAGAGCTCCAACCATCCATTTCACAGGCAAGGAAACTGAGCACCCAGAGAAGCTGAGACATGTGCCTCAGATCACACAGTTGGGGACTCAACCCAGTGGTTGCCTCTGGAGTCTGTGCTCTTAGCTAGTACTCGGTCCCAATGGATCACATTGAAAGCCTGGAGAGTAGTGCCTAGAGTGGCACAATTACCCTTTAGGCTGCCCCCAAGTCCTGGGGAGGCGGTGACTGTATAGACAGAAAGGAGAAGATGCAAATCTGATAACAATTAATCCTCCTCAAAACTGTTCAGTGGCTCCCCTTTGATCTCCGGGTAAAGTTCAAAATCCTTGATGTGGCTTTCAAGGCTCCATATGATCAGGTCCTTGCTCCAGCCCAGCCTGCTCTTGTATTATGCTCTTCACCTGACTCCCCATTCAGTCTCCTTTCTACCCCAGGGCCTTTGCACATACCATTTCCTCTGCCTAGACAGCTCTTCCCCAGTGTAGGCACAATGCCTGGCACATAGTAGGTGCTCGATCAGTATTCTCTGGGCAAATAAATCAAATGGGCCAGAAACTCCAAAGAGTTGGGACATTCAGATTCTCCTTAAAGCTGTCACTAGCTGTGCAACTTTAAACCTAAGTGTAGCTGCGGCGTGCCTCAGTTTCCCAATCTGTAAAGAGGGCAAACACTTTTTGTCCTCACTTACAGAACTGCTTTTAGGATCATTTACTTTATTTTTATTGAAGCAGAGTGGACATGCAGTGTTACATTAGCTTCAGGTGTACAACCCAGTGACTTGACAAGTCGACACTTAAGCTGTGCTCACCACAAGGGTAGTCACCAGCTGTCCCCATGCAACATTATTGCAATGCCATTGATGATGTTCTCTCTGCTGTGCCTTTATCCCTGTGACTCATTCATTCTATGACTGGAAGCCTGTACCTCCCACTGCCCTTGAGGACAATTTTATTATTTTATTTTATTTTATTTTTATTTATTTATTTATTTGAGAGAGAGAGAGAGCACACAAGCAGGGGGAGCAGCAGAGGGAGAGGGAGAAACAGGCTCCCCGATGAACAGGAACCCCCCATCACCACCACCATGCCCCCATGTGGGGCTCCATCCCAGGACGCTGGGATCATGACCTGAGCTGAAGGCAGATGCTTAACTCACTAAGCCCCCCAGGCGCCCCTTGAGGACAGTTTTAAAGGGACACAAAGGGGGGACTGAACCGTATGAAGTGCCAAGCAAAGACAAAGGGCAATTCTGATTTTAAAAATCTTAATTTGCTCTTCGACTGATTAGTGGCCTCCTGTTAGCTTTTCCACACCGGCCACCAGGGCAGCCGTTTTCCTGGTGACCACAGCAACGCTCCTTCTTCTGCAGGGATTGAGTGGATGGGAGAAGGGGTGGTAGGGAGAATTATTTAAGAAAAACAGTTTGCCTGTGGCTGGGATGTAACAGAGTGCAGAACAGCAGCCCATGAGCTAATTTTCTTTATTGGACCATATGAGAAAACAAAACCCAGTTACTCCTAGAAATCAAATTCATCCCTGACTCATGTGTTCTTTTGTTCACTAAATCCTCATTCAAAGAAAATCCGAAGCAAAGTCCGCCCTGGCCTGATTTTGTAGCCATGACCTTAAGGGGAGCACTGCTTTCTATTATGAGAGGGAGTCGCTGGGAGGGAATGTCTCCGGAGCTGGAGGGAACATCAATAAACACTCTTTGCCATGAGTAGGAACAACAGGGGTAGTGATTTAGAACCGTAATGGCCGGTGCTTACTGAGCACTTACTATGTACCAGACCCCACGACAACGCTTCTCTCAGATCTCCAACTGCAGGGGGCAAAATGGACTGACAAGGTGCTGGGCTCCGAATTCACCACTATGTTCTCGCTGTGGCTGCGCGGGCCCTGGGTTCCCAGCCAGCACCTGGGCAGGCGAGGACAGGAGGCAGCCCCGGTGGGAGATGCAGGCTTTGCGCTCAAGGATGCCCCCTCACCTGCGCTGAAACCTCCTCAGAACTGTACTGCAATCTAAGACACTTCCTGCCCAACTGTCCTCCCGGGCCCCTCCCCCTCCCCACCTGCTTTCCCTATGGTCCTCCTCTGGCTCCCTCTCAGTTTTTCTTCACAGGCATTTTCCCCCAATAAATCTCTTGCACATCTCATTTAGCCTTGGAGTCTGCTTCTTGGAGGGTAGAGCCTAATGCCCAATATCACTCTTCCCATTTTACAGATGAGGATATCGAGGCCCAGAGACGTGAAGGCACTAGGCAAAGGTCACACAGCTAGAGAATACTGAAGACTATTGGCTCTTAAGATTCAAACCCAGGCAGTCTGGATCCAGAGCTCAAGCTTTCAATCATATCCATAGAAACACACATTTAGCTGCCACAAGGCAATGCAGAGTTCTCTTGAAGAGTAGGCCAAATATTACTGTACCGGGCACATTTCTAATTGCTTTCTATATGATATCTTATTTGAGCCTTAAGCCTTGTGCCCATTCTTGGACGTAAGTGGAGCTACTGTCTGTTATGCCAGTGAAGAATCTGAGGCTCAGAGAGGTTAGGATAACTTGTTTATAGTTATACAGCTGCAGGGGGCAGAGATGGGAGTGGGACCCACACCTGATTCAGGGATGGCCATGAGAATGTGCCAGGCGGACCTCCAGCCACAGCATCACTAACCGAGGCCCCAGCTGCTGCCCCTGGAAACCCAGCCATGCTCGTACCACGCTGATGACTGAAGGTGGCAGGAATATTAGGGTGGTCCTGCTCCTAGGAGCCCTGGGACTCGTCTGAGGGCTGGTTTTGGCCTTGAGGACTCTGACGGCCTTGCTGAACTTGCATCCAGGCTGCATCCACTGGCCCCCATCTCTCCCCTCCGCTCACGTGAGTGAGACTCGCATGGCGGTCTAGCAGGTCTCCCTCACTCAGGCATTTCCACTAGTGAAGCCCCTGGTCTGCTGAATCCCATCTTGGCAGCCTTCCAGAGGCTCTGGACTAACACAGATAACACGACTCTCTGACTCCCCATGGTGGAGATTCTGGGAATAACCCAAAGTCTAAGGCCTTTTCTTTGAGCATTTCCAGATTGCACTGGAAAAAACTGGATTGCTTCTTTGGCGGAGGCGCTCTAGACTGCTGGAGGGACATGTTGATGATCCCAGGGGGCTCCAAATGGGATCACTGCAACCTTGCCGACTGCCTTTCTCCCATCGGAGGAGACAGAGCTCCGAAGCTCCTCATATGGGCGAGTGACACACGAGTCTGACTGTCTGAGACTCCAGACTCACGCTCTAGCCAGTTCTGGGATTGTCTAGCTGTGTGACCTTGGGCAGGCTCATTTCCCTCTCTGGGACTCAATGTGCAATGATCTTGGGGGAAGCTCTCTGGTTCTCCCTTTGCAAGGATCTAGGACCCCCTCTGGGGTCCATTCACAGTCCCAGTGACTCACAGCTTGACGAATGGATCTGAGTAGCCATTGGCGTCCATGGCGGCCAGGTGCACGCAGCGTATGATGCCCACAATGAGGCCCCCCTGCTGTGTGCTGTACATGAGGGACACCAAGATCTTGCCACGTTCCTCTATGTCACCAATACGTTCCACCTGCTGCAGTAGGAGAAAAGAAAAGTAGGAGAAATGGGCCTAGGAAGGGGAGGGGGTCAGACAACTGGATGGATGGCTAGTATTAGGGAGGAGCCTGGGGCAAGGAAGAGGACCTGCCCCCCCCCCCACGGACAGCAGATGCCCCCAGTCTCCAGTCTCCAGGGACCAGCAAGTGGTGACAGCAACACTGGTGAAAGTCTAAGGCGCATGGGGGACTTTACTCTGACTTGGACATGGACAGAGCCCTGAGTGATCATAGGTGGGGCTGGACCCTGCTTCCACTCTGACTCTGAGCTCAGATTTGCCGGAGTCAACCAGACTTCTCACAATTATAGTCCCTGGGGTCGCATGAAGGACCTGGGCAAAGAGCGCAGATGTGTAGCCCAACCCCAGCCTCTACGCCACCACAGAGGGAAGGAGAGTGGCATCGCTCTGGTCCTGCAGAACTGCCAGCAGAGCTTAGCCAACGAAGCAGGGGAACTCAAGGGTGTGTCCTGGGTGTGAGAGGGTGGCCGGCCCCAAGGTGGGGGCTCCAGGTGGGAGGAACATCCACTTGGTCTTGTGTTCTAATGCCTCGGGCAAGGGTACCTCTCTCATGGTAAACTGACAGACAAGTGGTTTTAGGAGAAAGAATAAGGAAGGGGCCAGGAGGGAGAGCAAAGAGAAATGGTGGATCCCAACTGTGGCTTCAATACCCGCTCAGTGCTCACCTCCTCCTCATAAAGGGCCATGCCTCGGGCTGACCCAGTGGTCCCGGCACGCTTCATCTAAGGGGAAGGAAACAGAAAGCAAAGATAACATGAGTCTATGAGGCTCATCTCCCTACATAAGAAGGACCAGAAAACCCTCACCCTTCCACTAGCATCCAGAGCCCTGAGGGTGGGTTCTCCAAGCTTCTGTGGCCCTCCAGCTTTTCCCCTTTTAGATAAAATTTAGATAATGTTAACCATTGGACAGGCTACGTTAATGCACACCAGCCTATGATGTAGGGTGTATCACTAACCCATTTTACAGATGAGAACACTGGGGACCAGAGTGGTTAAGCCACTTGCCCAAGGTCACACGGCCAACAAGTGGCAGAGCCCCCCATACACAAAACGGATAAGATTTCATCTGGTCTGGTGGAAGTGGCACAGGGGTCCTGGGGTCTGAGTCAACAGATACTTCTTGGCCTGTGGCTCCTAAGGTTTTTCTGTGGGATTCTAGTGCTCTGGGCAACACTATGTGAAAACCACTGGCTAAGTCCAACCTCCCCACTTTAGGGATGAGGAAAACTGAGATCCAGAGGGGAGGGGAAGCACTTACGAGGACCCTGCCCTTGGTGGGGCACGTGGGGGTAGTTGGTGGTGGGAAGGGTAAGGGCAAAGAACAAAAGAAGATGATCAGCAGGGTCCTGTGGCTGCTCTGCCTGTGCTGCCACCTCCGTGCCTCTGGGGCTGGCTGCATCCCCCACAGCAAGATGCGCAAACTCAGGAGCTGAAAACCCAGGGGGGCCCTGGACACTGTCCTGACCAACTGGACTCACTGAGTGAGGGAGAGAAGAGGGGGCCTGAAGAAGCAGCTGTTACAGGCAAAGACCCAGAGAAAATGCCTCACTCGTAGGATTGTCTGTAAACGATTTATTTGGAGCCTGGCATTTGGTGTAAATTGCTCCTTGCAATTTTTCTTGTCTTGTCTTCCAGTGCTATACAAATATGGTGTGCCACACAGACACTCCATCCTCCGGCCGGCCCTCTGGTGGGAGGATGCTGCAGGATTGACCCTCCTGCCCGCGACGGCGTCCCCTCGGGGAGCAGGCACCCTGCAGGAGAGCTGGGCTCTGGCTGCCGCCTGAGAGCACAGCCACGGACTTGTGGTATGACCTTGGCAGCCCGCTCCCCTCTCCAGGCGCAAGGTGGCCCATCTGTAAAAGGGGTCGATTGGATTATCTCTAAAACAGATTGCTGGGTCCCACCCTACCTCACTAAGTCAGGATCTCCAGGGAGATCCACACAAATCTCAGTTTGTAAAGCGCTGGTTTATCTCCAGTTGAGACCTGCCCTTGCAGCTGGGGCTGTGCCACCATGGCTCACTCTGCCGGGTCTGGGTGGCCTCTGGTTCCCTGCGTGCCAGCCACAGAGAAGGAGGGGAAGTGAGGAGGCGTCTGGGCCGAGGCTCATACGGCTGGCAAACTGCTGCTCACCAGACCGCGCCCTCTACCCAAGGGCTGAAGAAACCTCATCCTTACAGTCCGGGCACAGCGGCCTCTCCGTGAAATCAGACGTTATCAGAAATCCACTGAACTTTGGATGCACAAACTCCCTTTCCAGTGTCTAGGGTGGGCAATTGCTCAGGACTGCAAAACAATCTGCGCATCCAGAGTGCAGCTCTGGGGGCCTCCCTGCTGGGTTTTTTTGAAGACACCAGTCTGTGTGTTCTCCATGCCAAACGTGTAAGGACTGTGCCCAAAGACAACCAGCGAGCACGCCGCACACGTGGAAACGTGCTTAAGGCTCCACTATGATGGAAAACGTTTCGTTCTTAAAAAAAAAAAAAAAAGTCTTCCTGTTATTGGTAGTTCTGAACTTTCGATATTTTTTCTTCCCTGGGGTTAAAAGGTACTAAGTAATGATTGCCAGTGGAAAAACAGGGGACAGAAATCAGGTATTGACAGTGTTTCTGTTTTCATTTGTTTGTGAATTTTTCACAAATGTGGGGACCTAAGGCATGAATGCAAGTCCCGTATCTGTGGACACTTTTCAGCAGGTTCAACTTTATAACCATGATAAATAGACCTGCTACATTTTTTTTCTGGACAGTGCCAGCATTTTTTTTTTTCTTTAAAGATTTTATTTATTTGACAGAGAGAGCACAAGCAGAGGGAGAGAGAGGGAGAAGCAGGCTCCCTGCTGAGCAAGGAGCCCGAAGTGGGACTCGATCCCAGGACCCTGGGATCATGACCCAGGCTGAAGGCAGACGCTTAACGACTGAGCCACCCAGGCGTCCCTGTTTTTTTTTTTTTTTTTAAATAAGGAAATTTCTTATCAATGGCAGCTAATTGGTGTTTGTGGCATTTTTATCATGCAGTAGGTCCCAGGGCATGGACGGATATTCACTATACTTTTCTGAGTTGTCCTGCCTGCAAATATCTGTTTTTAATGTTGTCTGTCTCTTTTGCTGTTCCTGTAAGTTGGTTACTAAAATACATTAAACTTTAAAAAATAGAAATAAAAATCTCCGGTCGATTCCGAGGTATGGCCCAACTGAAGAGCCTCAGTTTGGTTCCTGTTCTTTCCCAAAAGGCGAGCACCACCCCTAACGGTAACAGCTCCAACGTTTTATATGGGCTCTCACATTAAGCCTTTAAAAGACTCTATGAAGTTGGTACTTACTACATGATTCCATTTTGCAGATGAGAAAACTAAGGCCTAGGGAGGTGAAATAATTTGGCTCAGATGATATTATAAGTGGCAGAGCCTGAGATTCAGACCCAGGGAGTCTGGCTCCAGAGCCCATGCTCTTAAGCACTCCTCGACCTTGCCTCCTGTTGATCTGCATGGTGCTTTATGAATTCGTGACCGACAAGCGGGTCAGGCAGAATTATTTTCCACGATAACAGCAGTTAATTTATGAGTGCTTATTAGACACTAGGTTCTGTTCTGATTCTGTCTTTCATACAACCCTCCTCTGGCGCAGGTCCTGTTAAAAAGCCCATTTTGTAGACAAGAAAAACTGAAGCTCAGGAGAGTTCAGAGCCTTGGCCAAGGCAGGGAACAGGAAAGTGGCAGAGCCGGGCTTTGAACCCAGGCTGCCACAGCACACTGCCCTTCCCCATTGCACTGAGGAGGATTGTGACGTCAGAAGTGATGCCAGCACAAGGTTGGTTAAAGGCAGAACTGGGATGCAGCCGCCACGCTCTGACCTGAAATCTCCCTCCTGCCTCTACCGTCAAGCACCCTGCAGATCTATCATCCCCTTTGCAGGCCCAGAGGAAGGCTCTCAACCCCCAAACTCTTCTCCCCCATTGCATCCTTGGGGCAAAGGCACTCACCGGGATCACCCGCTCCAGACAGATATTGAAGTTCTTTTTCTGGTTGGGCTTCAGTTTCTTGAGTGAAAATCTGGTCTCACCGATAAACTCGTTATGGCCAAATTTGTCCTCATCACAGACAGAGATCCTGCGATCAACATGAGGGATGGGGAGAGAACGAAGAGCCTATATTGAGCAAATATCATGTACCAAGAGCTATGATTGATACTGGCAGGGCATGTGCAATGTGCACAGAAATATTTCAATTTCTTATTTATTGAGCACTAGCCCAGCTACTTTATGTTCCTTCTTTACTGCATTGTAACTTACAAGCAGTGATGTGCCCACATCTTAATTTTACAGATGCAAATTTTTATTTGTAATAAAAATTACAAAGTTTTTGCATATGCATACACCGATGCAACCACCACCCAGATCAAGATACAGAACATTCTGGCTCCTGGAAGACCTCCGTGGTCCCTCGTAGTCATGACCTCCCTTAATGATAACCACTCTCTTGGTCTCAGGCAAGATTCATATTGTCTTGTTTTGGACACGTAAAATCAGATGGCATGTCTTCTTTTATGCTTGGCTTCTTTTGCTCAGCATTAAGTTGGTGAGCTTCATCTGTGTCTGTAGTAATGTGTCCTTTTCACTGCTGTATAGTATCCCATTGTGCAACCATACCGTAATATTTCTGCTACGGATGGACATTTGGTTTTGACCAATTTCTAGCTTTGAGCTATTATGAAGAAAACTGCCCCAGAACATTCCTGTCTGAGTCTTTTTGCATGCACATGTATCTATCTCTACTGTGTATCTTGCTAGGGGTGGAAATGCTGAGTCACGGGCTATACCTAAGTTTAGCTTCAGTAGAAACTTCTAGTTTCCCAGACTGGTTCCACCCATTCTGCCCCCACCAGCAAGCCACACCAGTTCTGGTTGTTCTTCATTTTTGCTAACTTTGATTTTGTCAGTCTTTAATTTTAGTCTTTCTGAGGGAGCAATAGTATCTCATTGTAGTTTTAATTTTTAGTTCCCCGGTGATAAAGGAATACTTTTATGGCCATTTGAGCATCACCTTTTGCAAAGTTAGGCCAGGAACTTAGTTAACCTCTCCTCCTTTAATTTGTTCTCCGAGCAAACATAAGTTTCTCACTTTAGAGTGGAGACTGGGGCCCAGAGAGGTGGAATAATTTTCCCCTGGTAAGAGGCAGAACTGGGATTTGAATCCAGGTCTCTGTGAAACCTCAAACACTATATTGTCCTTTGTTATCTACCCTGCACAGCAGTGAGTAGAAAGAGGGACACACAGAAAGGGCAGGTCATGGAAAGGTCCCTTAGGAGGCCAAAAGGGCCAGCCACGGCATGATCATTCATCCTGACATATACCCAAGGGGAGGAAGGATGTGTCCCCCTGAGGCACGGGAGGCAGTCTGGGGGCCAGGCAGGGACCGACAGCATCTCCCCCCTTGGCCATCAATATTTGTTGAACAATGTGCAAAGCGCTGGAGGGCCAGAGCACTCTCATGGCTGAGTCCCACAATGTTTAGGAATGGAAAAAGAAGTTGTCTCTACTTGGCTGGTGAGCATGTAACCAACCCCGTCCCTCTGCAGGGCTATGTGTCTCCAAAGACTTAATAATCATCATTTCTGACCTAATAATGCCAGTTCTAGGAATTTCTCTCAAAGACATAAGAAGTGCAAAAATATTTAACTACAAAGATGTTTATCACCATATTGTTTCTAGTTGTGAAAAAGCGGAAATAACATATGTATTCTATAATGGGGGACTACTTAAGAAAAATCATGAGATAACCGTTAAGAATATAACTGTATACGTGGAAAACAGTGTTGTAATTAGTCATCAGGGAAAGGCAGAACCATAATGCAACACCACTACACACCCACCAGAATGCCCAGAATGACAAAGTATTGATGAGGCTGTGGAGGAACGGGGACTCTCGTACATTGCCGGCAGGAGTGTCATCTGGTACAATCGCTATGGAAAATTGTCAGTTTCTACTAAAGCCAAGCATATACATACACTATGATTCAACCATTACACTCCTAGAAGAAAAGCATGCATAATACAATGTCACCAGAATGTTCCTAGCAGTACTATTATAATAGCCCCCAAATGAAAACAAACCAAATGTCCCTTAACAGTTGAATGGATAAATAAAACTGTGGTATAGTCACACAATGGGATAGTAAAGAGTGACAAGATGGGGCACCCGGGTGGCTGAGCGTCAGACTCTTGATTTTGGCAAAGGTCATGATCTTGGGGTCATGGGATCGAGCCCCACATCGGGCTCTGTGCTCAGCGGGGAGTTTGCTTGGGATGCTCTCTCTCCCTCGCCCTCTGCCTCTTGCTCTTTATCTCTCTCTCTCTAAAATACATGAATAAATCTTAAAAAAAAAAGAGTGACAAGAATCCATAATCTACAACTATACACAACAACTTGGGCAAGTATCACAAATACAATATTAAGTGAAAAGACAGAAAAGAGTCATGCCGTACCATTCCCTTTATGTAAAGTACAAAACCAGAGTGAGTTCATTGTTCTTTAGAAGTTAGGGTAGTAAATACCCTGGGTGGGGGGGTCCTCACTACAGGGACAGTACTGGGGGCAGGGTGTCTGTGGTCTGGGAATGTTCTGTTCTCAGACTGCAGTGTGTTCACTTTGCAAAAACTCATCAATCTGTGCAGTTTTTATGTGTGCATTTATCTAAACAGCTGTTACCCTGCAATAAAAATGTTTACTTAAAGTAATAGCGTAGCTGGCGGGAATATACGTGGAACGCCAATTTGAAAAGCAGTTTGTATGAGTTGTAAAAAAACAAAAAACAAAAAAAAAGATCTACTATGATCCAACAAACGCTCCCCTTTGGCATCTACCCTAAGGAAACACGAGTATGCACAGAAGAAAGAGTAAGGGATGCTCGTTGCAACTTTGTAAAAGAGAGAAGCTGGAAACAACCCAAACGACCTTCCACCAGACGCTGGCTGAATAAACTGATAAACATTTACATAAAATTTAAAACAGACCTGGGCACCTGGGTGACTCAGTCAGTTAAAGTGTCTGACTCTTGATTTCAGGTCAGATCGAGCCCCGTGTCGGGCTCTGCGCTCAGTGGGGCATCTGCTTGAGGTTCTCCCGCTCCCTCTGCCCCTCCTTGCTGCTCACGCTCATGCTCTCTCTCTCTCTCCCTAATAGATAAATCTTTAAAAAAATTTAGAAACATGCCAGACAATACCATCATTGTTTACAGATACATAATCATGTAGCTGAAGTATAAAACATGCTTGGGAATGACACCCATAAAATTCAGTGTGGCATTTAGCCCTGAGGGGGAAAGAAGAGAAGGAGCAGATGGGGGTGTCCGAGAGGAGCCTCAATCTGCATCTGCAATACTTTCTTTCTTGAACATAATAACAATTTAAAATGCTGAAGCACATACAGCAAAATACTAAGATTTTTCTAAAAGACTGAGGGTTGACTTTATGGATGTTCATCTCATTATGTTTACACTTTTCTGTACATTTGTAATATTTAATTATAAAACATTTTTAAAAATTTGAGATAAACCATTCTGTGTAATACTCTGAAGCAGTCAAATATTAGGCGATCTAAATGTCTTCCCACAGCTGTAACTCCAAAATGTAGTGTTAAGAGAAAAGGCAAGTTGGAGATCTATATAGCATGATACGCTCTATGTTGTAAACAGTGGTAGGAATATACATACACTCACAGAGGGCGGAAGCAGACCCAGGCTGGTGGAGGGGACTAACATTTACTTTTTTTTTAATTTTAAAAGAGATTTTATTTATTTATTTGAGAGAGAGAGCAGGAGAGAGAGATCAGGAGAGAGAGTGAGCAGGGGGGAGAGGCAGAGGGAGAGGGAGAGGGAGAAGCAGACTCCCCACTGAGCAGGGAGCCCGATGCGGGGCTCGATCCCAGGACCCTGGGATCCTGACTGAGCCGAAGGCAGACGCTTAACAGACTGAGTCACCCAGGTGCCCTGGGGACTAACATTTAAAAGGAGCTTTGCCTTCTCTATAAGTTTTTTTTTTTTAAATAAGAAAAGTGTATTTACTTATTACTTACATAATTAAAAATGCAGTTTAACAAAACACTGTAGAAGAATATAAAATGGCATCAATACATTGTTAAGTAAGAGAGGCTAATTAATTATTAGAATGGTCTGTTTTTGGAGTGCTTAATTTTATAAAAAATGTTTGCACATTGCACACATACGTAAATACATACACACACAACCCGAACGTCCAGACACCAAGATGTTAAGAGTTTTGTTTGCCTGTATTTTCAAAAGTTTCTACCAGAAACATATGTTGTTTTTGTAGAAGTAAAAAAGAAAGAAAAAACAATGCAGATATGTTTTCAAGAGTGGCCTCTGGTAGCTACTCGTCTTAATCTGCCCGGCCTCAGCCCCCTCTCTGCCCACCTGCCCGGCAGGTACCTGAGGGTCTTCCTCTGCATGTCCTCGTCTGTGATGCCATGATAGACAAGGGTCTCATTCCAGATGGGGTTCCGGGTGTTCCGCAGAGTTTTTGTACGAAGCTTGTTGGACTAGAGCCCAGAGAGATGGACAGACACCTGCCTTGGTGGGAAGCCAGCCCTGCAGCCCCATCCTTTGGGTTGACATGGGGTGTGTGGGTGGGGGTGGGTGGGTGATGTAGGAGTCCACTCCCCTTACAAGCATCCGGGGGCTCAGTTGCTCCCAAAATGCATGCTCTCAGTGAGTGGAGGGCATCCCCAATGCTGGCTACAGCCATCATCAGTGCTGGACACTGGGCCACCCCTCCCCCCATGTGCTGGGCCCTCTCTTTGAACTTTCCATTAAGATTAGAAAGCATGAGAAAAAAAATATGATTTATAGGCCAGAAAGGCAGAAATAAAGAGTCACCCACTTATAAGGAGTGAAAAAACAATTTCTGGGGGGTACTGAAATGGTTTCTTCTGTCTCTCCAAATAGCATTCTCCATGCCTGAAAGTCCTTAGGGGACAAGGTTTTCATTTTACTCTAAGAAAGACAGCTAAACATGCACTATATCCAGAAGAAGTGGCCTGGTAGCAAATCTAATTCATACTAACATGTAAATGACTCACTGGACGCTTTGGCAAAGCCAGTTTGGATGCAGGCGTGAGCAAAGAAGAGAGTCTCGAGGAGAAAGAAGCAAATGTCACTGGGGGGGTTAGAATGAGTAGTGACCAAACACTTCACAGTTTGGCCATGGTCAGGTGAGGGACTCTCCTTTCTTGATCCAAAGAAAGAAAGACTGAGAGACAGTGTATATGTGAATACACACGTGTGTGTCCTCTTTGTGTTATGGGGCATATTTCATACTTGCAGAGATTTTTAACAGCCATTTTCCCAAGATCATGCAACCAAGTGTACAGTCACTCTTGTTTCCGCTCCCCCCCCCCGGCCCCCGCAAGCCTGGCCCATGTGGAAGCAGAAGCAAGGCTCAGGAAGCAGACTTCCTGGGTTCAAACATTAGTTCCAAAACAAAAAAAAAACAAAAAAAAAACACATTAGCTCCACTGCTCCCCAGCTGTGTGATTTGGAGAAAGTTACTCAACCTCTCTGAGCCCCCGTGTGCCATGCATGTCAAATTAACACAACAAAGCAGAAAATAAACTCCAGGAAAGCACCCTTTCATGTCTAGCCATGTGCTCTGAGTGGGTCCATCCAAAGACAGAATTAACTCCATTGTCCTTCCCCAGAGCAAGGTAGTGATAAGCAGGTGAGCGAGCTGGAAGGGGAGAGAAAGGTGGGCGGGGCAGTAGTGCATTTTCACTCAGTAACAAGCATTTTCTCAAGGGCTTAGCACCACAGCCTAGAGAGATGAAAAGCATTTGGTTGGGACATGAAGTGAGTGGGGGAAGTGAGCCATGGTCAGCACTGGGGACGCACTGAAGGTATCTGAGCAGGTGGATGGCATAATTGGGGCTTCTGGTTCTCTCCTGGCCTTCGGCAGCTCCCTGGAGCCCCCATTTCTGGGCTGGAGAAACGGGCAGAGCGCCTGCCCCTCGAGGGAGAGTAACTCCTGGTCTACCCCTCACCCCTTGCAAGGACTTTGCCACTCAGGGAGGAGGGGAGTTTGGGGCCAGATAGGGGGCCTATTTCAGGCTCTGAGCTGGGAACCTTGGGTGCCTGCCAGGGCCCATGTGCCCAGCCTGCCGAGAGGCCCAGGCCATATGGTACCTTGCTGGCTCCTGGCAGGAGATGCAGCTTAACGTAGGGATCAGCCAAGCCGTTGGAATCCATGGGCTTCAGTCCCTGCAAGAGAAAAGGCAACAGCATGAGGGCCTTGGGAGGGCCTGGTGCTCAACTGTCACAGGCAATGGGCACAGCCCCTGGCATCTGTCCTGCCCATCGGTCCACCTATGTGCTTCCTCTTCCAAAGACAGAAGGGAAAAGAAATACCTTTGGAAAGAATGCTGGAATCAGGCAAACAGGGTTTGGAGCCTGGCCATGTCACTTCCCAGCTGTGTGACTTTAGGCAAGTTCCTTAACCTCTCCGAGCCTCATTTGCCTCATCTGTCAAATGGGATAATGGCATCTGCTTCACGGAGTGGTAAGACTTAAACATAGTTATACCTGTGAAGTGCTGGGCACACAGCCTGTCACACAGTGATTTGCTGCATCAACGCTGGACTGTTACTCCTAGCATGGACAGAAATGCTCCAGAACAAGAAGGATGGGAGAGAAGGAGAAGCTGGGGAAAGGGGGCCTGAGTTCTGCCCCTGGCCTCTGCACTCATTTCTGAGGCCTCAGTTCTTCCATCCACTAAATGGGCATCACAATATCTGTCCAGCCCCCCCCTCCCTGGGCTTGAACGAGGCTCAAGTGAGACACCGTGGGGGAAGGGAGTTTGTCTGGGGTAGGAATTAAATTGGGCTTGTTAGTATGAGCAACCCAAAATTCCTGGGGCCCAGACACACGCTGTCCATCTTCCTGTGTCAGGGCTGGGCAGGTGTCCCACCTCTGGGCTCCCACTGTCCCCTCTCACAGCACTAACCCCAAAGCCATGCAACCTTGTGGGCCTCAGTTTCCCCATATGTTCAGCGGGGCTGATCGCAGCCCCTGTTCATGGGGTTCTTGGAGGATTAAATGAGACCTCACCTGCGAAGGGTGAGCTCTGGGCCTGGCACTAGTGAGTGTGGACAATGGGGAGAAGGTGCCACAAAGTTGGGGACAAGGGGGAAAGCTAGCAGAGTAGCCTCGTGGGTAAGAGTAGAGGCTCTTGAGCTGGACTGCATGGGTTCAAATCCCAGCTCTGCCACTTCTTGGCTATGTGATCTGGGCAAGTCACTTAATCTCTCTGTGCCTCAGCTTTGCCGTCTGTAAAATGGGAATGATGATAGAACCTTCCTCATAGGTGGCTGTGAAGATTAAGTGGGATGCCAATCATAGTGGAAGGCCCCGGAGGGTATATAATACTCAGGAAATGCCAGGGGTTTCTGGGCCATTTCCCTGACGTGAGTCCACGAGGGCAGGGCCAATTCTTGCCCAGGCTAGGATCATCAGCGTGTCGGGCAGTGCCCGGTACAGAGTAGGCATTTAATGAACGTTTCTGGAATGACTACTGCAAGGCTGCCACCTGGCAGACGCCATGCTTTTAAAATCTGAATTTGAACGTCTTTGTATGGGGCCTGCTCAGGCCAGTTTACCAGAGCTACTACCACAGCAAACATCTCACACACTTTGCTCATCTCCGTCACCCGCCCAGCCCGAGAGCATTGCGAGTGTTCTGTTCCCCTGTCTCGAGGGGGCAGTGATGGTGTGGCTTTCCCCCATTTCTGGAGCTGAAGGAGGGGACTGAATGGGCAGAGAGCGAAACCATTACATCCGAACGCAAATCCAGCTCTCCCCCTACCAGCTGTGTGACCTCAGGCTTTAACCTTCCTGAGACTCAGTTTCCCCATTTGTACAACAGGGCTAATAATGCTCCCTACCTCTGAAGTTCCCAGGAAGATGACTGGAGCTAATGAATGTGCTTACCTCATTGTGCTCTTGGGGCACGTGAGCACTCGCTACAGCGACTGATAGAAACAGGCGCTCAGCAAAACCTGCTGAAGATGCGCCCTGGGCGTGTTGATCCGGGAGTGTGTGCTAAGCGTTAGCCTCGTTTATCATCCAAACTGGGACATTTTGTGCATGAAAGGGGGAGCTTTTAATTATTCTAGCAAGGTCACAGGCATGGCTAGGGGCTGTCCTGGGCAAACGGGAACATGTGGCCACCTTACACTTAATACTCAGTCATGCTTATGGGAGACGCACATTATTATCCCGGATTTACAAATGGCACACTGGGGCTCAGAGAAGTTGAGTAACTTTCCCTAAATCACACAGCTGGGGAGCAATGGAGCTAGTGTTTGAACCCAGGAAGCCTACTTCCTGAGCCTTGTTTCTGCTTCCACATGGGCCAGATTTGCAGTGGGGGAAACTCCAGTTACTTTCCAGGATGTACACTGGTATCATCCAGCTCTCCTCAGGGTCCAGAGTTGAGTTGAGTTGGCTCGCTCCCCCTGGAGCCTGCAGCAGTGAGATGTCGTAGGATCTGCAACAATGGGTTTCCCCCCAACCCCCACTCTGGCCACTGCTCCAGCCTGATAGGTCACAGGAGCAGAAGGAACCACTGGGTGGGCCTGTCAGCTGTCAAGTCAAGGCCACCAGGCAGCCCCTCTGCTTTGGTCCCCTCCAGAGGCTGTGGACGGGGCCGGGCTGATTTCAGCTCTGCCCTTGACTCCCAGCTGCCTCCACTCCCGGGAGGCAGCTACAGCACCGTGAAACCCCCCTGGGACCACCCCTGAAGGAAGTCCTCCAAAAAAAGCGCCCATGGCTAATTCCTGCCCCTTTCTCATCACCGTCACTGTCACAGATAGACAGGCCGACCTGGTCACCCATGCCATCCCCAAGTCCTCTAGACAAGCCAGAGCATCCTGAGTGGTCCCCAGCTTGGCCTCTCACTTACCTTGGCTTTTATGATGGTGCAGTGCAGGGAGCTGTTGTCCTGGTCGTAGAGAAGGCTGAACTCCAGGGCACCCAGGGTGGCTGTAGGGGGCAGAGGCAGGAACAAAGAGAACATTCGTTCAGTCATTCAACAAACATTTCCTGAGCACTTACCATGTGCCCAGTCTGGTCAAGGCATTGAGCCTATAGAGGGGAAGACTCAGTCCCTGCTCTGGACACCCCATCCTGGTAGACCCTCCTCTACTTCAGAGCCCTCGGCATACCTGTGATCGCTTAATCATGTGTGCAATTGCCTAGTTAATGACTTCCGATCCTGCTAGATTGAGAGCCCCCCGAGGGCAAGGGCTGTGACCGTCTCGTTCACTGCTGTGTCCCCACTGGGCACAGTATAGGGCACACAGTCGGTGCTCACTTACTCGCTAAAGGAAGAAATGAGTCTGAGCATTTGCTGTTGCCTCCGCCTGGGATACTCTCCCTCTAGATCCTCACATGGCTGGTGTCTTCTTGTTATCCATATCTTGGTTTAAATGTCACCTCCTCCCTCCCTGATCACTCCATCTAAAGCACCCACCCTCATGGTCATTGCCCTATTTTATTTCCTTCTTGGTGTGCTATCTCCATTTGAAACAAACCCATTTGAAACAAACTCATTGGTATGTTAACTATTTCTCTCCACTAGCCTTTCTTCGCCGCCACCCACCCCCTACCATGGTGTCCCTAGCACCTAGAATAGTTTGGAGCATGTAGTATGTGCTTAATAAAATACTTGTCAACTATAGAGATGAGTCCCTGAGTGCGTGAGCAGTATATAGTTGAATACAGTGATAGGCTTGTTATAAATCACCGGGGACAGCTCGTCATAGGGACAGATACAAGCTGGGAGGGATCATCTAGGCTTGGCAGGTCAGTGAAGAGACACTGAAGGCAGAAGGAAGGAGCAGCAGATGCTGTTCAGGTGCTAGTGTGCAGAAAGGCAGAAAGGTGGGCTAGGTACAGTGCATTTCCAGAGCAGAAGCAGCCTGAGGCTCACAAGGTAGTGTGGACTCCCCACTCTCCTTTCCCAAGACGGCAGACCCGGGACCCGTGGGAGAGCACAGCTGATATTTCATCCTGGTCATCTGTGAGTGACCATCAGCCCTTCCACTCACTGGCGGTATGAGCTTGGCCACGCCCCTGAAGCTCTCAGAGCCTCGGTCTCCCTATCTGTGAAATGGGATTAGTAGAAGCACCGATTCCCAGGCCCAGTAGGAAGACTAAAGGAGCACGTGCACACAACACACTTAGAAAAAGTGCTGGGCACAAAAGTAGTGCTCAGCAGGTGTTGACATTTAGGACTTCTGATGCGCATACTACATCATCATAATTCCTCTTGTGTGTTTAGCACTACACAATAATAATGACTGCCAGTTTATGAAGCATTTTCCCAGGAGGTACCTCAGTTTACCCTCCCCGCAGCTCTGTGTGGGAGGCTGTATTCACTTCCCATTTTACATCAAGGAGAGGTGACACGATGCGCCAAAGCCAGGCCACTGATTATGACTGTAGGTCCACTTCTTCTGTGTGCGTCCTGTCTGTCCACCTGACCAGGAGCTCTTGGAATACCCCCAACCCCACAACACATCTTAGACCCAGACACTTGTCCGTCCACGTCTCCCTCCAGCTCACAAAGGCCACCCCAGCTCTCCCCGGCTGCTCAGACATACCCAACATAAGTACACACACTGGTGTGTGAGTGTGTGTGGTGTGTGTGTGGGTCCCTAGGGCTTTGGGTCTGAGTGGGCGAGGCCCAGAACAGGCACTTTACAAGTCATTGAAGGGATGGATGCAGGAGGAAATGTCTAGGAATTTTTAAATTTTTAAATTATGGTTAAGAAATTACTTTTAGAAGATACACATTAAAGAGTTTTGGAGGCTATTAAAATACATATATATATATGTGAAATGCTGGGTCATATGATACTTCTGTCTGACTTGTTGCGGAACCACCGTACTGAACATCTGAACATCGCAAATGTAGTAGAATTGTACTCTTTTAAAATGATTTAAATGGTAACTTAGATGTTACGTATTTATCACAAAAATATACGTAGCGCCTATTCTTTAGAAAGCTGATGTTGTTTTGTGAATTTAGTAACACAAATCTGTATCTTTATAACTTGGTTAATATGTTTATTAGGCTTGGAACACTGAGGGGCTGCTCCTCTCTCCCCATGAACGACACCCCGAAGTGACTCTCCTGAGACACCCCTCCTGTAAGGGCCACCTACTTGCTTCATCTGAATCATAGCTGTTGGCTTCTTCCTCCTCCTCCTCCGGGGGTGGGGGCTGGCGGGCAGGGGCCGCGGCAGGCTGGGGGGCAGCAGCAGACGCTTGGGAATATGGGCCCGGAGGGGGGCCCGCTCGGTCCTCCCTGGCTCCAGCTACTGAGTAGCCTCCAACTCCCCCTGTTCTCTCCTCCCGCGGTGGGGCCATGGCCCCAGCATAGCCAGAGTCGCCAGGAGCCACCTCTGCAGGGGAGATGGGGCAAGGGCAGGAAAGAGGCAGCTGAGTCTCTGTGTCATGACCTTAGCACTGCTGCAGCATTACATTAGTGATGAGCACCTACTGTATACCAGGTGCTCGGCAAGCCTTATACCAGAACCACCCCAGCCCAGCCACAGAGGATCACCACATCCAGTTGACGGGGGAAGGGGTGGGGTGCATCATGTTATTCACTGGTCCTCTGAATGTTGCCTTGGTCAAAACCACCTAGGGAAGCTTGCAAAAATGCAGGTTCTCAGGTCCCATCCAGACTCAGTAGGCAGTGCCATGGGCCTTAGAGTCCATGTCTTATAACAATTCCCAGGAGCTGATTCAGATGCAGGCAAAACAGACCTCATGGGGGTACTGATCAGTGCTTGGGCTCTGCAGCCAGACGGCCTGGGTTTGAATCTCTGCTGTGTGACGTGGGGCAAGTTACTCAATGTCTCTGAACCTCAGTTTCCTCACATGTAAAATGGGAATTATAATACCTGAGGGTGCTTAAAACTAGTAGCTATTATTTTTAAAAATTATCTACTACGTGTACAGTACTTAAAACAGTCCCTGGTAAGCTAGAAAGCAATGAAGAAGCCATAGCCCTAGTAACTGATGACGATGCATATACATCATAGGAAAGAATCACTGTCACTTAGCATGATCTTAATCCATTCCAGGTCATGTGCTAAGGTTTTATATGCCTCAGTTTGTTTAATCCTCGCATCAATTCTGTGAGGTTATTCCCATTTTAGAGATAAGGAAACGGGCTCAGGGAAGTTAAGTGACTTGACAGCTGGGAAGTAAAGGAGCCCAGATTTGAACTCCGGCAGTCTGTGCTCTTAACCACTGCATGTGCTGTCCTTTTCTATCTAATCTTAGTGAGGACTATCGAGAGTTTTGGAATTAGGGAGTCCCCTTAGAGCTCATCAGATGGGTCTCTGAGCGCAGAGGGGGCAAAGATCTAGCAGCTCCTGCTCTCCCACAGGAAGAGGGGTGGTCACTGGACAGGTATGGGAAGAAAGGAACACTTGCCTGGTCTCTGATCTGGAAAGCGTCCTGCTGGCCCAGGGCTGGGTTTGCTGCCTCCTGGAGGCCCTGAATGGGGAAAGAGAAAGGGACGGAGCAGAGAAGGTGGCATCATTTGGGTGTTCTTCCCTGTCTCCCCCCCTCCCCTGCCTTCATTTCAGGAGTGTGGACACAGGCCTGGGGGCAGCAGGTGATGGACAGAGGTACCCAGGGATGCAGGAATGGTCCCAGTGGGGGACTCTGAGGTCAGAAAGACCTGGGTTCAAGCCCCAGTGCTTCCTTCCTGGGCCTCAGCTGCCTCTTCTGTGAAATGGGGATGGCTGTACCTGTTCTTTGCATTTCACCAGTTATTAAGAAGTTGATGAATGAATGGAGTAAGAATTGTTTGTGAGGTACAGGCAGGTTTATGCCTTGAGCCCACCATCGCTATGGGGTCATTCCTGGTCCAGTGGATTCCTTACAACTACATTTCCCAAAGCATGGGATGCAGGAGAGAGCCACAGGGAGGGGGCTTGGAATAACATTCAACCACACAGCAAGAAAGTCATTGCAGTTTCCACTGCCTGCCTCGGTATTATCAATACCGACTCCATCATGGAAATGTCGCATTTAGGTGTTACTTCGTCTCTAACACCTCTCTAACTTTTGTGAATTTCCCTTTTGAGCAGAAAAGAACAGGCCTCGGGCTCAGAACCTTCAACAGGCCAGCATACTGAGACTCTCACTGCACGGCTTTTATTCTCATTGCATTAATTTTTTATAATTACCCCTGCAATGGGTTGAATTGTATTCCCCAAAGGATGCTGAAGTTCTAACCCCCCAGTCCCTGTGAATGTGGCCTTGTTTGGAAAGAAGGTGTTTGCAGATGTTCAAGTAAAGATGAGGTCATACGACTATGGCCTTACAAAAAAGGAGAAATTTGGACACAGAGATGTACACAGAAGGAAGATGATGTGAAGGCGCAGGGAGAATGCCACCAACCGGCCCAGGAAGGTGCGGGCCACCAGAAGCTAGGAGAGAGGCATGGAGCGGATTCTCCCTGACAGCCTTCAGGAGGAGCCACCCCGGCCAGCACCTTGATTTCAGACTTTTGGCCTTCAGAACTGTTAGACTATAAATATCTGTACTTTTAGGCCACTTGGTGTGTGGTATTTTGTTAGGAGAGCCCTAGCAAACTGCTGGGTGTCTTTACGGCACGGAATACCAGTTTCTCACTTATGCCATTATTATATATATATAAGGTTTCTCTTAAAATAACACAGTGTTAACTGCACCGATTAGGCATTATTTCTATTGTTTTATGCAATCCATATTTGTATAGATTTTCCCATATTACCATCTCTTTGGTCACCATTTCTTCCTGACTCTCACACAGCTGTTCTGGGAGCATCTGTCCCCAACACTTCCGCGACAGAGAGTCTGTGATAGCAAGTTCTCTCGGTTGCGTTTTTCAAGTGAATCCATTTGAAGAAAGATGTGAAGAAGAGAGCAGGCGGCAGGTGCATGAGGTAAGGACTGTGAAAGGGAGTGACAGTGCCTGAGGCGGGCCAGAGGGGAAGGAAGAAGCCCTGTCAACGCGGGTCTGGGACTCGCGTCTCACTCGTACCCGGCTTCCCCACCCGGAGGATTACTCATTCTCAGGGTCTTCGCAGAGCTGAGGGTTTGGTGGTGGCTGTGGCTTTGCAGAAAGCCCGGCGGGCTCTGCAAGCAAGGAGGGCAGGCACCGGGGTCCCAGCTGAGTGACAGTCTGGGTGGGCGGGCGGCAGATACCTGGCTGCCCAGGCTGGGGCGGCGCTGGGCTCTGCGCGGAGGCGGGAGCAGGTCTGGAGGCCTGCACGGAGTTGGCCCGTCGCAAACCTGCCGGGGAAAGGAAAGGAAAGCGCCGGTCCTGTTCTGCGCATGAGCACACAGAGTGGCAGCAGGAGGGGGCCTGGAACTGGTGAGCTGGCAGGAGGCAATGCCTTCTGGGTTTGAACTGAGTGCGGGACCCCGACACCCTCAGCTCCTCTAGATCCTCTCCTCCCTTGTGTGCCTTCCCTCTGTGCAACACTCAGATCCCCTGTGCAGGTCACAGCAGCGACATGGGGGTCGAAAAGTAAAGGTTTCAGGGTGTTGCCTCCATCTGCGTGACCTTGGGCAAATGACCCGTCCTCTCTGGGCCTCAGTCTCCTCATCTGCGAAATGGGGATAATAGTATCTACCTCCTAGGGTTGCGGTAGAGATGTTATGATACAATACAAGCAAAGGGCTCAGAACAGCGCCTGGCACGGAGTAAACACTAAATATTATTATTGAATCTGGTCTCTATCTTCACATGGACCTAGCTCTGCCTCCAGCTTCTTGTATAAGCTGTGTGACTTTGGGCTGGTCATTCACCCTCTCTGAACTTCAGATGTCTCATGGAGGCAACAGCTCTATCTACTGGGTAATAATGAATTAACATTTATTTAATGCTTACCATGTTCTGTGTTTGAGGGACTTTACATAGAAGAACTTACTTAATCTCTATACCCCATGAACTGGGTGCTGTATTATCTCCATTTTACAAATGGAGAAGCTAGACACAGAGGGCTAAGGAGCTCACTTAATGTCTCCTTACTGGTTAGTGGCAGAACCAAGGTTTGAATTCAGGCATTTTGTCTCCAGAGTCTGCCTGAGACCATCAAGTGCTATGGTCTCCTGCACAGCTACTGGGGCATCAAAGGGGATAATGTACACAGCAGTTCCTGGCATCCAGAAGGTATGATATTCCTGGAAAAAAGCTCCATCATCTCTCATTTCACTGGGCTGGATCCCACCTTTCCTGAATTCAGCTCTTTGTCCTTGGAGAGATGCTTAAATGCCAATGACAGAAGATGCTTTGCCACCTCTGGCTGGGAGCCTACCAAGCCCTACGGATCCTGCAGTAGCACTGTGGTTTGTTCATTTGGGTCCTTGTTCATTCATTCATTCATTCATTCACTCACTCACTCACTCAACAAGTGTTCATTGAATGTCTGCCAAGTGCCAATCCCTAGGCAAAGATGGACAAAAACCATCTTAATTCCTCCAAGAGTGCATGGCCCAGTCAGAGGAAGGAGACAGACACTGAGATAATGAGTTTATAAAACGGCAGTACTGGCCAACATCCACTAAGTGCTTCAGATGTGCCAGGCCATGAGCATCACCTCCCGGAACCCTCACAACTTGACGTCATGTGTGGTATTACGGTCCCCATTTGCAATAGAGAAAATGGCAGTTAAGTGTGCCCAAAGTCACATAGCTCAGAAGCGGCTAGGACCTCCGACCAGGTTTGTCTGACTCCAAAATCCCTGTCCTTAGCTATTATGTTATACCTGCCCCAGGAGGTAGAAAGTGAATAATCGTGCACACTGGGCCCCCACAGCATGTCAGGCTCTGCTCCAAGATCTTTACAAGTACCACTGTGAGGTTTCAGTTCACTTAATCCTTTAGAGCAGCCCCATAAGCTAAGACTGATTACTGTCATTCTTTCCATTTTACAGTAATTGAAAGCCTGGTGTCTTGATCTGTAAAATGGGAATGCACAGCTGGTAGGTGGTAGAGCTGAGATCTGACCCCACACAGTCTTTGTTCTGGTGTTTGTGCCCTTGACACTGAACTGAAATGGCCATAGAGGTAAATAAGTAACATCACTGGGGATGGAGGCAACAGGCGACATTTGGCTAGGGGGATGGGAACAGCTTCCTGGTGCAGGTGGCCTTTGGACTTGGAGTTTGGGTATACCAACATGAAAGGGATATTGATGCCCAGACGACCTCTGTAGCCTAAAGAAAAGTCGGGATGATTTTGCTTTATTCCACAGCGCTAACTCCACATCCTAGATCTGCGGAGAATGGGGCACTGGGAGGTGTCAGGATTACTGAATGGGAAACACAGAGCCGACTTGATTCTTGTCGGGGATCTGGGACCTGAGTTGCAAGTCATCCTCAGCACTCCTGATGGAATTCCCTCTGGGGCTTAGTCTGGTTCATGACTGAGGGCTGCTGGCAATGACTGAACCTTTTACTATACAGCAAGGGCATCTGGGCTCCAGCAGATCAGGAAGGGTTGCAATCATCCCTTCTGCAAATGGCACAAAGAGGTTAGCACAGACATGTCTGTGTTTTGGAGCACCAGACCCCTCTGAGTAACCTCAGTGCCACCAGATAGGATCTGACTTGCCATACCTGTGTGATGTGTGAATGATATAAAAATACAAGATGCTGGCCCTTCCTCTGCTCAATATTCTTCTGTGGCTCCCTAGCACCTTCAGGAAAACATCTAAACTCATTTATCTAACTTTTCAAGCTCTTGAGCAATGGTTCTCAAACTTCAGCATTCACAGAAATCACCTGAAGAATTTGCTTAAAAAGTGCAGAGTCTGGGTCCTGACCCCAGAAATTCTGATTTAATAGGTCTGGAATGGGGCAGAGAACAAGTGCTTTTAACACGCACCTAAGGTACATGGATCTGCTGATCCCCTGTCTTCTACTGTTCTCTCAGGGAAAGAAATTCTGGCTTTAATATGCTTTCGACAGTGACAAGCACTAATTAGAGCTGGGTGTCAGTACTCTGGGAACTCAGAGGAGGGAGCAATTAGCTCAAGGTGGAGCAGGTGGATGCTAGAAGCTTCATAGATGGCGATAACATTTACACTGACTCTCGAGGGACAGGGGGTCAAATCTGGCTCAGGAATGTTCTGTGACTGTCTTTTCCCTCAAGAGGCAAAATAATACAGAGGCTTAAAAGCACAGGCTTCATATACAAAAGTCAACTAAAAATGGATCAAAGAGGGGGTGCCTGGGTGGCTCAGTTGGTTGAGCATCTGACTCTTGGTTTTGGCTCAGGTCATGATCTCAGGGTCATGAGACTGAGATTCTCTCTCTCCCTCTGCCTCTCCCCACTGCACACTGTCTCTCTCAACTAAATAAATAAATAAATCTTTGGTGTACCTGAATATGACACCCAAAGCACAGAAAACAAAAGAAAGAAAAATTTGACTCGTCAAAATTAAAAACTTTTGTGCATCAAAGGACACTATCAACGGGGTGAAAGGGCAACCCACAGAATGGGAGAAAGTATTGACAAATCATAGATCTGGAAAGGGATTAATATCCAGAATATATAAGGAACTCCTGTAACTCAACAATAATAAAACACACATCCCAATTAAAAAATGGGCAAAGGACTTGAATAGACATTTCCCCAAAGAAAATATACGAATGGCCGATGAGCACATGAAAAGATGCTCAACATCACTAAGCATCAAGGAAATGGAAATCAGAAACATGAGATACCAGTTCACACGCGTTAGGATGGACACACACACACACACACACACACACACAATACAAATGTTGGTGAAGATGTGGAGAAACTGGAACCCTTGTGTATTTCTGGTGAGAATGTAAACTTGTGAAGCTGCTGTAGAACCCACGATGGGTGGTTCCTAAAAACCTTAAGCATAGAATTACCATATGATCCAGCTATTCCACTTCTAGGTATAGACCCTCCCCAAATTAAGAGCAGGAACTCAAAGGGATATTTGCACACCAACGTTCATTATTCACAACAGCCAAAAGGTGGAAACAACCCAAAGGTTCATCAACAGATGAATGGATAAATAAAATGTCTATCCATGCAAGGGGATATTTTTCAGCCTTAAAAAGGAATTCAGGGTTCTGATACAAGTCATAACATGAATGAACCTTGAACACAGGATGCTCAGTGAAAGAAGCCAGTCACAAAAGGCCACATATTGTGTAATTCCATTTATATGAGATGTCAAGAATAAGCAAATCCTTAGTGGTTAGTGGTTACCAGGGGTTGGGGAGGGGGAAATGGAATGCAGAATTACTGTTTAATGGGTAAAAGTTTCAGTTGGGATGAAATGGCTTTGCTGATGGTTAGTGGTGATGGTTGCATGACAGTGTGAATGTACTTAAGGCCACTGAACTGTAGACTTAAAAATAGTTAAAATGGTAAATTTAATATTAAGTATATTTTACCACCATTTAAAAAGATGCTTTAAAAAAGCACTGTCAATAAAAACTTCACCTCTGGAAGAGAAAAACAAGCACAAGCTTTGATGTTGGACAGACATAGGTTTAATTTCCATTTGAACCAATGATCAGCTGTGTGACCTAGGGCAAGTGGCATCACTTCTCTGAGCTCAGTTTCTCCATCTGTAAAATGGGAAGAGTAGATGTCTTCATAACAGGGTTTGGGGTTGTGACAAGGATTAAATGAGATGTTCTAAATGAAGAGCTGGGGCCAGCATCTGGCACATAGTAAGTACACAACAAAAATTCCATATGATGTTGCAGAGCTGAGAAATTCTTCTTTCTCTATGAATCTGAATCACAGGTTCATTAGGGGGTATGCACGGTGGATTTGGCACAAGGTATGGGCCCAGCTCTCTTGCCAAGAAGAGGGACTATGGGCCTAAGCCACAGACACACTATTGAAGAAGAGAAGCCAGAGGTCATCATGGGGCCTGAATATTCAGCCCATCTAACTTTGGACCCAGTCTCATCCCCTTGTTGAAAAGGAAATGAAGTGGCTCTGAGGGCTCACACAGGAGGTAGGGAGCTTTGATCTCTCCCATCCAGTAGACATTTTCCCCAAAGTCCAGGAATCAAGGACTCCCACGGTGGGCACTCTTGGCAAATAAATCCCCCATGAGTGCAGCCAGAGGTGCTGGGCACCAGTGCGCCAAGAGGAGCTATGAGTGACATCCTGGCTATGCTGAACCACCCCATCCTCACGGACAGCAGAGGCCACTGGCCAAGAGAAGAAAGAACTTGGGTGGGTCTGTGAGAGGGAAGTGTCCCGACTTTGCTCAAAGGCATGTTGCATTTTCCTCAGGGCTTCCGGGGAGGAAGGCAAAAACCCCTACGTTTTCCTGACATTTGGCATTAGAGCAGGAAATGGGTATAACCAAACATACAGATGTCTAGAGTCAGAATTGTTTCTGAGTTGTCTTTCCTCTACCATAGACTAGAACCAGCCTCTAGAACGGAACGTGGCACACAATAGATGCTCAATAAATACTGAATGAATACATGGATTAAAACATTGTCACCCCCAATCCTTTGGATTCTCCTCATCCAGGAAGCCTGTCTGGATTTGCCCATGTTTTCCTACCTGCTGGGCTCCGGCTGGAGTCACCGGCAGCCCCACCATGGCCGTGGTCCCAGCTCTCTGAGTCCCGGCTGGATGAGCTCATGCGTGCCTCAGAGGCCCTGCGCACGGGAGGCCCATAGCTTCCTCGCCCGGGAGCAGAGGCCGGTTCAGGACCTGGAGAGAAAAGCACGTGTTAAATGGAGAAAGGGCATCAGAGGCATAGGATAGAAGGTTAGAAGGGCTCCTGTCCCAAAATAGAAGACTGAGTCAGCAGAACCCACCTGTCTTCTGACCTGGGCCCCTCCTGTCTTCAGTGTCACCTGGAGAGAGAGAGAGAGAGAAGTGATGGGGAGTCCTTGTTTTACGGTTTCTGGAGAGCCCTCGCTTAAGGAACGCACAAAGGGGCCCAGTGCCACTCTTAAGAACTTTTACAAAATGAACTGGAAGTCTCCTCTCCCAACATCCCCTGTGAGGTAGCTCCCATTTACTATTTCACATGATTTCCTTTGTGTGCACGAGCATGTGTGAGCCTGCACAAGCCTTTAAAAAGAACAAATTGGGATTATTAGCCAATGATCGTACAAACTGTTCTAGAATGTTCTTTGTTCACTTGCCAGGACTCACCAGGCATGCTCCAACCTCAAGTCCTTTTGCACGTGACATTCCCAAATGTTCCATGAGCCCTCTCCACCCTTCCCCCCAAATACTAGCTCCTCAGACAGCCCTTCTGTGACCATTCTGTCCAACATGGAGCCTCCTGGCACATCTGTCCCCTTTACCCACTTTATCTGTCCTCCGGACACCATCACTATCTGGTATTACATGGTATTTGCCCGTCCTTGTTCGTCGAGTATCCGTTCTCCCCAGGACAATTTTAGCTGTGTGAGGGCAAGGATTTTGTCTGTTCCACCTAACACTGTATTCCTAGGGCACAGAACAGAGTCTGGAACTTGCCGGGTGTTCGGTAAGGGTTTGTTAAAAGAATATCGAAAGCTTCCATCATGGGCATAATTCCAAATCTATAATATACATTTCCATCGTTCAATTTTAAAAGATGCCTAATATAGCATGGTGTGGCTATACCATAATCCATTAAACAATCCCATTAATGAACATTTAGGGTTTTCCAGGGGTTTTGCTACCATAAATAATGATACAATAAATATACTTACACATATATCTATTTATATTGGTCCTTTTATTGCTGTTAGATATATTCCCAGAGAGGGATTGCCAGATCAAATGGCACGTATACTTCAAATTTTAATAAATTCTGCCATAACACTTTCCAAAAGCCTGGAGGTGATTTATAGTCCTACCAACAGTTTGTAAAGTATCCATTTCCCCCACCTTCACCAGCACTGGAATAACCAATAATTTTTCTACCAATAATTTTTCATTTGTCACTATGCAATGCTGGTGACGTTACTTCTTTCTAGTGATATGAATGGGTGTTATATCAAGCATAGTTTTGGGGTTATTTGCTTTGTCCAGAGTTTATCTGATAAGCTAATTCATATTATTTATGTGTGTGTCTGCATCTTTAACATTATATAATATTGGTCAATATTTACTAAGCGCTACATTCCGCAAAGCACCTCCCATCTAGCATCTCATTTAATCTTTAAAATAACCCAGCGAGTTATTAACCCCATTTCACAGATGAGGAAAGAGTCTCAGAGGGCTAGGCGACGTGCAGAGCTGGAACTGAGATTCAGGTCCTCTCGGTCTCAGATGTCCTAGATCTTGATGGTGAGGCTGTGCAGTCTTCTCAGGCTACAGGAGGGAAAGCCTAACCAGGAAGAAGGATGTTCTGGGGGTGACACTGGGGGCTCCTTGGGGACACGGTGTATATTGAAAATTCGGTAATTCTCTGCAAGGAATAGACGTTGCTTGGGCCATGTCAGGAAGAAAGCATTTGGTGGATGCCTTTTCAGTGCCAGGCACCAGACTGCGCACCTTTAGAAGTCATCTTACGGGAGACAAAGTTGGACATTTCGACCTTTGAGACCTTTAGCTACAACTTACCTTTCAGAAGCATTGCCTGCACTCAACTCCAGAACTGACGTTCAGACCAGATTTTATCACTTAGTGTTAACAGAGATTATGACAAGGGCCTCTTCTGAGGTCAGTCCCATTGGTCTCACCAATTAAAATATGTTTGCATTGTAGTTGCTTTTTTTCTTCTTTTTACTTTTTTGCCTCTCCCTTTTATCATCATTTTACTAATTAATAGTAATACTTGGATAAGAGTGATAATATCCATAGCCGTGGTAATTTTCTTTTGGTAATTTCCCTTCTACTCATCTTTCACTTTTATTTTTATTTTTTTTTAAGATTTTATTTATTTATTTGAGAGAGAGAGAGAATGAGAGATAGAAAGCACGAGAGGGAAGAGGGTCAGAGGGAGAAGCAGACTCCCCGCCGAGCAGGGAGCCCGATGCGGGACTCGATCCCGGGACTCCAGGATCATGACCTGAGCCGAAGGCAGTCGCTTAACCAACTGAGCCACCCAGGCGCCCTCATCTTTCACTTTTAATTAGTACCATTTCAGATACAGGAGATGGTTGATAGAGGAAATTGCAGGGACAAGGAAGGCCTTCCCAGCAAGTCCCCCTCAGGCCCCACCCAGTGTGTATTGCGGTGATAGGAGTCTCTCAGTTTCTAATTTTAATTTCCACCTCTTGTACCTCTAAATACTCCATCAGGGATGACAACAAAAGCTTTTGGCAGCCGGGCACTGCTGGAGAGTTTCCTGTGCTACCCTCTCTTTTTTTAGAAGTTTTTATTTTAATTCTACCGTTATACAATGGTGTTACCGTATTACACTACGTGATACATTAGTGTTACTGTATTACACTATACTGTGAAGTGTTACATTCACTCCAGATGTACAATATAGTGACTCAACACTTCCATACAACACCCTGTGCTCATCATGACAAGTGCACTCCTTAATCCCCATCACCTAGTTCATCCACCCCCCACTCCTCCCCTCTGGTAACCGTCAGTGTGTTCTCTACGGTTAAAAGATTGTATCTTGGTTTCTCTCCCTCTCTCCCTTTGCTAATTTGTTGTTTCTTAAATTCCACGTACGAGTGAAATCATATGGTATTTGCCTTTCTCTGACTGACTTAGCATTATACTCTCTAGCTCCATCCGTGTTGTTGTAAATGGCAAGATGTCACTCTTTTTTTATGGCTGAATAATATTCCATTGTGTGTATATCTATATTTATATCTACCATGTCTTCTTTATTCATTCATCGATTGGTGGACACAGGCTGCTGCCATAACTTGGCTATTGTAAATAATGCTGCTATAAACATAGGGGTGCATGTACTCCTTTGAATTAGTGTTTTTGTATTCTTTGCGTAAATACCCAGTAGTGCGACTGCTGGATTGTAGGGTAGCCCTATTTTTAACTTTTTGAGGAAGCTCCATACTGGTTTCCTGTGCTACCCTCTTGATAAGGGTTCATGGTGAGCTGTGCAGAGGATATAGGGTTCTTAAACCCAAGCCCAGAGGCTGGCTGTTCACCAGCTGGGTAGAAACACAAGACATCATGTCAGGACATCCTCTGTGTAGACCAGTTAGCCAAGATCTGTCCTTGGTCCTAAAAGGAGAAGGTGTTTTATTGTACCTCGGGTTGGAGCCCGGGCAGCATGCTTGGGCTCGGGGGCGACCGGCTCAGACGCAGCAGGCTCACTGACAGGCTGCTGGGGCTTGGTCTTCCTTATAGGCATAGGCTGTGGGAGGACCTGTTTGGGGAAGCCCTTGAAGAACCATGCTCCGGAACGCTTCCACACCTAGGGGAAGAGAGGGAGAGGATGAAGACATGGCAGCCAATCACTAGGAGTCCTGCCTTCACAAGTGCCACTTTTTAACTTTGCTCCCTGCCCACAGTACAGAGCCTGCCACAATTCCTACTTGACTCACACAATATCCCCAAACACTCAGTAGGCAGGGCCTGAGTAGACCCATTTTCTTGATGGAGAAAGTTGAATATCAGAAAGGTGATGAACTGGTATGAGGTTACCCAGCGAGAGAGTGAAAGAACAGTAAGTGGACTCCAAGTCTTCCACCTCTTAAATATGGTGCGCTCCCTACTTCGAGGAAGAGAAGAGTCACGGAAGCGGGAGAAAAGAAATTCTTTCAAACGTCATGGACTGTTCTACCAGTGTTCACCGCTGAGCTGGCTCCTTTTTACCAATCCCTTAGGACATATACCTAGCCAGGTTCCCCAGCCCTCGACTGCCACCTGGTTTCCCTGGTTACAGTGAGGAAGGGTGCCCCAAACAAGGAAAGGTGTCCCAAAAGCCAGATGAGACCAATCGACTCACCTCTCTCTGCTCGATGCAGATTTTGCAGAGCCACATGGGATGCGGGCGGTTACTGGAGGTTTCCACCCCACACTTGGTGCAGACATTCTGGGGACAAAATATAGCCCAGGGCACACTCAGATATGCCAGGCTCTGAGCTGCCAGTGATCGGGGCGAAGGGGGTGGGAAGGGTGGCAACTGAGCCCTATTCTCTCTTGGTGGATGTAAAGAGCTTGAACTCTTTCTCACCTCCCTCCCATGACCAAGGCCAGTTAGGATTAAAGTTCCAATCTGAGTCTTCATTTCCAATAACAACAACTGGAGTCACTCCCCGGCACTGGATGAGTGAATTCTCCTGAGTTCTCCAAGAGTCCCTGTGGGGTCTGAGTTTTCAGTGTCCACACAGGGGAGATCGCTGACATGAGTTTTCAAGAGGAGAGGTCACATATTTATTTGTTTATTATTTCTTCTTTCTTTCCCACATGAATCTGACCTAACCTAGCCTATGGCTGCAGGTTCAGCTCTCCAAGGAGAAGAAAGTTACCCGTACAAAAGCTATGACTGTGTGATGGTTAGAACGTTATACTTTTGGCTGAGTTGCCTGGCAGTCAAGACAAAAAGGAAAACCCAACAGGTCACGAAATTTTCACTATCTGGTTGACTGCAGCAGATTAAGTGTTTTAGCCTAGATAAATTTCCCCCAATATTGCATTCTAAATGTTAAGGGGGATTCCAAGCAGGAGATGCCAAGTGACATTATGGATGTCTCCAGCTCAGGTGTTCCCCTGAATTCCTTTCCTGGGAATTGGGCAGACCCAAGGGCAGTTGTATCCGTGTCCTGGAATTGTCAAGTGCCGACAGCTTGAGGGGAAGGTGCAGGGTGGAGGGAGCACAGGGAGACTCGCCTTCAAGAATGAATGTTCAAGAAGCCCAATGGCTCTAACTTGGCTGGAGACGGGCTTTCTAAGCCAGGGTAAGAGGATGCTCGGTTAACCCCTCCATGTACACACAGGTGTAGACACCTGCCTGGCATGCTCTTGAGCCTGACACATAACTCGCTAAGCCACAACCAGGATACTTGGAGGCTCAATCATAGCTCAAGTCCTACCTCAGGCTCCCAAGTTCACCCTAGATTGAGCTGAGCTCCAAGGGGCAGAAGAGTCAGAGCATCTTCCAGGAGAGGAACCAGAATCAGGGTTGCCTAGAAGATAGTTGGGCATGGGAGCACCCCCAAAGGAATCATACGCTGGCAACTACCCTTCAGGATCCAAGCTCCATCCCCAAGACCCAGGGCCCCAAGGGCTGGCTTGAGCCCAGGCCTAGCCCTGTGCATGAGAAGAGCAGGGAAACAAGGAAGAGGAGGCTGACAGTACCTTCTTACAGTCCTCACACACCACACAGGTGGAGCCCAGCATCCCCAGCTGTTCTCCACACAGGATGCAGCGGTTCACCCCGTCCCCGGCCACGTTCTTCCTCATGTTCTCCAGACGGTCCACCAGGCGCCTGGAAGCAGAGGCAGAATCATGAGGGCCTTACAGGACCAGGGACCACCAGCATCTCCCACAGTATCAGGCTGATGGTCTTACCCTTCTCTGAGTCGTGGGCTCCTGAGTGTCTGATGATAACTGCTGGACCCTTCCCCAGAAAAAGGCACGTGTAGAGGAAATTCTGATACATTTTCAGACCACCGCAGACCCAAGTCCCATATCTCCCACCTCTTCTACTGACCGTGGACTGACCACGGACTAAGCACCTTCTCTAGACTTTCTATCTCCCGTGATCTCTGTTTATCTAATTGTCTACCTGACGTCTTCCCTTGGATGTCTTTGTGGGCATCTCAAAGTTTACTTGCAGCTGCTCTTCAACTTGGCTCTTCTCCAGCCCCATCCCTAGCACACCTGCTCCCATTCTCAGGATGGAGCTGGACCCTGCCCCCCCCCGCCCCCTCCACGGGTCGGGTTCCAGCTTCGGGCACCATGGGCATGAGAACCGCTGGGAGGCAATTCGGGGATCACAGGCTCTAGAAGGTCGCTGGCAGCCCTGCCTGGCAGCCACCTGATACGGACTCTCCCCACAGGCCCTCCTCGCTCCTGCCATCCCCGCAAAGTGCTCTGACTCACAATGTTATAAAGAGCAGCTTCCCCCTTTGTGCTTCATTCGCAGGAGGGCCGTTCTGCCCCAGGGTGAGCCAAGAGCAGCCTGCAGGCTCCAGAGCCTCCGCTGTGACCCAGATGGGACAGAGCTGCTTTGGGAGGCAGGATGCGCAGAGCCAGAGGCGGCCCTCTCCTTCCTCCTCCACCTCCTCTTCCCTCCCTCTCCCTCCTTGGGTTCTCCCTGGAAACTGTTTTTATAGGATGATGGGTGGGGGCAGTCACCAGGCGTAAGCCCCAGTCCACGGTCTCAGAACACCTAGCGTAACAGTCGCTGGTGTTTACCGAGCGCTTACCATGTGCCAGGCGCAGAGCTAGGCACTTCACCTGGATCTTCTTAATGAGTCCTTCCAACAGCACAATACGCTGAGCACTATTCTTGTGCCCATTTTCCAAGTGGGAAAACTGAGGCACAGAGAGGCTGTGATTTACGCAAGTCACGCAGCAGGGAGGTGGAGAAAGCTGGGATCCAGACCCAGGCACAGTCTGTCCTGAGTCCCTGTTCTTAACTGTAATTCCACCCTCCTGCTCTGTGCTGGGCAGAGCCATGGGGATCTTCTTGAACTGTTTGATCTCCACTCTGCTCGCCCCACCCCTGCAGTCCCCACACCAAGGGAGACCTTCAGTTATTGGTAAGCACCAAGTTACACACACCCTGTTACCCTGGCTGGTTCTGTCCCTCTGTCTCTCACTTCCCTAAGCTTGGGACAAGACACCCAACAGTTGCCCCATCATTTTGCTTCCCTGAAAAGCCTTCAATGTAGGGTTGAGAAATCTGCAGTTTGGCCCTGGATTTTGCCTCTCTGGGCTTCAATTTCCTCATCTGTAAAGCAGAAGGTGTTAAGCTGAATCGGCGGTTGTCAAACTGTGCTTTATGGCACCCCAGGTTTCCTTAGAGCCAGTTTAGGGGCCACCCACTGTAGTGGTGGGGTGGGGGGGGTGATTCTGAGGGTCTAGAAAACCCTCCTTCACCCACAGCATGTCTGCATTTATCACTTTTGTTTGTTTAGGCTGTTAAATTAGATTTCCTTTGGAAAGCCGCAGTTTAAAGAAACAGCCTGAAGTTGTCCAGAGCAGGTAAACTTCAGGATGCCTTTCAGTGCCACAGAATTATAAAATATTATGAGACAATGAGGCGAGCTGATGGAGGCGGGGGATGGTAAATGCACGGTGACATTCTTATTGTACACACTTTCCTCTTCTACCGATTTCTTCCTTCATCCACCGCCCTAGCCAGGAAATGGTTCGATTTTATCCCTCTCACTCTAGCAGGGCAGGTCCCAAAGCACAGAGAGGGTGAGAGGCTGGCCTGGGGCTGCTCAGCGAGGGCGAGTATCTAGTTCTCTGGGTCAGGAAATCATCTTTGCTTTCCATGAAACCCTCCTGGCTTCCCGCCTCAGGTCAAGCCTCAGGAAGACAGCCCAGGCCAGATGACCCAATTTTAAACTATAGTGCACTCTGCTTAGGAGGTTTGGAGCCTTTCATGCCTCCTCTTGGAAAATCAAGGCCATGGATTCACTTACCACTTGCAAAACCCACACTCTGAGCCTCCCCCCAGATGTCTGTTCCTTTTTTTTTTTTTTTTTTAAGATTTTATTTATTTATTTGACAGAGAGAGACAGAGCGAGAGAGGGAACACAAGCAGGGGGAGTGGGAGAGGAAGAAGCAGGCTTCTGGCAGAGCAGGGAGCCCGATGTGGGGCTCGATCCCAGGACCCTGGGATCATGACCTGAGCCGAAGGCAGACGCTTAACAACTGAGCCACCCAGGCGCCCCCAGATGCCTGTTCCTTGCACTGTTCACTCCTAAATGCCGAAAGGCCCCATTAACAGGCCTTGTACAGGGAGTGTCTCATTAGCTCCTATCGTAGAGCAAATGGCACGGAAAGACAACAGATTTAAGATCATTATTCAGATGTCTCAGCTTGGGGACCCTTGTTATTTGTGAATTTGGCTGAGACCAATAAGGATAGAAGCACGCGTGGGCTGGGAAGAGCACACCTTCGTCGCTGCTCCAAGATCTTTCCTGCAGCCCGCTCACGTGGACACCCTCTCTGCGGCTCCCTGTGCTAGGACTTCCAACAACGACAGCTGCCACAGCCAAAGGTCATAAACTTAGAAATGAAACTTTGCAGGAAGCTAAGTCAAAATCACAGATGGCTCTTTATCCTGGTGATAAAACATTTCCGTTTCTTTACCCCAGAAGGAATGTTTGTTCCTACTAGTCTTGGCAGGAGCACACTCTATGCATCCTGAAGGATGCCTGCAACCCTCCGCGCATGTCAATCACCCAGGGAGCCTTTGGAAAGAATACCGAGGCACGGAGCCCCGACTCTCAACCTCGTCAGCTATGGGTCTGCTGAAGCCCGGTGAGCAGCATTACAGTATGCAGCCCTGTGGGGAGCCACTGCATGGGGGGCGGTTCTCAAAATTCACGGTGCTTCTAGATCACCCTGGGAGAGTGTTCAGCATGCACACAATGATTCTGTGGGATCGCGGCAGGGCCTGGGAATCTGTATTTCAGAGCGGCTCCCTGAATGGTCCTGATGCTGGTGAATTCCTGGCCATGCTCCGGGAAGGGCTGAAGGAAGGAAGGGGGCGGCAGGGCAAACTGCATGGGAAAATGCTCTCCTTATTATGTTAAAAGGGGGAAAAGACCCCCCCCAAAACCCAGGATGTAGAACTGTAGGCAGGGTGTGAATTGGGGTTTGGAACATGCTCATCTGAAGCTCTTCATGATGTGTACCAGACAAAAAAACATTTAGAAAGGAAACACATCCAAATATTCACAGTGAGAATCACTGGGTGGTGGGATTGTAAGTAACATTTATTTCCTTCTTTTTTTTAATTTTCCTTCTTTAATGCCTCTGTCTCCCTCCCTCCTCAAGCACCCGATTAGGTGGCCTCCCCTATGCTTCCTTAACCTCCCACCACGAACATGTGTTGCCTTTATATTAGAAGAGAAAGTGCATTTTTGAAGATCGAGAGCAGGTAAGGCAGGGTTAAAAGACATGGGTTTGAATCCTATCTTCTCTCCAGTAAACAGGCTTGAAAAGCCTCTGTTCTCTGGGGGCCTTTTTCCCAGACTTTACTGTGAAGGGTTAGATGAGTTGCAGCTCAAGCTTCCTCCCACAGGCAGCAGTCAGGGAGTCTCAGATCCTGAGGCTGAAACACCAAGACATCCCCTGGTGTCTTGAAATAGAAGGTCCCTTCATGCCTAAGAGAAGGCCCTCTCTGTATCGGCAGCCTGGTTTGTTTGCCAGTCTAATGCGTCCACGTTAAGAGCCCAATTAGCTGGACACCGTACGTGCCTGTCACTCTCTAGTTATGTCTTTACATGCCCGATTAACTTTATGACTACCACTCATGCCTTGCATCCAGGAAACACATCCATCACCAGGCTGAGCGCTTAAGGGGAGCTGCTGTTCACTCTGTGACATCTCCCATTCCCCAGGATGCTCCCAGAGGCACCAGAAAGGGTACATCTCCTCCTCTGGGCCCCAGCGGACAGCCCCCCTGGAGGTGATGGGAAGTGGATTCCCAACTTGGCCTGACCTTGCTATCCAAATGGAAGCAGATGCGCTGCTCATTCATTCAAATATTTATGGAGCACTTGCCATGTGCCAAGTAGACAATGAGGACCCAACAGGGAGTAAAACAGGTGAGTCCCTGCCTTCGTGGAGCTGGCACTGCAGAGAGGGCTCGGGCATTACTGAATTCATCACATAGATCATCATAATCACGCTCATAGTAAGTTCCCTGAACGACAAGTATAGGCAACCAGGAGAATGCAGAAGAGAGGGACAGGAACCGTCAAGAAGGGGCCTCTGAGGAAACACCCAATGAGTTGAGACCTGAGGATAAAGAGGAGCTGACCCAGTAAAGAGGGTAAGGAAAAGCACTTGGAAGAAGAGGGAATAGTATGTGCAAAGGCCCTGAGACATGCTCAGCATGGCTCATGCGCTGGGTAGAGGGAGATGAGGCTGGAGGGGTGGGCAGGGCCCACTCCATTCCGGGTCTTGATGGGATAGCATCAAGAGGCTTTAGGTAGAGGAGGCTCCACGTCCCCCGTTTTGAGACAACACGTGGACATAAGAATGGAGCTCTTGAGATGCTCAGAGCAGTGAGAGTTTCAGATGCTGCAGTGGGTCCAGGCAGAATGAAGCAAGTAAGTCCCCAGACTTTGTCTACACATGCAGCTGGACCGGGTCTCTGGAAACTACAGGATTGTCCCCAGTGGGTCTAAGTCAGTACTGCTAAGAGTACAGTAGGAGGAGGGCCTTGAAATCCCATTGCCCAATAGCAGGCTCCGGGAAGCTGCCCCGTGTATCAGTTTCATGTTGCTATTGTAACAA